TATATATATATATATATATATATATATACACTAGCGTCAAATATTGTTGGCATTAGTTACCAGTCAAATGGCTATAAAGTAAGTACTTATAATTGGGCATCTCGAGTTTAGGTAAATGCTCAACTAGGAAATGTGCCAGAAATTGTCACGACAAGCTAAAGAAAAAAATATATATATATATATATATATATATATATATACACTAGCGTCAAATATTGTTGGCATTAGTTACCAGTCAAATGGCTATAAAGTAAGTACTTATAATTGGGCATCTCGAGTTTAGGTAAATGCTCAACTAGGAAATGTGCCAGAAATTGTCACGACAAGCTAAAGAAAAAACGACTTTTGATTAATTCTTATTTAAAGCGTGCTAAAATACGTGGTTGGAACTATCTTTGGTTCAAATGCGACTTTGGTTATGTAGTAAATCTACTCTCTTCGTATTCTCTGCATGTGCCTTGGAAATTTAAGGTCAAGTGGTCCATTGCTTCGAAGTTTCTTACTAGCATCACTCCCAGGGCCCGTTTAGTTCGCTGATTCAAATTTTTAATTTGAATTGAGATGTGACTTTATGTGAGAACTTTTTACTGTAGTAAAAAAATTAAATATGACTATTTTTTAGAGCTTTTTACTATAGCAAAACTCGAATTTTAAATTTGAATCAGTGAAATGAACGGGATCTCGGTTTTTTAGTTTATAATTCTCAATATCTTGCTATATTTATTCATTAAAATTGTCAACAATATGACGGCAAATTCCAAGCTACAGATTTTCCTTTCCCTGAAAATTGTGTTATTCATGCACATTTTTTCTCCCTCTTTCATGTTTTTCCCCTTCAGTTTTCGTGAAAGGGGGGTTTTATCTTGAGATCTTTCTCAAATTATTGAGAAAGTAGAATACTCGGTTGCTTTCTTTATTTGGCATAAGGGGAGCATAAAAAAAGACGACGACAAATTTATGCTGTAAACATGAAAAAAAACTATATCAAAATCGACAACAATTATGGAAACGACAGTAAAGTAGAAAACAATGAAATGGGAAAACGACAAGAAGATGACAAACCAAATCAACAAAGGAAACGGCAATAGTATTTGAAAACGACATCAAAACAAAATCGATGATGCCAAGAAATATCCCAAAAAAAATCGTAAAACCAAGAAAACGACGACAAATTTTTTATTTTTACAAGTAGAGAAGACAACAAACAAGAAACAACATGTAAGAAAACGACTAAGCAACAAGAAATATGAAAATCAAAAACAACAAAGAAAATAATCATATGAGGCGAGAGAAAATGTAAACGACAAGAACAGAAGCACTACAAGTAAAAAGGAAATAATAAGAAAGGAAACAAAACAGAACGACTAAAATATTAAATAAACGGCAAGAATGAGAAAACCGAATGATAAGAAAACGCGTAAACGACAAAAAGAATACATACCACGACTGCACAACATAGAAAGAAAGGACAAGAAATTAAGGATACCAATTCAAGAAGGTGACATAAAGGAAAGAAACATGAACAGAAGAATTCATAAAACGAAGAATATCGACATCAAATTGTGATCAAGTACAAACAGCAATTTGATATATTAATGAAAACGACAAAAAGAAATTATTAAACGAGACAACAAGAAGAAAGAAAAAACGAAATACAAATTAACCACAAAAAATAAAAGCAAGTTATAAAAATTAAAAAGAAATAAAAGAAACGACTCAGAACATTAGACGACGACAAACAAAGAATAAAAAAGACAGCATGAAAACAAACGACAACAATAAACGACAAAAAGAAAGTGAAAACGACAGGAAGAAAACAATTCAGGATTTGCATATTGTGGCCCTCTATAAATTCCCAAAAGCTACTCTTTGAAGAACAAAGATTTTATTAATTAATATTTAACTTAATTGCATTCAAAATAGCTAAAGGTTCAACTTAAGAGATCCAGAAATTCAATCCGCTGGTGTTCAAAGTATATGACAGAAATGCCTTCATAGACTTGGACACTGAAAAGTGTGTTTAATCGGATAACGACATGAGATCAATATAGGATCTCAGTGAAACTATGAATAAATACATACATACATTTCGCAATAATTGCACATTAAGTAAAATTACTTCTATTTTTTTTTTTTTAAAGTATAAAAGCTTTAAGAAAAAAAAATGGAAAGAATATGTTTTTAACTTTCTAGGAGAAAGTACATGTTATATGTTGAGAACGACATTTCTTTTTTTTATTATTATTATTTAATTTTTACTTGACATTGTTGTCAACAAAAGAAAATTAGATCAAACGACATTGTGTTTGCAGTTTTTTTTTTTTTTCAAATTGTTTCATTAATTATTTATTCTTCATCCTTTTGTTACGTCATTTTTTAGTATTATAAATAAATTGATCAAAATAACACGTAAAATCCGATTAAAAAAATTAAAGTTTAAGACGTGCCTCCAAGTTTTTGCAATTACCCCTTTAAATTTGATTTCTTCTTCAATTTTAATTTGATCATTTATGTTTAGTTTCTTTTCTTTTTCCATTTTAATTCGGCACTCTTGATCAAACAAATCTGACTAAAATTTAATACTTTCTTCTGACTTTTAGCGAATCTGATCTCGCATATGAAATTTATGATAATATTATTCTCCTAAGAAAGTACTCTTATTTTCCTTCATGAAAAAAAAAAGGTGGTGTAAAAGCTCTAATTTAATTACAATATTCAAAGTAGCTAAAGTTTAGCGTCATGGTATATAGAAGAATATAATGAGAGTTCAATTAGAGATGTCAACCTTATGGAGCTGTGTTTAATGCGACAACGACATACTCAATATTTATGTGATCTCAAAGTTAACTATATAATAATAAATAAATCTTATTCCTTGCAGAATAATTAGACTTCTTCATTTAATAATACTTTATCTTGTTTCATTTATGTTTGATTTGATTGACTCAATGCCCGTTTGAATTGTTTAAAAAAAAAAAACCGTTTTTTAGTTTATTTAGTCTAAAAACCTCTTTTAAATTTATTTGGATGAATAATCTTAAAGTGTTTTTGACTTTTGTAAATAATTTTAAGATAAGTCATCTTCTTAGTGCTTATGAAAAAATTTTTATTTATATTTTTAACATTTTATTTGTAAATAATAAATAAATATCTCATCCATATACTTTTATTGCATTACTTTTTATAACAATAAGGGGACATTTGTTTCTTGTATCGTCTCTGATTCTAAATCATAATTCTCTACAGTATTTTTCTCTCAAAAAAACACACGTAAAACGAGAATAGCTCTGAATTATAATTTTGAATCCATGAACTAAACGTCCACTAAGTGATTTTGATTTTTTGATTCAAAAGCTTTTCTTAGATATAAAAATACTTTTTTAGACACTATCCAAACGCTAATAAAAAAAATGTCATAACTTATGTTTATTTTCTTTTACTACTTAAAAGCACAAGAACAAACCCTCCCAAACGGGCCCTCAATCACGACCCTCTAATGATTAGATCTTTTTCGTTTTTTTGGTGCTTGAAGAGATAATTGGACTTTTTTTTTTTTTTTTTTTTTTTTTTTTTTTTTTTTTTTTGGATATTGGCCGCTGGGGAAGGAAATGCAATAAATTTCACTTGACTTCATTGGAGTAAGACTTTTAGGAGTAAAAGAATATGATAGTTCACCAAATTATTATAGATAACCTTTTCTCGGTATTAAATGAATCATCTGAAAGTCACATCACATTAATATCAGTAATTAACAAACTTCATTCCTTCTTCTTTTCTTTTTTTTTAAGGAAACTTTATCCCGATATTATTTTTGTTGTTTAATATTACAATTAACTAGTCCATGTAAAATAAAAGGCATACTATAAAAATTGTTTACTGCATAGCACAGCAGAATTAATATGAAGCTATATCACTTTTTTTTTTCTTTTCTTCCATTTCCTTTTTTCTTCTGTAAATAAGAACGATTTCTTTGACATTGATAGAAAACAAGTCAATTAATTTTCACCCAAAAAAAAAAAAAGCTATACGCCAATAAATTTTATAACTCGCGTATAGAAAGCATTTTTCCGATCAACTACAATTCACCATCCTTATTAATTGGATTTTCTCCCCACCAAAGGTTATATATATATATATATATACACACACACACACACACTCTGTGCTACAAAATTATATATTGCGCGTGCATAAATACATTTCATTTATGGTATATCTTTGCTCACTCCTTTCACTTATATTGATTGTGCTGTGACAGTTATAACATGAGGAATATATTTGATTGATCCATGGACTGTGTAGTTCTTACTAATTACTATTGCACAGATCTTCTGCAACAAAATAATGTAATATATATACATACATATATATACACACACACATACATACATACATGTGTGCGTAAGTTGGAAATTTTAAAATTTAGGCACATCACCGACCTAACTGATTACAAAGAGTTGTTTTCGCAAGTGTATTTTTGCTTGCTTGCTCTTTTCCATATATATATATATATATATATATATAGTATTATATAACACTGTACTTCGATTAAAAAATTTGTGCTGCGGAGCAGTATTAAGTAATGTATTATCTAATTTTTTGTGTGAAAGCAGCGGTAAGATTTTATTCGTCTTTAATAAAAAAAATTTCAGTCATTTTTTAATCTGCTTATACTAGCTCAATAGTATGTTAATTTCCCTTTTTACTTGTCGTTGTCGATTATTTGGTAGGCTGATAGCTAAGAACAATAAAGAACTTTATCTATCCATAGTATAAATATCTTAATACAACACGTTCTGTAAATATATAATGAGTGTGTTTAGTTCGCTGATTCGAGTTTTTAATTTGAGTTGAGATGTGACTTTATGTGAGAGCTAATAAAAAAGTTAAATGTGATTGTTTATGAAAGCTTTTTATTGTAATAAAACTCGAATTCTAAACTCGAATCGGTGAAATAAATAGGGTCAATATTTATCATAAATATAGTAGTAGCTGGACCTATTTTGTCCACGTCAAAGAGTCCAAGCCACAAGTGTAATGCAACGATCTTTTAACATATGTTGGTGGACTCGCTACCATAATTAAAACGGAAATAGTAGAAAATATGCCAATATGAAAAACTTAAGAAAGTATATAGGCTAATTTTTAGTTATAAAAATTAATAGGTCATAACTTGTCAAGTTATAGTTCATAACCAGATAAGTTATGGACAAACTTGTCAAGTTATGGTTTATAGTCAGACAAGTTATAGACAAAAACCGTCAATAACTTGTCAAGTTATGGTTCATAACCAGACAAGTTATGGACAAAAATAGTAATTTGGCCTATTTATTAACTTATGTAAACTATTGGCCTATTAATTTTAATTCATTTCAAGTCTTGGCCTATTTTTCTCTTTCTCCCTAATTAAAAATGAAAATAAAAGTAAAAAGACATATATTGGTGGACTATCATATCTTGCAGATCTAGATTATTTGTCTAATTTTTTATGTCTTAATTAATGTATAATCAATCAAATTATATCACATAAATAAATAAATAAATAGTTAAAAAATAATTTAAATTTTTTATACAACGTGGTATGTTAATTGTTTAAACACTAATTGTAACACTAAAATTGAACAGAAAATTTAGATCCTTATCATGCTGCCCGCGTCGTCAAATTACAAAATTAAATCTTTATTTATAAACCTTGACCAATACAAACAGCACTGTAAAAATGCATGAAAACAAAATTGGTTGATCCAAATTCATTAAAATCATTAATCTCTCATGTATAAATCATGGGATTTAAGTGGGCAGCAAACAGCGGTACTTTTAATTCAGCAAAAAAAAAAAAAAAAAAAAAAAAAAACAGTTGTACTTTTAGAACTACCGTCCTACATTTTGAACTTGCTGGTCATGTGTTTTTCCTTTTCTTTTCTTTTCTTTTCTCTCTTTTTTTTTTTTTTTTTTTGTAGAAGAAGAAAAGTCATGTGTTTTTCTCTAGAACACTGGTTTACTGAACCTTAATCAAACTATATATTTTGTACTGTGCAACGACATGAATGGAAAAGGGATCGAGTCTTTGAGACTAGCTATATTTCAAGGCATTATTTCCACTAAACGCACTTATAGTTATAGGTTTTCTAATTCTAATATCTATACTTGAAGTACTAAAGAGGTTTTCTTTGTAATTAATATAAATAATTGATATACATTTCTAGTATATATTTTTATTTATGATAATTGTTGTGAAGAAGCTAAGTGACATTACTTATCAATTGTGAATCAATGATACATATGTCTAAGCGTTCGTACGATCAGTAAATAAAATTCAATATTAGTGACTATTTTAAAGTAAAGTGCAATATAAGCCACCCCAGCTATGCCGACACTCCAAGGTCAAGGTTCCTCCACGTGGCATTACATGTTGGTCACCATGTATTTTCCAACTTAATTTCGTGTTTAACCAAAATAACATGGCCGTTTAGCAAAAAAATAAAATAATAATAAAATAAAATAACAAAAAGTAATTTAAATTTAGTTAATTAATGGTGATCACACTATTTGTATATAAGGCAACATTGGAAACTTTGGAAAACTATCAAACCTGTAGAAAATAGTTGCCTTTTAGGTTATCCGCCGCACCCACTTCTCGTTTCTCTTTTAGTATATAGTCCTTACAAAAGGTGACAACGTTTTCTTATTCCAAATTTGAGACTCAATTACTCACTATCCATTTGGTCCCAAGCAAATCATTCCCAAAGTACGCAAAAACCCACAAAACCCTTCAACCAAGAAAGTCCATTTAAGGCCATTCACGTCTAAAAACAAAACAAAACAAAACAAAATTTATAAGCAACTAAGCCAAGTTGTCCATAACACCACAACTTTTCAGCTCACCAAATTAAAACGGCCTCTTTGCAAAACATGCACGCCAAGAAAACAAACTAGCACCAGGGCACCACCAATAATAACACCCCACATAACTCACATGCCCTATCCTAACTAACTCTCTCTATAACTAATATATTCTCCCATGCATTTCAACAATATCTCTACTTGCTCTAATTCAAAAACCGTGATCACCACCACCACCAACATGAACAACAACAACATGACGATGAAGAACCTTCCAAACACCAATCTCTCCTCCCTCTTCGCCTCCACAGTGGCGGCGGGGGATGGCGGACAGCTCTTCCCTCACGTCCAAGCGTTCGAGATTTTGTTGGCTATCTTTGTCTTCATAGCCATACACGCCCTCCGCCAAAAGAGGAAACAAGGCCTGCCCGTCTGGCCAGTCCTCGGAATGTTGCCTTCTTTGGCTTCCGCCCTCCAAACCAACAACGTCTATGACTGGATCACCGACGTCATCCGCTCCCAAAACGGCACGTTCCGCTTCAAAGGCCCCTGGCTCAGCAGCCTAAACTGCGTCGTCACCGCCGATCCTCGTAACGTCGAGCACCTCCTCAAGACCAAATTCCCTAACTTCCCTAAAGGCTCCTACTTCAGCGACAACGTCCGGGACCTCCTCGGCGACGGCATTTTCAGCGCCGACGACGAGACGTGGCAGCGGCAGAGAAAAACCGCAAGCATCGAGTTCCACTCGGCGAGGTTCCGAACCCTAACAACCGAAACCTTGGTTGAGCTAGTCCACGCCAGACTCTTGCCTGTCCTAGAGGACTCCATCAAACACTTTGTCACACTTGACCTCCAAGACGTCCTCTTACGACTAACGTTCGACAACGTCTGCATGATGGCTTTCGGGGTCGACCCCGGTTGCTTGCGCCAGGGGCTACCTCAGATTCCCTTCGCCCGTGCCTTCGAGGACGCGACGGAGGCGACGGTGCTGCGCTTCGTGACGCCGACGTGCGTGTGGAAGGCTATGAGGTACTTTAACGTAGGAATGGAAAGGAATTTGAGGCAATCCATTAGAGAAGTTGATGAGTTCGCGGACAACGTTATTCGGACGAGGAAGAGAGAGCTGTCGGCGCAGAGCGGCGACGGCGGCGACAACGAAGGAGAAAGTGCGAAGAAGAGGTTGGACTTGTTGACGGTGTTTATGGGGTTAAAGGATGAGAAAGGAGAGAGATTTTCGGACAAGTTTTTGAGGGATATATGCGTGAACTTTATATTGGCTGGGAGGGACACTTCTTCGGTGGCGTTGAGCTGGTTCTTTTGGCTGCTTGATCGGAATCCGGAGGTTGAGGGGAAGATTCTAGAAGAATTGTGCAGAATATTGGCTGAAAGAGAAGAAGTGAAGAATAAGAAGAAAGGAGAAGTGGTAAGTGAAAATGGGCTGGTTTTTAGAGCTGGCGAGATCAAGAAGATGGAGTATTTGCAGGCTGCTATTTCGGAGGCTCTTAGGTTGTACCCTTCGGTGCCGGTCGATCATAAGGAGGTAAAAAGAAAATTTCTTTTTTAAAAAAATCTCTCTTTTTTTTTTTTTTTTTGCTCTTTTTTTTAATTAGTGAAAAAACTTTTTTTTTTTTTTTTTTGGTTCTGTTGCTTTTGACAAGGTTTTCTTTTATTGTTTTAATGAAAATTATTGCCCGTGCTTTGAAATATGAGGGGCTGTTCCGCAGCCCAAAATTTGAGTAAAAAATTTAAAAAAAATTACTCGAGTTATAATTTTATTTAAATTCATGTTTTTTTAAGTTTAAATTTAAGTTTTGGATTAAAACTTGAGTTCAAATTTCTCCTTCAACTCGAGTTCAGAAACTTGAACTCAAATTAATAAACAATATTTTTTCTATTCTTAAAAATACTATAACTTTTTCGTTTTAATTCTGATTGAGATGATTTTTTTTTCTATGCGTTGACAACGAAAAGACGAATAAAACCTCACCCATATACCCTATTAAAATTTTCCATCAGTATTGAGTTTTTATTAAAATACTATCTAAATACAAACTCAAGTTTTGACTCACTCAAACACAAACTCAAAAAAATTCTTATCTCAAACCATAACTCAAATGTACACAACCAAACACAAACTCAAGTTACAACTTCAACTCAAGTTATAACTCAAACTCAACTCAAAATCTACACTCAAGTCACCAACTCAAAAATGACAAAATAACAGCCCCTGAATTGTTTAATGATTTGAAGTGTATTTATTTTTCATGATTAACGAAGAGATAGAAGATCGTCGGAAAAAAAAAAAAAAAACAGAGAGAGAGAGAGATTTTGCTAGAAGTTTTCTTGATATTTCATTTACGTACTCACATGAATGTCATTTATTCTTCTCCTCATTATGTATGAAGCTTGTTAATTGGTGCATTTGTATAATTTTCTGTCTATCTATAGTTAAAAAGAGCTCATAAATTCCAAATGCTTGTATTATAAAGTGTAACGTAATGTAATTATTAGGTCAAATTCCAGTTCACCTAACTACAGTATTACATTAATTTCGAAACGAGAAAATTCTAATTACAATTTTTTTTTTTTTATCAAACTATATATCTATTTTTGATGGCTGGAAGATAGTGGACAGATTTGTTCCTGTTTAGAGTGATGACATGATAATAATAGGTTTTGTCCTCTATCTTTCTATAAGTTTTTTTGCTAGAATATTATTAAGTGTAGCTTATATATAGTAATTAACTATTAAAATGGTGGATTTTTTATTATCCTTTGTAATACAATTAATAAACGTATCAATTCCACTATTAAAATCCTATTCTTTAAGCAAGAAAATTAAATCATAACCATAATTCAATATCTAAAAACATTATTATGTTTTAGGTGGTGGAGGATGACAAATTCCCAGATGGAACAGAACTGAAGAGGGGAACAAAAGTGATATATGCAATATACACCATGGGAAGAATGGAGGCCATATGGGGAAAGGACTGCCGGGATTACAAACCGGAGAGGTGGCTCCGAGACGGCAAGTACATGAGCGAATCCGCCTACAAATTCACCGCCTTCAATGGCGGTCCTCGTCTGTGCTTAGGCAAGGACTTCGCCTACTACCAAATGAAATTCGCCGCGGCCTCCATCATCTACCGTTACCGTGTCAAGGTAGTGAAGAATCACCCTGTTGTGCCTAAGATGGCCTTGACCATGTACATGAGGCATGGATTGAAGGTGAAACTCTTTAGGCGTGAGGAGTCTGAGCTCCAAAAGTACTTCAAAATCTAAGTTATAGTTTGCCCAAAATACTAAAAGCATACAGCATGTATCAGTATTAATAAGGCTTCTCTTTTTTGCTTTTTTTTTTTTTTTCATTTCATTTGGTTATAGATAGAGGTGTAGTACTATATCTATCTACAATGGATGTGGATTCAGTAAGTGTAGTGTAATGTAAGGAGGTTGGATTTTAAATAAGGGAGTTCTGGATTGGATTGTTCATAAGTGATTTCTTTATTGATTTCATGATATCTAGATATGTCGCTTTTGAGGTTGTGATTTGGAAAATTATTTTTTAGTTGAATGGAATGATTGTTTCTTTGTTTGTCTCAGATTCGTCCCCTGCAGTAACGTTTTGTTCTCATATATTTGTAGTCAAACTGACCTTTTGGAAACTTCAAGGAAACGGAAAGAAAACTAAACCAATCTTAATGTGTTATTCTATTCTATTCAGTGACTGAGAAGTAAACCTAACCTAGGTTTTATCGAAGGAAACAAAAAACAAAACATGTAACCATGTTGGTTGGCGGATCAACTAACAACGACATACTATGGGAATGAAAAGCCATGCAAATTTAAAAAACTTGCAGAACCTTATTAGACAAAACCACAACCAATTATGTGGATACTGGTCAGCAACTTTGTGGGGATATGGGAGATGGTTGGTTCAAGTTGGTAAACGACAATAACAAAATACATATATATATATATATATATATGTATATATAGAGAGAGAGAGAGATTTTAAAAAGGCTTCTCAGGCCTTCTTATTTTGGATATCTAGATGAATCTATGGTCTCATTGCAACCACAATTCCACACGAGACCATTTTTTTTTTAAAACAACAGTAATAATAGTAGATAAATACTACTCTCTCGAGTCTCGAATAGCATGAATCCATGACAATATATTGAAAACAACTCGCACACCTACTAAATACCAATTCAGCTAGCCTCAATTGGCAAATTCCACACACTAGAATAGTTAGATGTTCAATTAGCCAAAAGCAATTCCTCCTTGGTATACATGCATATTATATATTGTACTTTGCATATCCCATAACAAAGAAGCAGTCTTTTTCAAGCTTTTCCCTCCCATTCTTCATAGAACTCTTTAAGAAACTCCTCCATGAACTTGTGCCTTCTATCAGCCCTGCTCCTTCCAGCCTATAAAGCAATTCTTATAAAGTCATTTAGGTGATTTGTGAGAATTATGATTACATAGATTCACAAAGCACACATGCAAACTTGAATGAACATTAAACACAAAGGGTGCATTATGGAAGTGAAACACAGCGAAGGGAACTGGGCAAGACCGGGCAGATAATGCGACAGTTCGATCTCACTTCAACACTTTCTTTTACCTTCGTTTTCATCATATCCTTAAGCTTAAGGAGCTTCTCGTGGAAGTGGTTTACAGTAGTTTGCTCATCCTTTTCCATGTACTGTTCCTTGGACAAGTCTGATCGCGGCTGAATGTTAGGATCATGTAGCAACCGGTTCCTGCTTCCGCCGAAAGTAAAGCAACGAGCAATTCCTGTAACAGAGAGACAACTTTTATGGTTTGTGTAATAGAACATGAGCACAGAAATTATAGTTAGAAAACAAATATATAGTCCAAGAACTACTGAACTTGCACAGCTTCATTGGGAAACGCCATAGCATACAACTTGGAGTGGAGAACTGATTTTGGTTTGTCATTGACTCTCTGAATACCGGGGTTGCATATTAAATCTAATGGTTTTAAATCGATGACATGATTGAATTTGCGTATTACCAATAGCACCAATTGCATCAAGGCGATCAGCATCCTGTACAACCCTGAATTCTAGAGACGTTTCACCATTCGCACGCCCTGCAAGTTCATCTTTGAAACCTGAAAATTGAAAAGTACATTAAAAAACGATTACAAAGTGCATATATATTTTGATGAAAGAGACAAAGACAGAGAATGTTTCAAGACTTCTACAGCAGATATAGATTCTACAGGACAAATGACAGTAAAATAAGGCAGAAAAAAATAATGTGGCAAACTGAGAAATAATACATGGTCACAAGACTCACAACTCACAAATAAGAGCCTTCAAACAACTCACCCATGCCCTTAATGATCCCGAGGATTTTAGTTTTCTTCTCCTCCTCAATTCCCTCTTCTTCTAGAAAGTTCTCAACAATTCTCTCCTCGGATGGATCTCTACATGTCAAAGTGGTGGCTCAGAATCATCACAAGAAAGAAGTGTAAATGGAAGAAACAAAGGCTAAAAATGAATTAAAGAGACGTGAGCAGTAAGGAGAAAAGGGACAGCCACTCACAACTAGGATGCTAAACCTAGAATCTTATGATTCATATACAAAGAACCGAGCAGAATATTTTTAACAATGACAATTAAGTAAAGTGGAGAGTATCTAGATATAGATGAGTAGTGCATATATATATATATATATAACTAAACATAATCTAAGCATTCAGGAGCCCAGAACCAGTAGAAGAAAATGAGATAAATAATCTAGTCGCATTATGCATGTGAGGGGATTTGGATGCATAAAAAGAACAAACCGCAATGCAGACTTGAGGCACAATACGTGCAGTTCGTAATTAAGAAATTCTGACACAAATATGAATCATTTCCTACAATTAACCAAGAGAATAAACACAAACCTCACGTATTTGTAGTCACCTGCAATGATCACAGAAGAACTAAAATGAGTAATAGATACTAGATTCCATAATATATAAGACACCAAATTATATGCCTTTTGGTATGCATATTTTTAAAATGTATACAAATACTATTTAGTTAGGATGTAACAAAGCCCAAGATGAAGCACTAAAAAGGAAAATAGATTATTTGATTATTATGGGAAAAGGGAAACAACAACCTTGCAAACACATCAAGAAGAACATTTTGAGTTCTGTCTTTCATGGTTGTATATCGAGAAACAATATTGGGATAATGCAGCCTGCCTTGAAAATCCACATTTTATAAATATGCTACCCAATAACAACCACTTTTATCCAAAACGACAAAGCCGCCGTTTTTTTTTTTCAACAATTTAACTTAGTTCGAATGGTGAGTACAGCTCAAATTAGTGTTTGGCCAGTCACTAATCCAAACTGTTTGGACAGTTCAAACTGAGTTGACCTGCCCAATTTAGAGTTTACCTCCCCCTCTTTTTAGAGGGTTCAACCATTTTTGAATAGTAAAAATCCTCCCATTAAGTCTGCTTTGCAGACCTATCCAAATACAAATTTAGATTTTATTCTATGTTCAAACATACACTCTAACTGCACATCCAAACGTCAAATTGAATTGCAATTTAAACCACACAGTTTAAATCAAAACAATTTGAAACAGTGAACTAAATGGGGCAAAACAGTTTGAGAAGAAAGAGTTGGATGTCCCATAGTGACAGAGGGAGCAAATTGTGTTCGTTTGTAGTTTGTACGAGTCTAAGCAAGTAGGAGAAAGTTGGACAACAAACCAATATCATGCAGAAGAGCAGCAAGCTCAACCTGTCAAACAGACAGACTAAAATTTAGAAATATGCAAATAGCACTGAGAACAAAGTTCAAGATAAAAAAAAGGAAAAAATAATCTATTAGCATAAAAATATAATAGAAAATCGAATTGAAAGTCCATTCATTTGGGACCAATTACGAATGCTAGGTGCTAAATATGGCATCAAAAAGTGCTACGAATCCCACCACAAGCATTAAAGAAAGGAAAAGAGGAAATGGCTGCATTGGCAACATTGACTTAGTCGTGGTAAATCATCCATGAATTCAATGAAATACCGTAAAGAGACCAAATTGATAAATGATATTATAATTTAGGCGGAAATGACCTCAATAACGTGCTTTGATCGAAATTTTACTCTTTTTTAAATGAGCTGGCGTAAGGTTTACGATGGTACTTCAGTCTAAATCTTAACACCCGTTATTGGTTTAGGGGCACTATATAAATATACTATTTTTTTAAGGAGTAATTTATCAAAATAAAAAACCCAATTAGTTTCGCTAATTCCAATTATATCTTAAATTTTTACTGTGTCTCATAAAAATTTAAATCAAATTTTTTTTACTATATATTTTCTCTCCGTGAATTTACTTTTTTATTTAAGTTTTCAAACGGAGGATTTGAAAATGTAGGGCCGGTAATATGGGTCATGATATAACAACACGATTCGAAAATGACACAAATTTTACGGGTTAAGGTTGAGAAAAAAGAGGTTCGAGTCAGAATTGGATCGACCCGAAATTGACACGAAAAACACGAGTCAATTTCGAGTTGGACCCGCCTAATCCGAACACGACACGAAACTCGTAAAAAACTAAAAAATACATATATTTTTCATTACATATTTTTAATTTTATTATGAATTTGTGAAATCATGATAGTTATACTCAAAATCTTATATTATTATTTTCTTAATTTTAATAAATATTATTGTATTTTAGTGTGTTATGAATTTTAAGTTATTTCTAATATGTAAAAAATTAAATAAAAGTATATAATTTTCGTGTCAAATTTAGGTTTACGGATTAATTTTGTGTCACGGGTTATTTTCGTGTCTTGTCGTGTCAACCCATAAAATGGTCGTGTCGTGTTCGTGTTACCGTTTTTAAAAAATTTCGTGCCACAAATCGTGTTCATATTAACTGTAAATTTAAAAAAAAAATGATCAAAATCAACACGCATACGAATGATCACCCTATGAGAATGATTAAAAAATGGGAGAAAGATGGAAATATGCCAAGACTTGAGATGAATTAAAATTAATAGGCTAATAATTTACATAAGTTAATAAATATGTCAAATTACTGTTTTCGTCCATAACTAGTCTGGTTATGAACCATAACTTGACAAGTTATTGTCTATAATTGTCCATAATTTGTATGGCTATGAACCATAACTTGACAAGTTTATCCATAACTTATCTGGTTATGAATCATAATTTGACAAGTTATGGCCTATTAATTTCTATAACTAAAAAGGGAGAAAGAGGGAAATAGGCCAAGACTTGAGATGAATTAAAATTAATAGGCCAATAGTTTACATAAGTTAATAAATATGCCAAATTACAATTTTCGTCTATAACTAGTCTAGTTATGAATCATAACTTGACAAGTTATTATCCATAATTGTCTATAACTTGTCTGGCTATGAACCATAACTTGACAAGTTTATTCATAACTTATCTGGTTATGAATCATAACTTGACAAGTTATGACCTATTAATTTTTATAATTAAAAATTAATTTATATATTTTCTTAAATTTTTCATATTGACATATTTTCTACTATTTTCTTAACTAAAAATTGACCTATATATTTTTTTAAACTTTTCATATTGTCTTATTTTTTACTATTTCCCTTAAAAAAAAAAATTATTCAGGGCAGGCCCAATAAAGCAATCAGCCAAAAATTGAAAATTGAACGATGGGAATCAACACCAAGTAAAAAAGATAAATTAATTCATAACTAGAAAGTGATTAATTTAAGAGGAAAAAAGGGTGGGTGTAAAGTAATTACGATTTCCATGGACTGTGGGTTGGAGGAGAGACCCTCGTCGCGAGCGAGAGAGAGAGCGAGATCTCTGACCCTCCACACGTGGGCTGCGTCGTGTGAGGCGTCGTTCCCTTTCATCGCCTCCTCCACTAACTCCTCTGCATTTCTCACCGTCTCTCTCCACCCCATCTCTCTCTTCTTTCTCTCTCTTCTTTCTCTCTCTACTGAAAGAGGATTTTTAGCTTGTGAAACTGGAAGCGAAGAAGAAGAGTTTAGTTCAGGATTTCAGAGCTCCGTCAATACAGGGGGTCAAAGGGAACACTAATTTTGGTTTGACTTGAGTTTCGTGTGTTTCTCTCTCTCTCTCTCTCTATTCTGATTTCTGACTTCGCCGCTACTGAATGGGCAGAAGTTGAACCCGCCCGCCAATGTGTGGCTGCGCGCGGGTAGCGAATCAGAGCGTCAAAAATCGGGTTGAACCCAAAACCGATCCGCCTTTAGAGAGAGGGAGAGAGAGAGAGCGTGCTCTCCACGACGTCATTTTTAGGTTCCCTGGTCGAAGCTTGTAGCCAGACGGTCAGAATGGGAATTTTGGCCCGATCCGATCCGAATTTTAGAGGTTATTTAGTTTGGGGATTCGTCCACTGATTCGAATCATGATTCGTTACAGTATTTTTTCTCACAAAAAATGCACGTAAATCGAAAATAATTCTAATTTCATGGTTCTAATCCATGAACTAAACGTCTCCTTAATAATGTATTTTTTGAAAAAAAAAAAAAAAGAATACAAATATCTTGAGTCATAATTTTTACTCATTATTTTTTATTAATAATTATATTAATAAAATGGTATTAATTAATAATAATGAGTAAAAATTTAAACTCTACACTCTTAAGATAAAATTTTATATTTTTTTCTTCAAATTTTTTAAAAAATATTTAAAAAGAAAGTGTTTGGGCCAACCCGGCCCAAATAAATTTTTAAATTTGAAATCTTGGCCCGTCTTGATCCGGATGTTAGAATCAAACCGGTCTATTTGATCCGACCTAAATTTACAGTTCTTTCCTTTGTCAAAAGTTTAAAATGTTATATATTTACATATTTGAAATGTCGTGTGTTTGTAAGTTTAAACCGTAGTTTAAAATTTCTTTTCTTACGGTAATTTTTTTTTTTATAAAACATGAATTTTTGTTCAATTTTTTTGCCATCACCATAACCTGATAATTATAAGAGGAAAAAAAAAAAAGGCACAAAAAAGTAAAGAAATCCAATTGCAACAGAATTGAGATTTTATAAAAAGAAAACAATTATATAAAAATAATTACTTTGTCTTTATTGGGTATTCATGTGATTCATGCTTAAGAATACATGGGATTCACGACTATAACATGACATATGTCGCTACCATCACGTTTAAATCTAAGCTTGGATTTCCTTTTCCTTCACAGTTCACAACGAGTATTTTTTCCTTTCTTTCTTTCTTTTAAGGATTTAACATGTTGTTGATTGCCATATTGCTTTGGCTCTACTTTCCTTGTACACTCTCACAACAATTTGACCAAAAATCTGTCTGCAATGAAAATAATCTTGTTCAATAAATTATTGTGGGTCCATAACTATGTTTTATGTTTCTCTTATTATAGACTGCCAGATTGAATAATTCAATGTCATCTAAGGCACACTAATTTTGTCTTTAAATAATCCTAGTTATCCAAGGGGTTTGCTATGAACTGCTAATATTATAACAATGGATTCTCAAAAAGAAAAATTGTAAGAGAATATGGACTTATTCTTTTGGAGTTTAACTTAAGTATAATTCTTGAGTTGAATTTGAGTTATAACTTGAGTTGAACTTGTAACTTGAGTTTGTGTTTGGTTGTGTACATTTGAGTTATGGTTTGAGATAAGAATCTTTTTGAGTTTGTGTTTGAGTGAGTCAAAACTTGAATTTATATTTAGTATTTTAATAAAAACTCAATGCTGATGAAAAATTTTAACAGGGTATATGGGTCGGGTTTTATTCGTCTTTTCATTGTCAACGCATAGAAAAAAAATCATCTCAATCAGAATTAAAACGAAAAAGTTATAGCATTTTTAAGAATAGAAAAAATATTGTTCATTAATTTGAGTTTGAGTTTCTGAACTCGAGTTTAAAGGTAAACTTGAGCTCGAGTTTTAGTCATAAACTCGAGTTTGAACTCGAGTTTAAACTCAAATTTAAACTTAAAATAACATAAACTCAAATAAAGTTGTAACTCGAGTTGTATTTTTTTGAGTTTTTTACTCAAAAGAACAAGCCCTATTATATATATGAAGAAATCTCCAACTAACATTTCAGGGAAAAATCTCCAAGTAATTAATGTAGAGGTTTATTTGAATGTGAATTTAATTATATAGCGTACTAATTAATTAGATCTTCTTGATAAGTATACTGATTTACTTATATGTTTTTCCAATATATAAAAGTAGACGAATTTGTCCTTTTTTATTATAACAAAACAAAAGAGAAATCTAGGTCTTATTAAGTACCCGGTTTATCATATGATTTGAGTGACGTTTTTATTAAACAAGTGATACATGGGTCGACTCAAAACCAACGCGATTATATAGTTTGACATAAATACAACTCAAATTGCAGCACTATCTTTTATATTTTCTCACACTAAGTTATTTATTATTTGAAAAAAAAAACTGCAGATTAATCAGTGAGAACGCTTGTATTATTCTTCAGCCAATATATATATATATATATTTATATATATATCAATTGAATCGTACCAAGGCCATGGCCGGCAACACCCAAATTAACCAAGTACTCTTCTAAATTGTGGCCATTGAAAGACTGATTCGCATACATCCCTCTGTAAGGAATTTCTGCAAACTGCAGTCATGAAGCAATCTGCTTTGTGCCATTTGAAGAGGACCAAAAGACAAATTCTTAAAAAAGTAGTATTGCTTTTGCCAAAGAAAAATGTAGATAGAAAATTTCCTTTTTATATTATTCGGTGAACATTAAGGCCCCATTCATTTCACCAATTCGAATTTTGTTTTAATAAAAAGCTCTACAATAAAAATCTCTTACATAAAATCACATCTTAACTCGAATCAGCGAACTAAACAGGTTTTAAGTCAACAATTGTACCCTATCATATGTAAAAAATAAAAAATAAAAAAGAGTAGTGTTGCATATGTTAATTGATATATATATATATATATATAAAGATACCTACTTAATTTGTATCTAAAATTTACAAAATCAAAGAAAAATATTGTCTTGCATTAGTTATCCATTTAAGTACGTACAGGTCATATTCAATGTGATATATATATATATATACATATTTATTATAATCACACTCCATATATATATATATATATATATATATATTTGATAGAGTTAATATGTAGGCCATTAATAAAGGCAGTATTTATGAGACGTCGAAATAGGGTGAGAGACAATTGGACAATTTAAGAGTGGAGTTGGGTGAGATCAATTTATACCACATCTATACAGAGTCTCAACTTCAATGGCCAAATGATTAAGATCCCTAAGTTGGAGACTGATAATGAAAGTGATCTTTGAGAGTTTAGAATAATTAGTTGTAATAAATCTTCAACTCTCATAGCTTATTGATTTTAGGAGGCCTATTTTCTCCTTTTTCGATTCAAAAAACGGAAATAACACAAGTTATAGGAAGAAAAAACCACGCCAAACAAGATCTAAAGTTTAAACATTCTAAACTATTATAATTCGGGTATTAGTATAATAAAAATACTCAATTTTTTTTAATGGGAAAATTTCATTTAATAATTAAGTTAGACTCTAATTAGTCACAAATTATAAGGGTATTCGATCACACACAAAAACTATATCCATCAGTAAAGATAAATGAGGCACAAAAATTAAATATTCAACAATTTTAGTAAACATGAATATGATTTGAAATTAAATAATTTTTTATTCGAGCATTTACTTTTCTTTTTTAGCTTTTCTCATCCATCTATGATTTGAAATTAAGAACTATTTAGGCCTCGTTCATTTTACCGATTCGAGTTTTTAGTTTTAGGTTTCTACAGTAAAAAGTTCTTAAAAAATGTCACATCTAACTTTTTCTGCTATAGTGAAAAGCTCTCAAAAAATATCATATCTCAACTCGAATTAAAAACTCAAATTCGCGAAATGAATGAGGCTTAATATCCATTCGTTCAAAGAAAAAGAATTAAATAAACAACCGCGTAGTTACTTCCATTAAATTATACTTGCATCAAAAGTTGTTGGACGTAATGCTCAAGTTCAATTGCTTGTTTGATGTAATGCCCTGTTGACAAAGGAGTGGTTCAAAACCCTGCGGACCCATTTGGTTCACGTGGTTAAATTCATATTATTTTTTTTCACGAAAAATTTTAAATAAAAAATTCATGTCATTTAATTTATTTGAATCATGATTTAAACTTTTTTCTTATAATTTATAAAAATTTCAATCTATGTTTATACATTTTGTTCAATCCTACAAATTATCTTAGTGTTAATGTTGAAAGTTATCCCTCGAGAGTGAGATCAACCTAAGAATAATCAAAGCAATAATTTTCATATGACTCCACAAAATTCAAACATTGAGGGCTCTTTTTTTTTATCTTGTTATTTTATGTTAATATTAATGCATTTTTTTATATAGAAAATGTTGGATATGTCCAGTATTAACAATGTCTTCCAAAATTTTAAATTATTTCTCCTTGGGAAATTTCGATGAAGTTGGCTAAATAAAAACAAAAAATAAGTCGACTTTCTTGGCCATGGTTAATTGTATCAAATATATACGTAACTATCATCTATCAATCAGAAAAAGATTGAGGGGGAAATTAATATTTAAATAACATAATAATTGCTACGAACTAAATAAACTGGCCACCTGTAGGAAGCAACTTCAATTGATAACTTGAATAACACATGGTTTAATTGAAATAAAAAAAAAGTGAAATTAATTAAAAATGTAACAGCCAATTTCCTATCCATTACTTATTAAGAAAATATAAATTGTAACCAGCTGCCAATACTAAATATCGTTGTCTTGTAACCTAAACTTAAAAAATAAGAAAAACACGCAATTTAATTAAGAAAATTTAAATATGTACTAACTTCACATATTCCGTAAAGTGCGCACATATAAATTAATTAGTAGTCTTGAATTCTTGAATTCTATGGGATTTATTCTTGATAAAAATAAAAATACTTGTGGGTGGGGATTTTGTACCCACTGGTATTTGATAAATTTGGATTTATAAGATGATCATATCTACGAAGTCGATTTTTCATTTTACTTGGAGGAACATTCCATTTGCATAGAATGGGTTTGACCTAGAAAACCACACGTATATCTACGATTACAGAATTGATCTGATCAAAATACTTCTTGTCTTTTTTTTTTTTTCCTTTTTTGCTGGTGATCAAATAGCCATTGTCCAAAAAAAAAAAAATCCATTTTTAGATATAATAAACAAAGCTCTAGTTATATTTCCATATATAGATTTTTTGAACATGCAATATTGAATACTACGAGTTACATGACATCCTAGTTAGAATATTGCGACTTGCATGACATCCTAGTGGAGGACTATTTCATGACATATATTATATTAAGGGAAAATTTCATATTGATACCTTTTGTTTTAATATAATTGTCTTTTAGTATCATGTGTTTTTAATAATTTTAAATAGGTATCTCGACGTTTTAGAAAATCAATTTTTAGTATCTTAAGATTATTTTTTAGAATGTAAAATGTCAAAGTTACCTTTCTCATTAATTAATCAAAAAACTAATAATAAATTTAGATAAACTCTGAATTTTTTTAAAACATTTAAAAATTAAAAATAAAAACAATACTTAAAATTAAAAATAATTTTTTTAGAATTTTACTAAATTTATTAGTTTTTGGTAAAGTAATGAGAAGAGTAAATTTGACATTTTACAACCTAAAAAATGACCTTAAGGTACTAAAAAATAAAATTTTAAAACGTCAATGTATCAATTTAAAATTACTAAAAACACATGATACCAAAAGACAATTACGCTATAACATTGTACCAATATGAAATTTTTCCTTATATTAATTTATTGTGCCCACTTAATAAAATTTCAAATTACCTATATTTGCTTAAAGTTAATTTGTTGGTCTTTTTCTTAAAAAAAATGTTATATTTAAGATGTACCATCCTGTAAATAAGAAATAAAGTTTATAAATGAGATCTACTACCCCATCTAAAGTGTTATATACCATCTTTAATCACATATAATAATAATAATAATAATAATAATAATATAATAAAACATTAGTAAAATATTTATGTAGAAGTAGAAAAACCTTATTATGAAACCATTGGAAATTTCTACATATCATACATTTATATTACATGAAGCTTCGGTTGAAACTGAAACCAAACTCAGCAATCATATAAACGCAACTCCCTAATACTTGTTTAAAAGTTTTCCATTTTGATTTAGTTCTAACCGTTATCCATAAAATAAAACAACGTAACTTATCATAGAATTTTCCCTAAGATGTCAATTGCAATCAAATTAGTTTACATGGCAAAGTTCATGGACATTGGATAAGCTTTTGTGATTGCAATGCAATAAATTAAGAAAACCTTTGCCTAAACTGCCCAACATTTAAGTACTAATTTTTTTTGGTTTTGATTAGTTTCGATAATCAATGTTAATTGCATCAAAGTTTGCATAGCAGATCAGTTTAAGGATATTGGATAAGCTTTTGTGCAAATGTAATAAACTAAGAAAAAAAACCTCTTTTCCTTTTCCAGTTTACCACCCCGTTTAGTTCATGGATTAAAACTATGAGATTAGAATTATTTTCAATTTATGTGTATTTTTTATAAAAAAAAATACTGTAATAAATCATGAACCATGATTCGAATTAAAGAACGAATTTTCCGACCAAAACCAAACAGGCCATATTATTTCCAATTTTCAGTGTTGTGCAACGAAAGCATAAAGTAGATGGTGAAAACGTGTAAGAATTTCTTGCAGACACCAAAAGTCCAAGTCATCCCTCCTAACTAACCAAACAAATTATTATTGCAAATCTAAGGAAAAAAAACATTTAAATAATCCAAAATTAAAATGAACCAATGATGACGTTACTATTTATAAAAATATAATTTTTATTTTATTTTATTTTATTTTTCACAAGTCTTAATAAAGATCTGAAACTCATTAGTGAATATAACTTGTACTATTCAAAGCCTTAGGCCTTAACCTTAAATTAGCTCCTCATGCCATCTTCTTCTTTCTCTCTCTTCCATGGCAAAAGTCCAAAACAAAACCCAACATGATCGATCCAAACGCAAAACTTCTTCTTCTTCTTCTTCCTCTTTTCTCTGCTGCTTCGGATTTTCCGGGAAAAATTTTCCCGAGAAACAGTCGGAAAAAGACACGATCATGATCAGCCCATCAGATCATCATCATGATGGTTATGATCAGAAGAAGGCCGTGACGTCGGTCCGGTTCTCTTGTTGGCCAAGGCTCCGCGTGAAGAGTCCTTCGGGAGTCAAAACCGTACCGGTACTGGACGCCACCGTACCGGAGAAACCGCCGAAGGACGGAAAAATTAATTCGTCGCCGAAGCCCAAGTCAAAGTCAAAGTCGAAGCCCGAGAAAGTACCCTCCAAACGACAAGCTCCAACCACCAATAGTCAGTTGCCGAATGAGATCGAGATCGTGGTACCGGTCGTTTCTGATCCCGGCCCAAAACAAAAACCTCCCGAGGTATGTAAATCAGTTCAGTCAATGGTAAAAATCTTCTAAAGATGTGAATGAATTTATTTCAAATTAAATTCTTCGTAATTTTTCTATGTGAAGGTTGAGCAATTATTAGCACTATAAATTTATTGGACCATAAAATTATTATATTGTTATTGTGAAATAATGTGAAAATAAAATCATTTTTCTTTTTAAATCTTAAGGTACTTCATTTGAGCGAATAATTATGATGTTTTTGGTGTCTTTATGTAACAATTGAACTCGTAAATTGACCTTCTTTCATGTGTGTTTTGTCGTATTTAACATTGTACGTAAAAAGAAAAACTATCAGATAAAGTACGGTTCTGCCAAAAACAGCAACCTCGACAATCGGAAAAGAAACTCTAGTCCTTCACATCCTTCCAAAGACGACACGTGTTATATCCAGAAGCGGCTATCATTCAGCCGGAAAATTGAGCCCACAAGAGCCGGTTCGAGCCAGCCGAGCTCGCCGGTTCAGGCCAAGCCGAAGCCGGGACGAACAATTCGGCACTCTAATTCGTTCGCGGCCGGTCCGAACCGGGACAAGTCGCAAGTGGCACAGACCAAGCCGGGCCCAACCGAGTCGAACTTCGCGAGGCGGTTCGAACCGGTGGTGGGCATGTCGATTGTGTTGGTGACTTTGGTAATAATGATTGTGTGGGGTCGGCTTTGCGCCATTCTCTGCACGTCTGCATGGTTGTACTTTGTTCCGCGGCTGAGCTCCGCCGTTGATGTCGGCGGAGTTCTTGGGAGGCCGAGAGGTTTGGATTTGGGCTCGGAAGAGAACAAGAAGAAGGTGGTTCTTGATGGCTTTCTTGAGAGGAATAATAATCACAGGTGTACATAATTGTGAAGTTTTGTATTTTTTTTTTCTTTTTTTGTTTAAACAATGCTAGGTGTCCGATACCGCTTCGATAGAAATTGGATCTCGTAATATGAGATTTATAGATAGTCCTACTTCCAATCTGTTGCAGTCGTTTTGGTGTTGGAAACTGAAAGGGACTGTGCATGTTAGTGGTTTCGGTTTTTTTTTTATTTTTTTATTTTTTTTTTGCTAAAGTTAGCCAGATGATGGCTTTTTGTGTAAATTTGTTGTAAAAACATTACTGTGTCCACTCTTGTGAAATTGGAAAAAGATTAAAAAAAATAAGGGTTAGAAGTTCATTGTGAAGTTCTGTGGCTTTTTTTTTAAAAAATTATTATCACCGGCGTCTTTTGAATTTTAAAGTGATTTTTAATTTGTCTTATGAATTTTAAAAATTATTATTTTATTCTATAAATTTTAAATTATTCATACTTAACTCATTTTGTTGTAATTTCTATTAAAATTGATAGAAAAAATAGAATAATACAATCGTGTGGTATTTGTATTTGAATTTCTTTTCAAAACTGTTAGGGAGACACCACATGCGAAACTGACCCAACATACTTTAAGAGTCTAACTTGATCCACAAGGTTAACTTATTAGGTCTTAGGTCCTTCTACTTCACATTCTCATTCACTTTTCATGTGAGACAACTCACACATGCACTTTTCTCAACAATCTCTCCCTCATGTGTGTATTCACCGAGCTCTCCCTTAAATTAAACTTTCGAGTAGCCGGCATGATTCAAGTATCACACTCTAAACGGGAGCCAACTTAAAGTTAGGGGACAAATTAAAATTACGACATGTCACTTAGTTTTCTCCCGTCTAATAATGAATTTTTTTTTTTTGTTGTTTTTTATTAACTGAACAATGTTATGTTTTTTTTTTTTTTTTTTTTTTTTTTTTTAATAAAAAAATTTTTTTTTTTTTTTTTTTTTTTTTTTTTTTTTTTTTACTCTACGAACATTATGTCTAACCTTATGAAAATGAAAAGAAATAGAATATAAGTTCGTATTGTTATTTCTGTTGTTTTTTTAATGCTCATTTTGGAACTGAGAGGGAGAGGGAGATTGGGGAGTGCGTGGTGGTGCTTTGTTAGTTGTTTGATGATTTTTTGTGTGGATTTGCCGTATAAACTAGTTGTTTTGGTAAAGTCAAATCTTGTGAAAATGGAAAAAGAGAAGATGGGGGTTGGAAATCTTCTAGAAGTTTTGCGTAGCTTCAAGTTTCAACTTTCCTGTTCGACGCACTTTTTGTTCTATCGCGGTTGGGATTGTCACGTGATTTGCACGTGGAACACGTATACGTCGGCAACTTTTGGATGGATATGGACCGGGCTCCAATATTATTGGCCCATCTGACATGTCGGTCCGTTTATGTTGTCCTAATCTATGTTACCAAAACACAAGAGTACGAAAGATAACAGAGAGATTTCTTTTTTTTTTTTTTTTTTTTGTCAAAACGTGTCCTTTTTTAAAATCTGGATTCCGGATTGGTCCTGATTTCCAACTATTATAAATTTGAACTCATTATTGCTCTCATCATAAGTAAATTTTTTCTTTTTGGGTTAAGTATCCATCTTTTTTTTACCAGCAAAAGAAAAAAAAAAGTATCCATCTTTTTCTTGTGGGGTAAATGTGTGTCCGTTCAGTTCACTAATTTGAGTTTTTAATTTAAGTTGAGATGTGATGTTATGTGAGTTTTTTACTGTAGTAAAAAATTTAAATGTGATTGTTTCTAAGAGCTTTTTACTGTAGCAAAACTCGAATCAGCGAAAAAAATGAGACCGTAATTTTAAATTCCAATGAAACAGTAATTAGTGAAACAACAAAAATCTTAAATGCATAACAAAACAGTAATTAGTATCTAACAGCCACTTTCAAATGAGTTGCACAGTTGCCAAGCAGTCGCAGTCCCAAAGAGAGAGAGAAGAGGAAGAGGCGGAGATACAAAGGGGTCTTAGATTTTGAAAATTTCTTGTGTAAATATGCTATTAATTTATATTCCTCAAATTTCTGCCATATTGTTTTTCTTATACCCTGCAATATGATATTTACATCATTCTCCCTTTTATCTTTGTCAAACATGCCCTAAAAGGAAAACCGGATTAGTCCGAATTTTCAATTATTATAAATTTTACCTCATTATTGCTCGCATCACAAGTAGATTTTTTTTTTCTCATTTTGAATCTATCCTTTTCTTGTAGGGCAAGTACAATTTTAAAGTCTAACAAAAAAAGTAATTAGTAAAAATAGCAAAATGTTAAATGGCATAATTAAACTAAGAAATGGGTTTGGTGGGTACAAATTTTCAAAGTGACGTATCATTTATGCATAGCCTATATGAAATGTGGATTGGGTGATAACATTTGGATTCTCATAACATCATCCACTCCAAAACCTTTGGATATGCCAGAGTTCACAGGCCCACAAACACTTTTTGATGTCAGATTTTGATGACATATTATAATTACTACTACCTTTTGCACCTTTATGTTACGCCATTGTTAGGTCTAAGGTTGGTTTGTCTGCCCCAAAAAAGAACATTCTAGTATATTAAACGTTAGATAAGCTTGATTTGAATAGAACGATACAAGAAGAATGAGAATAATAAGAGAGAGCACAGGTCAGCTTAATGTGATAAAGATTACTTCTTTTTATACATTATTAAGATTTTTTTATGGCCCCATTTGATTCACACATTCAAGTCGGCATTATTAAGATTTTTTATGACCTATTTGATTTGCACATCTAAGTTAGTAATTTTGATTATGAATTTAAATTTTGTAATTGAACCTATTAAGAAACTTTTTTATTTAAATTTTTTGTGAGATAACAAAATTAGAATCGTAAATTTAAGTCTTAAAACCAAACGAACCCTTAGTACCTTGCAATAATTTAATCGCTTGTCCTAATTCAATGTCTCCGTTAATGTCGAGCAAATTATAAATGACCTCAATTTTCACTTTTCTTTTTTGTTTGGATAATTGCAAGTGACCTGGTTAGCCATAAGCTGCTTTAGTGTGATTAGAGAAAATATAATTGTTTAGTGGGGCTGTTGGGGATGTATAGGTGTTGGAAAGTAAGGGGGAAAAAAAAAAGAAAGAGAAGATAATTTTTTTTATATGGTCAAAAAAAAAAAAAACCATATCATTGAACTTTGGATTTTTTATTTAGTTATATTATATTTACATAAAATTTATATGATTTAGAGAGTGTTTGGTTTATGTATTCAGAATCATTCTTATTTTATGTGTATTTTTTGTGAGAAAAAATACTATAGAGAATCATGAATCATGATTCAGAATCAGAGACGAATATAAGAAACAAACGTCCCCTTACTGATTTAAGACTTCGCATTAATCCTGCTACAGAATCCCAAAAGGAAAAAAAAAAAAAAAAAAAAAACTTTGGTAAACAGTGTGCAGGCAAAGAATAGAGGATGATATGAGTGAGGTAATGATATAAAGGGTGGTTGTGGAATGATTAATGATTCTAACACGTCTTCACGTCCTTCATCTTCATTTAAAAAAATGGTAAAAGGTGGGAGTAATTTTTTTCTTTTCAAATACTTAAACTTTGATGTATTCACCGTTAAGATATGATTTCTTTTTTTATTTTATGATAAATATCATTATTATATTGGCAAATCAAACATGTATCGCGACCAATTCTTAAGCATTCATAATAAAGACGTACACAAAATATAGATCGACGAAGGATTTTTTCTTTTTTTTTCTTTTTTTAGGGAGAAAGAGGAAAATAGGTCAAGACTTGAGATAAATTAAAATTAATAGGCCAATAGTTTACATAAGTTAATAAATAGACCAAATTAATATTTTTGTCAATAATTTGTCTGGTTATGAACCATAACTTGACAAGTTATTGTCTATTTTTGTCTATAACTTATCTGGTTATGAACTATAACTTGATAAGTTTGTCCATAACTTGACAAGTTATGACCTATTAATTTCTATAACTAAAAGTTAGCCTATATACTTTCTTAAGCTTTTCATATTGGCTTATTTTCTACTATTTTCCTTTTTTTTAGAGCGTTACTAAAGAAAATATTTATATAAACAATAGTGATATTTTGATTTTTTAGTTAGATTATTTATAATAATTATTTGTTATAATATTTATTATAATAATTATTTTTGATAACTACCGACGTGATAATGTATAAATGATTTTTATTTACAAATTATTTTTGTTAAGCAACATCAATTAAGAACAACTTATCTCTTCAAGCTAAAACTAAAGAGTGCATTTTGACTCATTTACAAAAGAAAACAATACATTCCAAAAAAAAAAAAAGCGTATAACAAATTTATAAGAATGTTGAAATATAGCAGATTTTTATAAAATAATTTAATAATAGTAAAAGTCAACATGTAATGTAAGTAGTTACTGCGCAAGTTTAATAACTTTAATTTTTGCTATTTGTATAATATTCTATTTTTTTTTTTGTTATATTTTAACCTGAATTATTTGCTATACGTCTAATTTTCAAAAAAAAAAAAAAAAAAAAAAAGCTCAAATCAATTATGGGGCTTAGCCCGAACAAATTCGGGTTGGGAGTATATGATTCAGCCCACATAGAATGGGCCCAATAATCTTGGAAGTGATAAAAAAAACTCGGCCCACATAGTGTTACTGAATCCCTAAACCTACCACTATATAAAGTAGTTCTTCTTCTCTATTCGAGTTTGTTCACCGCTGGTCTTCTTCAACCCTAAAGTTCGCTGTGCTCAACAACGCAATCATGGTAAAACCATTCTCTTCATTTCGTCGTTATCCTCTTCATTTTCTTGCCCATTCCTTGCGTTAGATTCGTAATAAACGGATTAAATTGTGTAAAATTCTAGATTCTGCTTGGTTTAGGGTTAGGGTTGAGTTTTATCTGAGAGATTGTTGATGTAATTCGTTTTAGTCCATTGAAAATGATAATTTTCGTACTTTTTGAGGACTAAATAATACTCAGTTATTTGTTAAATTTAGTTTTTAATAGATTTTTATTTTCATTTTTATTGACTCGTGTTATGAAGCGATTGGCGAATAAGATTCTACTTGTATCTAGCGATTGTGATTTATTGTGGACTTTAATTATTGAAATGGCGGTTTATTTCGTTTAGGGTTTCTGTTTAGTTACTATGGTTTGTTTAGTATTAGTCTAATTTGAGAGGTAATTTCTTATATTTAATATGATTTGTCGCCTCGTTTATGGTTTTCTTATATTTGAAGAAACTTTACTAACTTCATTTTAACAAAATAGCGCTAGATTTCAGCAAATAAATAGAATGTCACTAGTTTACAACTCTAAAATAGCTTATTTGAATTGTTTAAATGATGCCCAGAAATTAGTTTATTACTTTCAAGTTTTTAAACAAGATGCCTGGATAATAGATTATCACTTTCATAGATAGAATAGTTGTACTTGTGGTTTGGTTACGATTTTTATTAAAATAATATATGTTTATGCTGTTGGAAAGGAATTCAATCCCGTAATGATGAACCTTTTTAATACTGCCTGATGTTGTGCTGAATTGTTTGGCTTTCATTGCGAGAAAACGAATGATTTGGCTTGTGTTATTGCAGGTGAACGTTCCAAAGACAAAGAAGACTTACTGCAAGAGTAAGGAATGCAAGAAGCACACCTTGCATAAGGTGACTCAGTACAAGAAGGGCAAGGATAGCCTTGCTGCTCAGGGTAAGCGTCGTTATGACCGCAAACAATCCGGTTATGGTGGTCAGACCAAGCCCGTCTTTCACAAGAAGGTAAATAATTCTACTTCTATGCCATTTTTCTTGTATGAAATTGAAATGAATCATCTAGATTATGTTTTGGAGGGAATTATTATGATTCTGATAAATGATTTTCTGAACAGGCGAAAACCACCAAGAAGATTGTTCTGAGGCTGCAGTGCCAGGCCTGCAAGCATGTGTCTCAGCACCCAATTAAGGTGGGTTGCTTTCGAATTCATTTGCTTATGTTGTTTATGGTATCTATTTTAGTATTTTGTACTGATTGCTGGTTTTGTTTGTTGTTGCTGATTCTGCAGAGGTGCAAGCACTTCGAGATTGGCGGAGACAAGAAGGGAAAGGGAACTTCGCTCTTTTAGATTCATCAGCTTTAGTTTTGATGTTAGTTTGTTTTACTTGTGCTTTCGATATTTTGTTGAGCTTGTTTTTGTTAGACATATGATGTCTTATTACTTGGATCATCTAATTTTGTGTGACTTTGCCAATGCTATCAGTTGAGATTGGAGTTTAAATTCTATTCGATTCTGTTGCACTCTATCTGGTTATCCTCTATATCCAAAATGGAACCATATGAGACAATCACAACCCCCTGTGGGAGAAAGAAAAAGAAATCTCAAAGCCAAATGAAGTCTTGAACTTGTTATAATCAGTTGTAAATTTGCTTGCAAATAATCAAATCGCAGTTCGATATATTGGAAAGCTTTTTTTTTTTATGTCGATTGAGCTTTTCTTGCGCTAACTTGTTTCTAAATAAGGGAAAGCCTACAACGCAATTTGCGCAATTTAAAGTAAAATTTTCTCCTTTCTCGGTCCAAAATCAAAGAATTACTTGTGATATTAGGGGTTGTTCTTTTGCATTTTTGAGTTAAGTATTCTTGAGTGAAGATCTTGAGTTGAGTTTGAGTTATAATTTGAGTTGAAGTTGTAACTTGAGTTTGTGTTTGGTTGTGTACATTTGAGTTATGGTTTGAGATAAGAATCTTTTTAAGTTTGTGTTTGAGTGAGTTAAAACTTGAATTTGTATTTAGATAGTATTTCAATAAAAATTCAATGCTTATGGAAAATTTTAATAGGGTATATGGGTGGGGTTTTATTCGTCTTTTCGTTGTCAACGCATAAAAAAAAATCATCTCAATCAGAATTAAAACGAAAAAGGTATAACATTTTTAAGAATAAAAAAATACTGTTTATTAATTTGAGTTCGAGTTTCTAAACTCGAATTGAAGGGAAAACTTGAACTCGAGTTTGAGATTAAAACTCGAGTTCAAACTTAAAAGAACATGAACTTGAATAAAGTTATAACTCGAGTTATATTTTTTTGAGTTTTATTGTTTGCCGAACAACCCCTTAGAATTTAAATTTTGTTATAGTAAAAAATTCTAAAAAATTGTCACATTTAATTTTTTTATTACAATAAAAAGTTCTCATATAAAATAACATCTTAACTCAAATTAAAAATTCGAATCAATAAATTAAATGGATCTTTAATTTTTGTTAGAAATTATGAAAAGGGCAACAGATTATGTGCTATTTGTAGTCTTAATTTTTGTTAGAAATTATTAAAAGGGCAACGGATTATAGTCTTAACTTTTGTTGTAAATTATTAAAAGGGCAACGGATTATTCTCACTGGTGTTGAATTTGAGGGTCATTCTTATTTAGCTTCTTAAATTTAAAAAGTCTAACTCTGCACTTTGAATTTTAAAATTTGTCCACTTACATTGCATAAGCTTGACTTTTCTCTTTAAATTTATGTTAAAAATAAATAGATAAAAACTAAATAACTACTTATTCTCTTCTTTTTTCTGTCCGATTTTAATAGAAATCCTTATAAAAATTTAAGTGGGTTTAATTTAAAATTTATGAGATAATGCGAGAATTTTAAAGGTTTAAGTAGTAATTGGAGATTAGGAGAATGAGTAAAGTTCAGGAGTATCAGTGAGAGAGAGATTTACCCTAGGGCCGGCAATATGGGTCACAACACGACGACACGACTCGAAAATGACTCGAATTTTACGGGTTAGGGTTGAGAAAAAAGAGGTTCGGGTCAGAATTGGGTCGACCTGAAATTGACACGAAAAATACAGGTTAATTTCGGGTTGGACCCGCCTAACCCGAACACGACACGAAACTCGTAAAAAATTAAAAAATACATATATTTTTCATTACATATTTTAAATTTTATTATGAATTTGTGATATCATGATAGTTATATTCAAAATCTTATACTATTATTTGTTTAATTTCAACTATTGTAATTTAGTGTGTTATGAATTTTAAGTTATTTCTAATATGTAAAAAACTAAATAAAAGTATACAATTTTCGTGTCAATTTCGGATTCACGGGTCAATTTCGTGTCACAGGTCATTTTCGGGTCGTGTCGTGTCAACTCGTAAAGTGGTCGTGTCGTGTTCGTGTTGTGAATTTTAAAAATTTTCGTGTCACGGGTCGTGTTCGGGTTGACTGTAAATTTAAAAAAAAATAATCAAAACACGACACGTGACACGAATTGACACTCCTAATTTACCCTACGTTTTATCTCTTTTCACCGTCATAAGCGACATGTTATTGTTTTAATTGTACGGCAGCAAATCTTTACATATGAATCCGTTAAACCAGAGTAAAATGTAAATCGGGCATCTCTCTTTTTAAGAGTAACACGATAGATTAAAGATTTGCCGTCTTGCAAACTTTCAGTCGTATGACTACATAGTTGAAAACTAGAAAAGACATGTCGTTCCGTCTACAAACGAGAAGCAATATCTATATACGACATGTCGTTTAAGCACACAGACGACAATCCAACGAGAAACGACATTCCAGCTTCTTCTTTAGTGGCGTTTACAAACATCGTAGATCATTGAACTTTTCAGCAACAGTTTCCAAATTTTCCCAGCAGAAAAGGACAAAGAAAAGGGGAGAAAAGAAAAAACTCATTTCAGTCATAAACCCTACAAATCCCCGGAAGAAACGAATCCCGGATTTTCTAGACTCTGCTTCTCACTCTCTCCATCTTCACGACGAGACGATGAGGAGCGTAATCTCGGGCGCGAAGCTCGCGGCTGCGGCGGCGAACAGCATGCGGCGGCCATGGCCTGGGGCGGCGGCTCGCGGGTACGGGCTGATCCCGATGGTTATAGAGCACTCCTCCCGAGGCGAGCGAGCCTACGACATCTTCTCCCGCCTCCTCAAGGAGCGCATCATCTGCATCAATGGCACCATCTCCGACGACACCTCCCACGTCGTTGTCGCCCAGCTCCTCTTCCTCGAGTCCGAGAACCCTTCCAAACCCATTCACATGTACATCAACTCCCCCGGTGGCCATGTCTCTGCAGGTTCCTTCTCCATTTCTTCCCCTTCTTCTTCCTCTTTTCAATCGTTTGATTTTTCGATTCGGATTTCGCGGATAGGATTGAAATTGTTGATTTGTTCGGATTCTATTTTCGTTTCTGGTTTATCTACGGTGTTTTAAAGTTAAAACTTTTGGATCTTAGGGCATGCGTACTAAATTGGAAATGAAAGAGAAGAAACAAGAAAGCTTTCTAGTGTTTGTTGGAATAGGAAACAATCCAATTCTCTTTCTAGTTATTTTAGTGATTTTAGAAATAGAGAAATCCTTATAGCTTAAATTATAAGATATCCTTGTGCATAAAATTGGTTAAACTTCAAGATTTAGTAAGTTTGTTTAAATTAATTTTGTGATTTATTTCGATTTGAAAGAAAACAAAATTGGGGGAACTTAGGATTGGTTTTCTCATTTTCTATATCATGTGGGTGTCACTAAATTAACAGTTCTAATTTAGTAAATAAACACATAAATAAGTGGAAAAGGAAAACACTTTGGCTTTCTCTTTCAATTCATGATAAGTAAACATGACCTTAGTAGGTGTTATAAACATTAGCGAACTTTTGTGATTTTTTCTTTTCCTTTTTTTTTTTTGGACAGGTCTTTTAAAGTTTCAATCTTTGATTTTGCTTACGAACTTATCTCTGATTGATTGACCATATCTTAAAACCTAAGATGTTGCTACTTTCAATTGTTACTTGGTGGGCTTGGGATGTCCGATGTGGTGCATGATGGCTAGGAAGTGGAAAGGTTATTCGATTGTGTTCGAGCGGGTACTTCATTCGGTTCTAATTTTGGGTTGGAAATATTGGGTTCTTACGAGAAATGTTAGCTTCAATTTTTGTGTAGTTGGCTAAAGATTGTAAGCAATGAGATATTTCAGATATGAATCCCTTCATGTGAGAACTGATAAAACTGAAAACTACGATTCAAGAGCCCACAAACATGAAAAGAACTAAAATTGACATCCTAAGCTACTAGGACAAACCATGTTAAGTAATATTTAGATTTACTACATACCTCGTCACCTGAAGCTTGAAGAAAAACTGAACCAGAGTTGTTACTAAGGATAAACAAGGGATGATGGAACCAATGAACTGTGATGGAAGTTCTATCTTCTATACTAATTGAATTTGGATTAAATGCACTCATATTTGTTTGACATAGCCTTTTCGAGCTAGCTGGGGTTGGACATAAGCCCTGGCCTAACATGAGTGTTTTAAGCCTACATGTTTGCTGTACGGTTTTTTTTGTATGCTGTACATATTATATTGTCCTTTCAATTTCTTCGTACCGTCATCTTATGACGTAATTCTTAACGCTTGAATGCGCATACATTACCTTATGTTTTTGTACATCTATTTGATCCCAAATTGACACAAGCATATGAGATCTGATAAATTTATTTGGTTAAGTGGAAGCATCGTTAACATTGCGTGGGGCTTTGTTGCTACAGGTCTTGCAATATATGACACAATGCAGTACATTCGGTCACCAGTCAACACCACTTGCTTAGGTCAAGCTGCATCAATGGGCTCTCTTCTTTTAGCTGCTGGTGCCAAGGGTGAGAGGCGATCGCTGCCTAATGCAACAATTATGATTCATCAGCCTTCTGGTGGTTACAGTGGGCAGGCAAAAGATATGACGATTCACACAAAGCAGATTGTTCGGGTTTGGGATGCCCTCAATGAGCTATACTCAAAGCACACAGGCCAGACAATCGATATAATTCAGAAGAACATGGATAGAGACTACTTTATGACCCCCCAAGAGGCAAAGGATTTTGGGATAATTGACGAGGTTATTGATCAAAGACCAGTGGCTCTTGTAACTGATGCTGTTGGTATTGAAGGCAAAGATAAAGATAAAGATAGAGGCTCCAATAAACATTAGAGGGTAAGATCTTGGCGTGGCAGATCGCTGCTTTTGAGTTTAATCTTGACTTTGTTAGAATGTACTTTCTTTATCTTTGGAAAATTTGTTTTTGTCTCCTTCTAGAATGTTCTAGCATTTGATTATCTATTGCTATTTATATTTGACCTTTGTTTGGGTTCATTCTTATGAAACTAATGTTACCTCCTCACTACTTTTTCAATATCAAGGACCAGAGCTTTTGATTTTACTCGTTTCTGCAAGTTGTAGTGTGTAAAATGGTTCTTAAAACTTTTGTCCTACAACTTTCAGATCTTATCTTACTGATTGGAAAAAAGAGGATAAATCTGAAAGCAATTATAAGAGACAGAGTTCATACATGCACTAGTTGAAAGTGAGGAATATGCTCTTCACTTGTTGATTTTGTTTTTGTTGGTTGGTTTAGAGAAAGAAAAATTGATATTTCCATTAGGCTTGGCCTCATTTATAATCAGGTAGTTTAAATCTACCGACCTTGCCTGGATTCTTGAGGGGGGGAATATTTCTGGTATAAAAGGCCTTAAATAGTTTTCCTCGAGAGAAAAATATCACATTTCTCTACCGTATTTAGTAGTACGATCTATCACCTATGTCATTGCATTTTTTGTTAGAAAACCCAAAACCAAAAGGGCATAGCTAGGCCTCCTAATTAAATGCTTTTTAAGTTTTGGCCAATACAAGGACTTCTTATATGCAATTATGTCTAAATAAACTCTTCTTCTTTCTTGAGCGTCCTTTGCTTAGTTCTCTTAAAACATCCTCAAATTGCACACATATTGCTGGCATTTATTCTTTTTGTATCTAATTTAAACCTTGGTGGAAAGAATAACAATAAGAAAGAAAGTGTGAAAAAAGAAGAAGCGTTGTTTCCCTTTTTTTTTGGGTATGTTGTTTCCCATTCAATATCAATAGAGCATTTACTTTGAGGGAAAGGAGAAAAATAATGAGTTGAATTTTAATCTTTTATTTTTTATTAATATATTTTTTAGTTAAACGGGTAATAATTAAGAGTAAAAGGTTTTTTTATTATTATTTTAAAAGTGGTTCAAAAATCGTCAATTTAGTTTGAAAATAATTCTTAAATTAAGGAGTATCTAATCTAATGTATCAAACAATTTAAAGGCAACGATGTCGTATGCTTTTTCTTCGCTGCTGTTTTTAAGGAAGACACCGACATAACCATCCTATAGTCCGAGGATTTATTAACCCTCCTTTAGAACCCCCAAAAATATAAAAATAAAACAAAAACATTTGTATAAAAAATGGGAAAATAAAAAATGTAAATAACGTTGTTTGTCTGTGAGTCGTCCCAAAGAAATAGTGAAAATACTCTCCATTCACCAATGCAAAAAAAAAAAAAAAAAATCCCAAAAATTCCCGTTTTGTCCCTTCCCCATACTTGCCCAAAGCCCCAACCAGACCCAAAGCCCAAACCTTTCTTCCTTCCTTTCTCTCTCACAAAATCTACTCTCTCTCTTCGACCGCCTCTCTTTTTCTCTCTATCGTTCACATACGCACGCACTGTTTCTCTTCCACAATTGTCGAATGCTGAAGCTTTCGCCTTCTCTCTCTCGTGCTCCGATGACCTAGCATCCGCGGCGCCGGGAGGTCCGCCGGCCGTCCACCGCCGGTCGAAGATTCCTGACCGAGTTCCGGTGATTTGGGGATATATCTAGGGTTTGGTTTTTGGCGTTTCTTCGATTCGATTGGGAGCGAGAGATACGAAGTTCGATAAATTTTTAGGTATTGTTTTCTTCTTCGCGGGTTGTGGTGGTAGTGGCGGCGTCGACGCCATGGCCGGGGGGCGTAGACGCGGAGCGAACAAGGCCAAGGCTAAGGGCCAGTTGAGCCTTGGTGATCTTGTCCTCGCCAAGGTCAAGGGATTCCCTTTCTGGCCTGCCAAGGTCTGCCTTCTTTAAAAAAAAAAAAATTATTTCTTTACAATTTCTCTTCTTCAAAATTTTGGTTTTCGCCTGCTATTACGATATCTATCATGGTATTTGCCGTTTGCGATTGTTTTGGCTGTCTCTCTCTCTGTTTTTTTAATAGTTTTTCTTTTAGATGTATTTTCTCTAGTTTTATCTAGCTATGTATCTGGTACGCTAACGGATTCGAACGAGGGATTTTTGGAATTGTAATTATTAGTATTTTCCTTTTGCATTAAGTTTTGCGGTGGAGTATTAGTTGCTGTTCAGTAATTTTGAATCTGTGAGCTTATTTATTTATTTATTCGTTTTTATTATATGTATTCCGTTGAATTTTTGTTGAAACTAGGGTTCTTTTGTTTTGATGGTTCCGTCTTTTCTAAAATGTCGTTTTTGCTGTATATCTCGCGGTTATGATTTGTAGATTCATGCATCTGAAACTAAGAAACGTGTGTTAAGCCTGCAAGTATTTTATTACCATGGTCCAATGGCTTCGTTGCCGAGTGAATCGGTTATGCTGAGTTTTTATATAGTTCATGTTGATGTGATTTTGCCTTTGAGGTGGATTTCTTTGGTTCTGGGTTTCAGATTAGCAGGCCTGAGGACTGGAAGAAACCTCATGATCCCAAGAAATATTTTGTTCAATTTTTTGGTACTGAGGAAATGTAAGTCCCATTGAGTTATTCCATATTATCTTATGATGTATAGTACATGTATTCTTGAACTGCAAATTAAACATAATTATGAGTTTTCCAATTCGGAAGTAGAACCCATATGGTAAAAATGGCAGCTTCTATTGAAGTATGAAAGTAAATATTGGTTTGTTGCATCCTTCTGAAAATTTGATCACAAAATTTTTTGAAAATTATGGCATTAATATTTTGTTTTCTTGCTTTTTCTTAATATTGGGTTTAATTTATAATTTCTTTAGAGAGTATTGATTACCGGAAGTTATTGTTGATTCATTTTGTTGTATTTCCTAATGTTGTGCATGTATTTTTGATGTGATAGTAGGTTCTGTTTAGTTGGTTAATAATTTCATTTTATGTTGGTTCCTAATATTTTTCATATGTTGTTTTTCTACTTCTATCAACCTTTATTTATTTATTTTTTCTCTCTTGTTTATTCTGATTGCTATGGCATCTTAGTTTTCCCACTTTATTATATTTGTCCTTTTTCAGCGCATTTGTTGCCCCTGCGGATATTCAGGCATTTACTAGTGAGGCAAAGGCTAAATTATCAGCTCGGTGCCAAGGTAAAGCAAAGCCCTTTACCCAAGCTGTGAAGCAAATCTGCGAGGCATTTGATGAGTTGCAGAAAAATAAATCAAGTGATTTGAGGGATGACACTGATAGATCGGAACTTGGATGTGAGGTTCGATCTATTGATGGGGTTGAGAATAATGAGGCCGACGCTGACACAAAGGATGGGTCGGGTATGATTGGCTCTGATGAGGAAACGATGAATGAGGAAATAGGTGATTCTAGCTCTAAGTTGGAGCGGTGTTCACAGAGACGAGGTGAAAGTGATAATCAGGATCTAAAGCCTTTTGTTGATGCTTGTTCAAGTGGCGGTGTGTCTTCTGCCTTGTCTAGTGAGAAAAAAGGTGAAATTCTTGAAGTTGCTAAATCAAAGGAGGTAATTGTGAAATCGGAACCAGATTCTTCCAATCCAGAGGAAGTCCTTTCTGATGATGGACAGAGGGCCGTGTCAAATGGTCACAAGTTGAAGAAAATGGGATCTGAATCAAAGAGAAAGAGTGAAGGTGGTCTTGAAGTACATAAAGATCCCAAATCTTGTGAGCAACTGAAAGATGGAATGAAAAAAAAAAATGCTACTGGTGGGAGCAGAAAGGAATATTTTTTGGAAAATAAAAGGGGTTCTGAAACTTGTGGTGGAAAAAAGGCTAAAGGCGAGGCTAAGACAAAAAATCATTTGAAGGTTCCAAATGATACACATCGTTCTTCTGTTGATCCTGAGGAACAGTCCGAGGAAAAACTTCCTGGAAGGACAAAAAGGCCCCAGCTTGGAATTGGCAAATCTAATTTGGAAGCAAATGACATTTTACGCTCTGCAAAAAAGTCAAAGTATATAGACGCAGGGGACAATTCCCCTGTGGAATCACTCTCCAAAAACAAAAATAAGGCAGCTCCAAAATCAGATTTAAAAAGATCAACATCACGAGGAAAGGCAGAAAATCACCTCACATCAAGAGCCCACAATGTTGTTGCACCCAATGTTCAAGGCAATGAAGCTGTCCTACCTCTGTCAAAACGTCGTCGGCAAGCACTAGAGGCTATGTCTGATTCACCTAATGTAGTCTCTGATATTAAGATGGAAAAGGATTCTGCAGTAAAGAATGGCGTTGCATGCTCCAGCAGTGTAAAAGTTGTGGCAACTCAGTTACAGAGAAAAAGGAGGGCTGTTTGCCTTTATGATGATGATGACGAGGATCCCAAAACCCCTGTTCATGGAGGATCTGCCACATTTGTTAAAACACCTTTACATGTTTCAGATGGTATCAAAAGTTCCAATGCAGGTAGTAAGAGATGTGAAAATGCTCTAGATAATGGTAGAGATTCTACTGAACCGTTGGTTAGTCACATCAAGGAATCCTCTATGCCAAATGGGTCTCTGTCACCCAAAAAACCTCAAGCCAACGAGGAGCAGCGTCCTAGCCAATCTCAAGGTGATGAAAAGGGGTCTGAGAGCCAACATGAAAGTGATGAAAAAAGGCTTGACAAGGCAGAGAAATCAGAATCTGAGTCGTTGTCAACCAAGGAGGCAAAACCAGTCTTGATATCTCCTATAAAGTCTCCACACGTGCTTTCTGCTGTCAAACCAGCAGTTGAACAACTTAAAGCTACAAAACCGTTGGCTAAAGTCACCAGTGCAGGCAGTCAAAAGAAAGCTCAGGCAGGGCTTAGCAAGGGCTTAGTTTCAGTTTCTAACGGTTCTCAAAATCAAGCAACAGCTCAGAGAAACAAGCCTGCTTCTTCTACAGAAAGATCTAAACCTACTACAAAATCTCTCTCTCGAACAAATGACACCACTGTTCTGAGAGAAAAATCTACAGAGCTTGGTGAAAGGTATGCATACTGGACTCTCGTAACTCTTTCTATTATATGCATCTTTCTTCTTTTTTTCCTTACCCCCCAATGACCCCCACTGTTTGTGGTTGCTAATAGCAGTTTGGAAGCCAGTAGAGAGGAGCGTGGCAGTTTATTCCTTGATTCTAGGACACCCGACTCTGCCATGTCTATGAAGCTTCTTATTGCAGCTGCACAAGCAAAGAGGAGGCAAGCTCAATCGCAAAACTTTACATTTGACATTCCAGGTTCTGCCTTTGTGTCCAACAATGATTTCCAAGGGAGGAGCCCCAGCCCTTCTGCAGTTCGACGTTTTTTATCTGGATCCAGTGATGCTATGCTGGCAGATATCCAGGGTTCTTATACTACTGCAACGTTAGGTTCTCCATCCACTCACGCTCGCGAGTCTGCATCACAAAGTCAGCTTGAAATTGAAGAACTTGAGGAGAGAAGAGTTAGTTCTGGAAATAGGGTTGCTGGAGGCTCACTTAGTGGGGGCACCGAGGCGGCTGTTGCTCGTGATGCTTTTGAAGGAATGATTGAGACTTTGTCTAGGACTAAAGAAAGTATTGGACGTGCAACTCGTCTTGCCATTGATTGTGCAAAGTATGGTATTGCAAATGAGGTAGGCTCTCATGCATATTCTCCTTTTTATTTCTGAATAATTTAGTTTTCTTTGAATTGGATTGTGTAAATAATAATAGTAAAAAAAAAAAAAAAAAAAAAAAAAAAAAAAAAAAACTGCTGGCAGCTGTCCACAACTTTTTTTTCTCCTCTAACTTCTTTGCTTTTCTTTTCTTATGCTGCTGCTGGCCTCTCTGCTTAGTTGGTTGCATGCATGTTTTTTTTTTTTAATTACTAAATGCCATTCTACGGTTGTAAACTTGTACATATAAATGTTGTTTATTTATAAGTTACTTACAATCATGGTGAATCAGTTAGAATTAAATACTTGCATAATTTATTACAGCACCGATCGTTGTACTTTTCTTGTGCTCTTTGCCCCTTTTTTTTCAACGCTCACTAGCTTCTAGACAATTTATGAGTCACTTCTTCGATTTTATTCTTTTTATTAATATTATTTGAGGCCTTCACTTTGAGCACCTCAGGGCATAAACATCACCTCACAAGTACAATGCACTACAGTACCTAAACTATCTTTTCAGAACACCTGTATAAAGTTCTATGGATTGGGCGGATAATAGGGGAGAGTGTAAAAGCTGTTCAAGTGCTATCTACCTAGGTTTTGGAATCAGCTTTTTTCCCTGTTTAGCATAAAAGTCGTTTTTACTTAGAAGGGTGAAAGTATTATCAAATGCACAAAAGGATGGTTAGTTGTTCAGAGATTGGTGTGTTTTGAACATCTTTGTTTTAGTAATTTGTGGAGTAAGGAGAGGGAGGGACCTACTGTTGAGGGAGAGAGAGAGAGAGACATACTGGAATAAACTCAGTTTTATTAAGGGATGCCTTTTTAGCCGAATTAAGATATAATTTCTCTTTACTATATTCGCTATCTGGTGCCTATTGTTGAGGGAGTTCGGACTTTTTCGGGTTACTCCAGGGAGCTGCAAGGAGTTGTGTGTCTTCCTTTTGGTCTGGACCTAATGTTAGGAGAGAACGTTTGGGGAAGGTTGCAGTTTAAGCTATTTTTTGGGGCATATGGTCTTGAGAGACCCTAGAATTTTTTAGGGCCCCGAGAAAGATTGTGACGTCAATTGTGACAGGGTTAAGTTATCAATTGCAGTCTGGGTCCATAGGGATAAGGAGTTTAGAAGTTTGTATTTTCTGACCTTATTAGGAGTTGGGATCCATTTTGTTAGCTTAGTCGCTTTGTTTTATTTTCTTCAGGATATCTCTTCCTCTTTTGGCAGTAAATAATCATTATCATTAATACAAATTTCTTGTTTCAAAAATAAAAAAAATCCTTATTTTTGCAGGTTGTGGAGCTATTAATCCGGAAATTGGAAACGGAGCCTAGTTTTCACCGAAAAGTAGACCTGTTTTTCCTTGTGGATTCCATCACCCAATGCTCTCATAATCAAAAAGGTATCTGGACTTGAGAAGTTCTTCATTCTAAATGTTAAGCTTTGTTTGTTTTTTACACGCAAAAGTGTGCACTGCTTTTGATAAGAGTGTACCTATGAGTTTTTGTCTCTGGGGGCATGGGCTTGAACATTTGTCTTGTCTACTAGATCTTTCTAATATTGCTAATACTAATTTTCAGGCATTGCGGGAGCCTCCTATGTTCCAACTGTTCAAGCAGCATTGCCTCGTCTACTTGGTGCTGCTGCTCCAGCTGGCTCGGGTGCTCGTGAAAATCGCCGACAGTGTCTCAAGGTAATATTACTTTTATTTAACTGAGGGGATCCTTTTTTATGTAAAATACACACTAATGATTTTAACAACCAGGTTTTACGGTTGTGGCTTGAGAGGAAAATTTTTCCTGAGTCACTTCTTCGTCGTTACATGGATGATATTGGAGTTTCGAATGATGATACGACTGCTGGATTTTCCCTTAGACGTCCATCTCGAGCTGAGCGTGCTGTTGATGATCCAATCAGAGAAATGGAAGGCATGCTTGTTGATGAGTACGGCAGGTCCGAAACTAATCTTTCTGCATCTGTGATTGCAGTATTCATTTGCTTGTCTTTTGTTCTTGGAAGGTTTCAATAAAGACTAGTTTTTTTAAGCCTTTTTTCAGTTGATCTGTATACTTTTCTTGTTAATTGACTTCCTGACGCGTGGATTGCATTTTGCATCAGCAATGCTACATTTCAGATGTCTGGATTTTTATCTTCTCACGTGTTTGATGATGAAGAAGAAGAAGAAGATGATGATGATCTTCCAAGTACTTCTAGGGAAAATGGCCATCCATCACACGTGGAACCTACTCATGCTTCTGGAGAGGCAGAAACATCCATAGTTACTCCAAGTGACAGGCGTCATTGCATCTTGGAGGATGTTGATGGTGAACTTGAAATGGAAGATGTTTCTGGACACCTGAGGGATGAAAAGACGGTGCCAAGTGGCTCTTTTGAAGCAGACACACAACAAGATGTATCAGACAGGATTTCAGAACCAGCTTCAACCATTTCCACCGAGTTGCCTCCTCTACTGGAGGGTTCTCCACCATTACCTCTTGATTCTCCTCCTCCACCCCCACCTTTGCCTCCTTCACCACCACCACCACCACCACCACCACCCCCATCATCTCCATCTCCGCCGCCGCCGCCACCACCACCGCCTCCTCTACCTTTAGAGTCACCTCCTCCTCCTTTGCCACCTTCTTGCCCCCCACCAATGTTGGTTTCTCAACCATCTATAGCGACTCAGCCTTCATTATTATTGCCTCAACAGATGATGCCATCGCAAACGTCAGCACAGACACATTGCTATGCTCCTACTGGAGTCTCTGGTCCTCGGGAATCCTCTGGGTTTAATTCTTCAAGGCAATTGGAACATGGACATAATGATATGTATGTGAACCCACAAGTTTCTCAACCGAACCAACAATTTCCACAAGGTAGTACTCCTTATGTACAAAGACCTTTACATCCTGTACCACCTCAAAACCCTTCCGGCCATTTCTCTTATACGAAGCCCACAATTCAGCAACATCCTCAGCATCCGTACCACCACCTATACCCTTTGCCGTCCCATCCTGATGGTCGGAGGCCGCCATTGGTTGGTGATGAACAGTGGAGGATGCCCACTAGCGAGTTCAAATCAGAGAATCAGCGTGGTGTATGGATGAATGGGGGGATGACAAATTCAGGCCCACCATTTGGCCAAGAAGGTATGGACTTTCCATCTTGTAGCAAGCTGGAGATGTTTATGAAAAATTTATGAATAACTGTTCAATCAAATCACATTGAATTCATTAGTTGGTGTTGAAAAAAGTGGACAAGATTACTTCGATAGGTTTTGTGGATTGATTATATTAGTTAGACCTTATGTAGTTTGGATGAAGTTGTAACTTCCTATTCTGATGAATGTTTACTTTATTGGTATATATTTATTGCATGAGCTTGCAATTGGATAAATATACTGAAAGTTCTGAGATTTCTGTACGTCCCTTATAGGTATAATGTGCCTTATAGGTATAATGTATGCATAAACAAAATGCCAACTTTACATGTATCTTTTAGATATAACCTAAGAAAAACAAGAGGGTTATTATGTTTTTTTTTTGAAATAGTTCGTACATTGAAATTGTAAGTTATGCATGGATGCTAAATAAAATTAAAAAATCCATGTGCTATTATTCTTAATGTTTCCTGGTGTAGTTTTTGAAAATTCCTGCAAATGCTTTAATGGATGATGCATGGCAGGTTATTTCCGGCCACCCTTTGAAAGGCCACCAACAAATAACGTGGGTTTTCAGCACTCTGCACCCAATCCTGTACCAACTGGTGCTCCAATATCAGGTAACTTCGATGTTCGTGTTGAAGTTGCTTCATCTCATTGGCAGAGTGATCATATGTCCTTATTAAATAATTGAACCGCTGCTACAAAGGAAAATTAGACCCTAGTGGTATTTTTTTATTCATTTTCATGTTTATTATTTTTTTTTTTTAACAGGTCATGGAGTTCCTCAGATGTTACCGAGTAGACCAGATATGTCCGCTCTTAATTGTTGGAGGCCAACTTAAGGTGAACTTGAAGTTTTCTTGTACGTTCCATGTTCATGTGTGAAGTACCCACTTCACAACTATTGAAACTTTGCCCAAAAACTGCTTGTCATTTTTATTTTTTTTACCTGTCCAGGTGGAAAAAAAGCTGGACTTATTAAAAATGATAAAATGGGATAAACATTAGAAATAATATTTAAAATAGTGCAATGGAGCACACTTCTCTTGATTCTTACATCTCTATATGATTTTCTGACTGAATGTTTACATCCAGTGAGTTTTCCAGTATAAATGTTATATTAACTTATTTAATTAATTTGATTCTTTTTCTCATCTCTCCTTTGGCTGATAAGTTATGCTTCAGTTGTTTCAGATCTGTGGATGGAAGAACAAATATTGAAGCCCCGTTATGCTGGGGGTCAAAGTAAATTGTGTACAAAATCCAACCACAACTTGAAGGCAGTGTTGAGAAGTGGAGGCCCTTGGCAGGATTGTGTATATTGTAATTTTTCCTGACAAATGTATCCCGAGAACATTTGCTTCCAAGTGTAGGCTCATGTTTCTGAGTTGGTTAGTATACCCATTTCTCTATTAATGTAATTCTTACTATTAAATTGATAGGCATCAAGCTCTGGAAATTAAGATGAGCTTCGTTAAAATCAACTTCTATTTATCTAGTCTTCTAAATAATTTTTTAATGCATGTCTTGTTTTCTTTACCTCTGTGGGTTAGAATGTCTGATATTGCGTGTTCTTTGGTTAACTTATTTTATCTCGTTTCTTGTATTCTTTTGGAGAGTCTCCATAAAAGCTCTCCTCCTTATGTTATTTTCTTGGTTGGGCTACATTTTTAATTGAGCTAACATTGGATATTGGCATCTTTTCATATGGAGGGTCCCCATTGAAGTTCTCCTTGTTATATGATTTTTTGGTTGGATACACGTAATTTAGCTAACATTGGATTTCAGTATGAGTTGTAATCTAGAGTCTATTATTTGTTTTGATTTAGGTGTAATGGTGATGTCCAAAATTTTCTTGTATATCATTGAGAATAGTTCAACATGCTAATTTTGTTAATGGAAGTCTATAAGATGCTTAAGCGATCCACGTTGCTTGATTAGACCAGGGTTCTAAATTGCGCAATTGGGTATTGAGGCGTATTCCTTTTGTGAGGCGAGGCATAAGCCTCAAAATAAAAATTTCTAATTAATAGTTATAAATCATAACTTAACATCAAAAAGTCGTATTAGTACTCAATCAGAAGTAAGATTTCTAAAATAAACAAGTTTCATAAGCAAGAAGTCTAAATTAAATACTAGTTATGTCTCCTAATCAAGAGTCACCCCACTCCCATCACTTAGTTGGTCTTCATTTTTATACTAACTTTGTGAGTATTGCACACATATATAACAAATCAAAGACATGTTTGTTCCAACTGACACGTTCAGTATTAAATATAGAAAACTTGGTTTACATACCCATTTTGATTTTGGGGATTATTGGCCAAAAAAACATTGTGGAGATTTTGCCGAGAGATCATTGACATTTCCACAAATATCCATGATATGTTGACGTTGTGGACTCATTTATACTGAAAGATCTTTATCTCTGTTGTTCATGTTGACTCTGAACAGATGGACTCTGTTGCAACAATATCAACGATCATGAATATTGCATTTAGTAGAAAACTATCCATTTAGAGAGCTATTCATTTTTGCTGATAGAATGATAAGGAAGTTAGGTATGTTTGATTAAATTTTCATGAACTAAGACCATTGCAGCTCCTTTTTATTAATCTACTAGATGTTTCTAAAATTTGGAAATGAACAGTTAATGGAGGTTTTGTATGGTGACTGACTGAAGAAAAATAATAAGAGAGATGGCTCACGATACTAAACAGCTGATGGAGGTTTTATGCTGTATAGAATATGATTAACTGGAGAAAAGTTTTAAGAGAAAGGGCACACTTCAAGTCCATTCTTTAAGTTGGTGCTACTGTCTCACACGGTAATGCAGAGATAAAGAAGAACTCTTGTAGACTATATGCGTGTTTACAGAGAAAATGGGAGAGAGGTACCTGATATATATACATATATATATAATATATAAATATATATATATATTTCTCCTTGAAAGGCTGTTAACCGTCATTTTGGTAAATGAAAAGGTGCATTCTTTTGCATGCATGCATATTGCATAATCATCGCAGAGGGAAGCATAATGTTGAATATCATATGACAGTTATTACATTAAGCATGCACATTTGCACAGTTACTCGAAGAGTTGGTTTAGAAAGAAGGCAACATGTAGAGAAGGGGATCTCCTTAACCCTTTTTTATGAACTTCAAGTAGAAGGGTATTTCTTATCTATTGTGTTTTTCATGGATCTATGCTCATGGTAAGATAGTACTCTCCATGTGCCTGCAGAGGAATTCTAATATGGCATTATTTTTCTCTGTGTACTTTTAGTGAAAATTCTTAATGAGAAACAGGATCATTTATTTTTAGATGTTTTGGTAGTGGCAAGCCGTGGCTCTCTTAATAGAGGAATCATATCTTTCCTGTTCAGCTTCCAAGAGAAGCACTTGACTTGGTGGATGGAGTGGGATGGAGCGGGGTTTCAGAATTCAAGAAAGGCTTTTCATGAATTGTGCTCTATTAACTTCGGTATAGCATTGTGGACACAGTATTTTTCAGAATTCAAGAAAGGGTTTCGAAGTTTCCTTAATTCTTATAATCCATAGGCTGGAAGAGTAACTTTAACTTTCTGTGAGTGCTCTTTGGTTCAACGTCCGCGCTTTATATCGTTTTCTTTTCCTTTCTCTCTTCCCTATAAGAAAGTATATTAGCATCTTGCTGTGATGGTGGCATTAGCTTCTTTGAGGGTTACCCTGCTTTCTTTAAAAATTGGATGCAAACTTTAGGAGCCTGGTTATAGTGTCTGTATTGATTCTTCGTAATAGTATCTAGATTTCATTTTTCAGATATTGCATTCGTTTTCAGCCTGAAATTTGAAATGCTTGTTAATGTTTTCTTTTTGTAATGATCCAAACATTGTCAAGCATTGTTCTCCATCTTTTGTGAATTTACCATGGACATGGAAGCGGATATCTCCACCATGACATGCGTGAACCAAGTTTTGCAGCAATAAAGCACGCTGTGCAAATAATTGTGAGATGGCAGTTTTGTTAGCTGAAGTGATAAATGGAACTTGTTATTATTTTCTTCAACATGTCCCACCCAAGTTTGTGCAATATGTCGGAGGGGTTGACCTCCTCATACACCATCCTTTTCTTGTTTTTCAAGGATTGAGGACTTGATTATTTTTGGATTTACTGAATTTCTGCTCCAATGAAAAATTTGGAGGAAAGTAGTTTTCACTTCAACTTGACCATACATGTGTTGAAAAATTTGTTTGTTCGTAAGTTTGGTTGCATCAGGCAATGAATTTGGACCGATATTTTTTTTTTTAATAGGATTTTACAGTTTATTATGCGACAAGGAATATGTAGTTCATGAATTATCCATGTAACCTCATCTATCGTTACCTTTGTGCTGAAGCCTGAAGGACAACTTCACTCGTGTAATTGCAGGTTTTTGCAAAAGGATTAATCCAATTTTGAAGTCATAATGTGGTCACTTACAAAGGCATAGTGTTCTACTTCTTAGCAGATAAGACTGCTTCAAAATGTTGAGGTAAATATTTTACATGATCTTTGGGCACGGACAATGCTCGTTATGATTTCTTGGTTGAGTACAGTTTCAATGCAACAGTATTCCAGTCCATGTAAATTTAGTTCTGGATGCTTCAGAAATGTTGAAAAAACTCACCTTTTTAAATAGTTTTTCATATTTTTATTTTTTTTTTACATATAATTATGTATTCTTATTTTATTTATTTATTTTTTGTTAACCATTTAAGAACGTATCCAAGTTTTTTTTTCCTAATAATTCGGATTTGATGGATCTGCTGTTCTGCATGCTGTACTAATACACACCTGACTATAAAAAATCACAGAATTGCTAATTGCTACTACGACTCTTCATTTTCTTACAAACAGTTCATTTCTGGTCATACCTTTATCATTTTTCAGTTCTGAACTTGGATATTCATTTGTTACTAATATTCAATCCCCTATTCTTTGAAAGTGAAGCTTTGTTAGGATTATTTGAAGTTGACTCCAGGTGAAGATTTACATTGAAAAAAGGATAACCATGAAGTCCGGATAGATTGGTTTCTACTGGTCTCATTAATTAATTAATCAGAGTACATCCAAATAAAGCGGATAGATTGGTTTTTCCACTCGGCTTATTCATTCCAATATATTCAGATTTGACTTCCAAGTAGGAGACCATGCTAGCTTTTAGAAATAGGTAATTTCTCTCTTCTGAGAGGCTGTTTTGTTTAGACTTTAGACATGCAAGTTTTATATTTTTGGCGCTTCAGTATTTTACTCGAAGGCATGACTAATTTTTTTGCTTCACCTTGCTGCATGCTAAAAAGCACAAAGCTTCTTTTATCTTTTTACCTGTCTACCAGACATTGAAATGCGCACTATTGCTTCCCTGGTTAATATTCCCGTTGACCTTTAACAAGTCGACTGGGTGATTATTCGAATCGGATGGGAGGTTCTGGTTCTTGGTGTGAACATTTTAAAACATGATGTATATACATAATTCGGCAAAAAAAGGAAAAAAAAAAAAAAGCGTCATTTAAACTAGGGAATAAATTATAATAATTAAAAAAGGGCAAAACAAAAAAGAAAAAATGAAATCAACTAGTGAACAGCCAAGTTGCTCGAGTTGGCAGTAAATTGCCCCAAATTGTTGACTCACAGGACTCCAGAACTGACCGCCAAAATTCTCCATACTCAGGAAGAGCATTTTCGTGCATAACGCGACAATTTAATCTCTTGCATTTTTTGCTTATTGCAACATTTAATTGAAAATAAAAGGAAATAAATAAATGAGAAAAAAAAGATAAAAAAGAAAAGGAACAAATAATTTAAATTATTTATTCACTGATATCTATAATGATTGTACATGAATATATATAAGAATGATCCTGATATATTCAAGCTGTCAATCAAGTTAGGCTACTAATTAGATTACCGATCAATCTCCTATAAGTAATCATAGGAATTTCCAATCATCTTGAAGTTTAAAGTATAACGAATTGCTAACTTCACTCTTAGTATAATGAAATGTTAACATTACTGTTTTTGTCATTTTTTTATCATTATCTGAATTCATTATTTAATATATGAAATTTATTATCTCATTTTCTATTGAAATAATAATATATCATGTTAATGTAATTCACATGTCAAATAATAAATACAAAAAATGATAAAAAAAAGTGCGTACTAATATTTCTCATAATGACAATAGTTTCAAATCTCCACATATATGTTCAAGAACTCCAAAAACTTGTAGAAAGTTCCACAACTCCAAGCTGTCAAAAATCACCCTTCACGGTCCGGTGAGAGCCTTTTTTTTTTTTTTTTTAATCAATATGTACCTTGAAAAAATTAACCTCGAAGTCCAATGCGCATGAGAAAATGCACTAGAAGAATAAACATAACCGTTTCCCATCACATTACAAGCGCATCCATTGTAATTCGTACAAGAAGCCATAAAATGTGCACGTATGGTAGGTAACTCCACTAAAGACAAGAGATTAAATCATGAAAAATGGGCTAAAAATAGAGAGCAAGACAAATAATATAATTAAGTAATATACAACAATTCTTTCCATTTAGCTAAGTGGACAAATAAATCTATATTATGCATTCTTAAATTGTAATCTTCTCTCGGAAAAATTTAATTTGGTTTTGGCTGCTACCTCATTAACGAAATGTAATCAGTTGCGTATGCTGTTCATTCCTTCTGGCTTGTCCTCTTACCTCGCAACAAGTAGAAGAAAAATCCAATCACATCCACACAAGAATGTTTATTTAATTTTGTTGTTTCCTTTTTCACTTCTCTTTCTATTTACTCAGCGAGCTGGTTCTGCAAGGCTCGTCAAAGAAAAAAAAAATTGTGAATAATTTATAATTAATCAAGTGCCGCTTTGCTTCTTCGACCTGTAATTGGCTTTGGCAAGCCATCAAATATTGGTTTGGCAATGGCTCCAGTTGAAAAGCCTTGTATATCTGGTTTCAAACTCCACTTAGATGCTGATCGGATCGATATAGAATTACTACTGTCTGGATCCTGTAAACTTGGTGTACTTGACGACTTTCTTACTCCAGAAAACCCATCAGTTACAAAAGAATCTCCAAGTCCAACTGGTATCTGATTCAATCCACTGGCTTCAACATCGGTTGCCATGGCAGTTCGGCTGCCCGCTTTGGGCCTAAGAGCCAAGTGTTTTCCTGTTATTGCCGAAAACCCACCACCACTACCACTATTATCTTCCAACAGCATTTCAGGGGTTCGAGAAAAGTCGGCTTCAGATTTCTGACGCCTTCTAATGAGTTTCTCGCTCCACTTGTCAGACTCGCCATCCCTAGCTTCAACAACAGGCGTAGTAGTATTAGTAATTTCACCGTTCTCTGAAAATCCGTTGACCAAGCATTTTGACTTCCTATGATGGCTCAAAGCTGGGTCTGAAATTCCAGTAAATACGCCATCGTCTAAATAATTTGGAAGTTCTTTTCTGTAGACTGCCATTTCAATAGCTTCAGAGCTAGGGTTTCTATTTGTTGGCTTAAGACCATAATAACCTTGTAAAGAGCTCATGGCTGGTGAAACATGCTGTGGAGGAGACTTGCTAACTCTTAGGGACTGGAATGATCCGAACAGATCACGGTGCATCCGTTGTGGTGGGGTACGGCCAGAACTGCTTGGTCTGTAAAAGTATCAAGTGACCTTAAGCACGATAAATTGCAAGCGAAATATGCTTGGTAATTTAAGAGAACCCAAATTGCTAACTAACTAAGTAGTTGATTACAGGAAGCTAAAAAACGGAAAATTACTCGCACTGTATGAACAAAGTCTAGATGCCTCCAAAACTACTTTTAAGAATAGTGTAAATATTACTATCATAAATTGAGAAATATGGGTAAAAAAATATAAAATATATATAAGTTAATAAAAGAAATAATTATATGTTTAATTATATAATTCTCATGCCACGGCAATATGTCATAAAGATCTCCCAGAAAATAAAACAATCTACAATGAGGAAGAACACTCCTTCATGAGCTTTGCACGAAATGCAATGGAAACTGGAAATCTGGTGGCAACAATAGAAATTTTAGTTCCTATAGCGGCCTACACGTCTCTGTTAAAATACCTTGACTATGTGTGGTGAATTGATATTTAGTAGCAACTATGATACATCATTTGATCTAGAACACTGTTCCGGGATAATACTTTTAGCAGCAAAACATATGCAACAAATGACACTCAAAAGTGATCTTATATCTAGGATTCTAAAGTAATTGCCTACCAACAGAAACATAGAGCACAAATTCAAGCATCACAAAAACTATAAAACATCGTATTGGTACCACACTATCGCTCATCCTACCATTTTTACCACTTTACTACTTGAATGTGGTGAAGTGGTAGGAAGTTGACAAAACAAGATGACTGAGAAATTCATATGAGGTTCCCGAGTGTCTGATAAAATGATACTGCACAAAACATATGTTTTTACAATGTCATTAGTCAACAAGTATGAACATACCCTGGTGTACTGGAACCGTTTGATAGACAAGGAGAAGGAGGGTGCCTCCCAGGTAGTGGAATCTGAATAGACTTTAGGGCAAACATTTGAAGATCTGTGACGAGACCATTCATCTTTTTTATGTCGGCAACCTATAAAAACATCACCAAAATAAAATATAATAAAAGCCCTTTTTTTGCAATACGGCCAAGGAAATAAGGTAAGGAACCAATACCCAAACAGAAGCCAGCTCCACAGTAGTTTAAACAAGAATTCTAAGCCACAAGAAGAATAATAGGAAGGCATTGCGTTCAAATAGCAACCGAACTCTCTCAATTAATTTATTTTATTGTTAAGGAAATGGAGACTCCTCTTTTTCTTCCCAATGGAAATCAATTCTCTTTACCAGACTTTCTTAGACAAGCAACTCAGGGAAAATGGGTAAAAATCCAAATTTTTAGTCCACCTTTAGCTATAATTTCAACTTTAGAAATCGAGACTGAATGGGAAAAATTGTCCTAATCTTCCTTGTACAACTTCGGGAATCAACATTGAATGGGAAATTTGCTAAATTTTTTAGTCCTCCCTCAGCTACAAGCGATCTAATTCCCATCACCAAGCAAAAAAGAAATAATTTTTCGAATAAAGAGAATATATAAGTAAATAACCATATTACCGTAATTACAGCGAAGTCCAATAAACCAAATATCCAAAAGAACCAATAAGACATTATAAAAAAACATCCGTCTTCAACACGCAGAGTCATATAACAAAAATGTTCAGTATCAATTCAAATCCATCAAAGGAAAATTCTCTACCTCGACACCGTATTTGATGGCGACGCCGGCGAGAGTGTCCAATTTGGAGACGGGATGTTCGATGTAACCGACGGCGGGCGGAGGCGAAGAAGGCAGCGGCGCCGACGAAACCGGAAGCACCGCCGCGGAAGAAGATGGAGAAGGAGAACGAGACGGCGAACTCGTCGGATACCGGCCATTGCAGTTGGTCTGATCTACGCGATTCGCATCGTTGTGGCAGCAAAGCTCACTGTAAATCCCTATGCAATTTCGACTCCGAATCTCTCTTTCCATCTGCATCTCGACCAAACACAACCAGGCATTTCCCAGTCAAAATAAAGAAAAAAAGAATTCACAAGAATTCGTGAGAAATCAATCAAACGGATTCGAAGAAAGAAAATTCAGGGATTATAGAGTGAAGAGGAAACCTAGATCTAAGTGCGTAGGGCGTGAGAAAGACTTGATGATAGGTTTGGCTGCTTTCTCTTTATCTGGATCGACGTTTCTCCCAGATTTTCCGGGAAAATTTGATGAAACATGCGCTCTCTCTCTCTCTCTCTCTCTCTCCTGAGTTCTCTTTCTCTCTCTCTCTCTCTAAAATGAGGTTATGACCTTATGTAAATGAAATCAAAATCATTTATGAAAAACTAACCGTATATACGAGCAAATTACGAGTCGTAAAACGAATCTAATATACGACTACAAATTCCAATTCTAATTTCCACATGAAAAATGTCAAAATATTTTATCCCAATTATGAAAAGTGTCGGTCGCATAAGACCCAATCAAGAAGAAAAAGGATCTTCCTACAAATAATAATAATAATAACAATAATAGAAATAAAAGAAAAAAAAGGAGATTTTTTTTTGACAATTTCTCCGATAGACCTCTCTCTACTAAAAGCTTGTTTTCTGATCGCTAAATTTGATTAGAATCACATTAAATTAAAAAAAATACATAGAACAAGTACAAATTCGATAGTGGAAAATAAAAAATTATTGCTACTTTGTTTTTTTTTAGTCCTGTTAGATAACTTGATTTTTTTTAGAAAGTTTTTTTTTTTTAAATCTCACGAATTAGACTAATGTTTAATACATATAATGTATATTATATTTACAATTATATTACCATATAGTTAACATATTATACAATAATATATATAGTTTAAAAATAAGATATAATTAAACATAACAGGTAAATGAGAATAAGGTTGGAGACTATTAAACCCGTTTATGTCCCACAACCCAAATTAAAATGTAAACTATTTGCAATTCAAATATATTTAAAACGGATTTTTCTCATCCCGTTTAATATGAGTCCCTATAGATAAATAGATTTATGGATAAAATTGTTATTCATACTACCAGCTAATTCTTTGCAAAGTATTTACTTTTTATGAGAAAAAATATATGGTGCATTTGGAATTGATTTTTCTTTATTTTTGAAAATGTTTTTACATGTCTTTTGAGGTACGAAAATAAAAATGGTCTGCCAACTGTGTTTGTTTAATAAATATTTTGAAAACAAAAACAAAAAAACATCGATAATGATTTTTGTGAAAGAATTTATTTTTTTTTTGTTTTTTGAAACGTTTTTACACTTCTTTTGAGGTATGAAAATGAAAATAGTCTGCAAACCATGTTTGTTTAACAAATGTTTTAAAAACGAAAACGAAAATAAAAAACACGAGAATGATTTTTCTAAAGGAATTAGAAAACAGTTGAAAGTTATTTTCCTTTTTCTGTTCATTTTCTAGTACTTATCAATAAAATTATAATATATTAATTAATAATTATATCTGAATATAATTTTTATTATATTCAAAATAATCTCTTAAAAAACTAACCAAACACAATTTTAGAATTAATTTTAAAATAATTTTCAAAATAATTTAATTTTTACTTTTGTATTAAAAATAAAGTTATTTTAAAAGTATTACCAAACGGCCCATAGCTTTTCTAAGAAAAAATATATATTTTGCAAAGAAAATATATTTCGCAAAATAAGTGGATCATGTGGTGCTATAATTGCTGTTTGCTTTAAATTCAAAAAGCAAAAGGGCAACAACGTCATTTAGCCTTAAAAAAATAGTAGACCTATTTTTGTTTTAAGGAAGATTATACCCCCATTAACTCTCGTTTTAACTTTTAAATTATAGATAACTGATTTTGTTTAGTCATTTAAGCTAAATTTCGTGCGAATGACATTTTCCATCTCTACAGCGTCATAAATAGGATCTTTAAGCTTCAAAGATAAGAAGAGAAGATGGTAATAATGAACCCCTCTCTCTATCTCTCTCTCCTCCAAAGAAAGAAAAGAAAATAATAATCGACCAGGAAAAGGAAACCAAGAAAGCGACTTTCTTCTTTTCTAAAACTTTGCTTCAGTAAAAAGAAGTTAATTTTTATTTAAATTAGTAATTGAGAACTATTACGATGATAAATAGATTTTATTTTATTTTTTTCTTTTTATAGTCAAATAAGATGGATTGATCACTCTACTTATAAATACATAGGGCTTGTTCTTTTAGAGTAAAACTAAAAAAAAAATTGAACTCAAGTTACAATTTTATTAAAGTTTATGTTCGTTTGTAAAATTTGAATTTGAACTTGAGTTTTAATTTAAGTTTGAGGCTAAAATCTAAATTCAAATTTCATTTTCAACTCAAGTTCATATTAACTTGTGTTATCATATAGTACACCTCCAAGTCTTTTTTTTTTTTTTTGTTTTAAAAGAAATGCATGAATTTACTTTATATTTCTTAAGAAAATTGAGATTATTCTCTACATTTTTCTATTCACACAAATATTATTCGTGCATTTTTTGTAATCACACAAAATACATTCCATGTGTAAAGTTTAGTCAAAATCAACCGTATGAAAAGATCTTTCACTGTAATATGTCGAGATAGATATAGTTTTAACCGCGTTTTGGTGTGGGTCAAGGTCCATTATTTTTCCAAAGGATTTGACCTAAAAAATTGTGGTTGTGGTGTAAATCCATTTCATTATCATTCACCTAATTTTTGATTAACTTTTCTGACTATTGTGGGGTTAGAATCCTTGACGCAGCCTTATTTTTAATTGTTATTTATACCCTTTCCTATACTATTTCGCCTACCAACCTAGTCGCATCGGTTAAACTTTAAAGACTTGTGAGTAGTGGATGAATAACGAAATCTCGAAAAGGTTTTTGACTCAAAACAGCAAAACTGATTCGCTTATGTGTAATTATTGACGAGGAAGTCGTAAAACAGGTAGTGTAATTATGTGTGTACAAACTTATCAACATGAAACAAAAAATGCATAAATATAGTAATTTTAATTATTATACAAAAAAGAAAAAGTTCCCTTAGTAAACAAATTTCTTTATTACTAATCATATTTCTTTTTAATTTTTTTTTTCTGTTATTCTCCATTTCGTGTTTGGAAAGTAGTTATTCGTACTTGAATCAGCAATTAAGTTGGCTCTAGCGTCATCTATGCATCCTATTGAGTAGCTTAACACTTGTTACTAAGCTGGCCCTGGTTCTTAGGTTAGATGATCCTATTTATTATTCTCTTTGTTATAGTTTATCTACCAATTTTTAAGTTCCCCCACCCAAAGAAAAAAAAAAAAAAAAAAAAACCATTAGGCTCTTCTCCTTCTTCTTCTTTCGGTGTTTATATTTCGTATACCATCTATCAACTTTTGTTACTTCTATTTTCTGGGTCATTCCAATGCAACATTATTTGTTGGAAGTTCTCACCAATATTTTAGAGTAAGCTCAATATCTGGCCATAATTTGTATATAGATCATAGATTGACCAAGCCCACCTATAATAATTGTTAGGGCCGGCAATTTCTGACACGACACAATGAAACGATACGAAAACGACACGATATAAATGGATTTAGACCGCATGATTATTAATTGGGTCGTTAACAGGCTGTCACGAATAACACGAAAATAAATAGGCTGGATTCGTGCCAGCCCGTTTAACCCGTTTAGTTATACAGGCCGTTATCGGGCTGACACGGCCCGGCCCGGCCCAACCAGTTTATTAAGCCCATATATATATGTGTGTGTGTAAATTTTCTAAAAAGAAACTCTCTTCTATTATTTTTGGAATAATAAAAAATAAGAATAAATAGGCTAAGAAAGAAACCTTATCTTCCTAAAATAAACTATCCTAATTAAAGATAAACTCTAACCTAATAAACCTTATCTCTAATGATAAACCATTTATCCTCTATTTTATTTAAATTCAAATACAAAGATTTTTTCTAACCGACTATATATATATATATTTATTAGACAAAACTCTACTTTTGACTCAGTCTCTTGAAACTAATTTTAGTTTTTAGAGCGCAGTTGGACATTCAACCTCAAGGCTCAAAGAAGACATTTTTTTTATATTTATTTTATGTTTTATGCACTTAAATATTCAAATGTTTGGTTATGTTTTCAAATTTATTTAAATGTACTTGGATATATTTTCAAACTTCTTTGGATGTTTGGTAATTTGTATGTTTTGAAACATATATACTTGATAATCTAGTAGTATCATATATATGTGTGTTTGATATTTAGATATTTTAATGTGTGTTGACTATTATGTATGATTTTATATTAAGTAGTCAATTAATATAGTTTTGAATACAATATAAAATTTCACTATTTTTGCTAGTTGGGTCATAAACGTGTTTTTTTTCGTGTCAGTCAGTCACGGCACGTTTAGTAATCGTGTTCGCGTGTCGTGTCGTGTTAACCGTGTTATTAGCGTTTCATGTTCGTGTTTGGATTTCTGATACGTTTATTAATCGTGTCGTATTCGTGTTCACTATAATCGTATCGTGCCGTAATCGTGCTGGTCTGAACACAACACGCAAACACGAATTGTCAGTCCCAATAATTGTTCCATCAAATAATACAAACCTCTAGTAACTCCATTAGAAGAGGTAAGAGTTATGTGAATTGTCATTTTTTAGGTGGCATATACAAAGTCATTGAAATAACACTTTTTGCTTTTGTAAAATATTTTTCTTCCTCCGGTGTAGCAATATTTTCAATTTGAAAATAGCCAAATGTACCGGTCCATGTAACAACTTCCATAATCCATATGTATTTTCAAGTCAAACTTGAGTGTCAATACTTTATCCAACAGCTCAAACGGTTTGTCGTATAGCGATGGCTCCCTTACCTATACACGGTTCTAGTCTTCACCGACGATTTTAGTTTCATATGACAGATCAAGCAGATCACTGCCAAATGCTATCACTAGGCACCAACACGTCAAATCAAGTATAATAATAAATAATTATCCCCGCAAAACCAAAAAAAAAAAAAACGAAAAATTCATAATTCTGACTCTCTACTTACCCATAGAAATATTTCTCTTCATAAGAAATTCAAAAAGTCCACGATTTTCCTCTGTCCAATCATGGGTATAAGAGGTTTACAAGACATAGCTGACCCTGAGTTCAAGCACATGCAAATAACAAGGCCAAAAAAAAAAAAGAAAAAAGAAAAAAAAGGCACATGCAAATACCAAAAGTAATAACAAAACAAAAGCGGCGTCTTACTATAATACTTTCCTTAAATATTGATTAAACGGCTGAACAACACCAATAAAATTCAAATCTATTATAATTTAGCTCGCTAGTTGTAGAAATCAAATAAATGATTGCTATTTGGTAAATACCAAATAATAAGCCTTCAGAGGACTAACATGATTGTTGCAGATTACAGAACGGTGATATTCACATTTAGCAGTTTCAGAAAAATTACAATATCGAACGACGAAAGTTTACCTCTCTTTTCAAAGAATTTGGTACAAATCATATAGGTAAATTTGCATCCATACAAAATTGCAAAGCATCATTGCAAAACCTGCACAAATTGAGTCGAAATTCCACTCATTAATTAGCTACCAGATTTTTGTTTTGTAATAATTTTACAGGATTTTGGCACCTTTTGTTTTCAGGGAGGAGATAAATGGTTGTGGTTAATTTCATAGACCTTAAATTAATTTAATTTGTCTTTTGTTTTTTGTTTTGTTTTTTTGTTTGGTTTTGTTTTGTTTTTTTTTTGTTTTTTGTTTTTTGTTTTTTGTTTTTTTGTTTTTTTTTTTTTTTCGCGCGAGAGATGGGAGATGTGCTGAAAAGATCAACAAGAAATTTCAATCCTTACCGAGTGTTAATTACAACTTTATCCAAGATACCGTAGCAAGACTCCATCATTACCCAGCACAAACCCTTTCTTATCATCGATAAACCTGAAATAAAATATTGCAAATATCAAGTGCTTGTTAATGCAAAAAGGCCTTTATAAGTTTGAACTTTTAGTTTCATATAATTCCTTCAAAATTATATTCATCCTCTTTATTTCCTGAGCTGCTAACTTTCAAGTTGGCCTTATTTAAATTAGATTCCAGTCTCGTTCTTTTTGATTTGGCCAAAAAAGGAGCAATTTAATACTGAAAAGGACTAGACCAGAATCAAATACGAGTAGAGGATAATTGAGAGCTTTGAGTAGGTGTCTTAGTCCATCTGGCTTACATTTGATGAATTATTTGTTTCATCAATTCAAGCATAAAAAATATGTGACACCTTTCACACAAAACACAGGTCTCAAAGTCTAAAACCATAAAGGCAATGTCTACACCGACACTCCAAATAGGACTAACTTTTGGAGGTTTTGATGTAGCATTAAGCTGGCTTAGCACACATGTTGTGGGTCAAAAGTCCCTCTCCTCAACCCCAAACACAATAACAACAACAAACAACATCAACAACAAACAACAACAACAGCAACAACAATAATAATAAAGAGGGCAATGAACTTACTTGACTGAGTATAGATTTGCAGCAATATTATCAGCTGCTTTGTCGCGGATCCATGACTTTCCACCATTGGTGGTTCTCAATAGTATTCCACTTCCACCTGCTGCCCACGCTTCCTCCTGCATAATTAAATCATCAGCTTACGTAAAAACTTGACTGAAAAAAGATTGCAGAAAATGACTACTACACTATTTGTACCTACTTTTTAGATGGGAAAGAATAAAATTTAGCAGCAAATTGTAGATATATGCAGTCTCAGATATAATTAAAGCTGCAAAGTCAATTCAAGTGAGTTCTAACATATTGCGGCTTCTATAGTCAATTGAAGCTCTATAACAATCTAGTGATGAAGTACCTGTGATCGGTACCCAACATCAAGAATGCCAAACCCCCGGCTTTGCACCGCCACTTCTTCAAAATCCTCGGTTATCTGCAATGAGCGGACTTTTCATTCAGTAATGAGAAAACAATCTTTGTTGTTCTACCCAAAATTCATTTCAGTATTTATTCTCTTCAAATGCATGAGAAGAAACTCATTACTTACCCCTGTACCTTTGCTGAGAAAGAGTCCCCCTCCACGAACAAGAAGCCAAAGGCCGCCATCAGCTCTCCAACCCATGTTTTGAATTCTTCTAGCGACTGCTCTATTATGTGGTTGCCAGAATGGCTGAAAACAAAATCGTAATTCGCGACAAGAAAGTTAAAATCAACAAAGCACATCATAACCAAGCTGCATAGTAACTATCAACAACACAAGAAAAAGAGGATAAAAATCCCAAAGGATATTCTTTACTTGATATAAAAGACAAACGAAATCCTTACCCATCACCTATTTAGACTTGGAAATAAATTACTATCTACATATTCAAACTGAAGATAATATTTGCTAAATAACATGAGACGGTGATTCAATGGGAACGGAGCTATGAACACAAGAGTACAACATGACATAACACAAGGAAAATCAGGCAATATCAAGAAGGAGATCAGTCTGACCTGCCCAGGTTCCCAAGTCAAGTAGAAGTTACCACGGCTTGAGACAGCAACATATCTTCCATCTGGTGAGCGGTTCACAGTGTTAAAAGTTCCTGTGTAATAACTTGCCCCACTAATTCCACTAGAAACTGTTCTGCAAGTGCAAAAGGGCTGAATTGAGTATCTCACTCTTTGAAAGTAACTTTTTTCCAAAAGAATAATTCGAATTTTGGCTCCAAAAGATCCTTTTATAAGGGGAATGCCAAATCCTCAGACACCAACTTATGAAAACGCTCTTTATATTTCATAAAATGATTATTTCACCATTTACTTTTGAAATGGCGCTGAAAAGGTATATCCACCATCTATGTTAATAGGTATTTGACGCTTCAAGTATTTCTTTCAAGCAAACCGACCAAATGAAAGCTTCCTTAAATGGTTTAGAAAGTTAGACTTGAATTTTGCGGAAATAAACCTGTTTAAAGTAGCTGAAACAGTCTCCTGAACAGCAGCCCTCCAGTTATACCCCTTATTCGAGGTAACATATATTGCACCTTGGTCAGTCACCATCTCTGCACCTTTTTCACCAGTCGCCTTTATGTACACCTGGAAGGAAACAAAAGCATAACTTAGCTTATACTAATGATTCCAAGTAAAAAAAAGAAAAAAAAAAAAAACTGTTGTGCATATTATTGGCTAAGCATTAGACAACTAACAGTTATATAAATCTACAGTAAATCATGTTCATAAGAAGTAATTTGGTTCAGTAACATTACTATACTAGCATGCATTTCATCATAAACAGACGCTCAGTAACGTTTCAGCGGCATCTGAATTGGTGTCAGAAAGAAGTAATATATTCAAAACATTTTTGCGAATGCAACACACCTTATACATTTTAATCAACATAAAGTCAAGGATCAACCATACAAGTCTTACAAGATTACCATATCTCCAGGTAGCTGAGCACTAAGTGCTATTCTTTCCCAGTTCTCTCCAGCATCAGAAGTGTACAAGAGGATTGCAGGTTTCCCGACAATCCATCCCTCCTTCCCTATAAAGCTAATAGAATTAAATCTGTAGTTGAAATCCTCATCTTCAGCTGACGGTATGGAACGGGGAACCCAAGTGTTCCCGCCATCTTTTGTCTCCAAAATGGTTTGCCTGGTTCCCAAAAGAAAGCCTACCATAGTAAACCAAATGTCAATAATTGAATTCGGTTGAGCATTAATGGGTGAATACTTGACCAAGATGGTTAAAGGCCTAGAAGCATAGTTTGAACAAGTAATGCCAAGTAATAACGAGTTTATACTTCTTAAGCATTTTACAAAGTAGCTGTCTTTCCCACATAATGTAAATGAAAATGTGTTTCCCTTCCCCACCTATTCATGCAATTACTTACAAAAGTCAGGAATGCTCTGTCCACCATGTCTTTATTTTTGTAACATTACTACTTTTTCATGAATAATTATTTATGCAAAGATATTTTAGTCCCTAAACTATTAGATTTCAGTTTCTAAAGTTAGTGAACACTAAAAAAGACTTGGATTATTTCCAATTCCTCGTCCTAATATGCATGGTAAATCAATAATAGAGAATCAATGCTCATTTATTACAATTCAGGAAACACAGCGAGAAAAGAAATAGCAATTTAGCAACTAATTAAACAAGAATTCATAAAAGAGTAGAGAAGTTTCGACTTCATCGGATCCTAAATTCTGACATCGCTAGCAATCAAATAAAAACAGCAGATAAAAAAAAGGCAAAAATTGGGTTATAAACTGACCGTGGTTCAAGTCATCAGGCACAAAGGCGATATCGAGGAGAACGACGCCAGGGTCGATCGGAAGGTAGCATCTTTCCCACTCGGAGAGCGCGTCTTCGGACTTTGCCGGTTGAACAGGCCCGAGGAATGGCGACGCCAAGGAAAGAGAGACCGCGGCGGTCTCCGCGATGAACCTTCTGCGACAGAGCAAAGAAGAAGAAGAAGAAGAAGACGAAGAAGAAGAAGCTTTAGGAATGAAGCGAGGCGGAGGTTGAGAGGATCGGAAATGGCGAGGAGAAGTAGTGTTGTTGAAGAAGAGAGAAGTGAAGGAAGGTTTGAGGAGAATGACTGGCTTGGAACAGTCCGGAAGTTGCAGGAGAGACGCCATGGAAGAAACGAATGGTTTCTCAGAGCTTGGGGGGTTTCTCTCTCTTCTCTCTCTCTCTCTCTCTCTCGCTCTCTCCCTATCTTATCCGAACATATAATATGTCCACGTTTCTCAACGGCTTCGCGGGTGATTTTTGAAGATTCGCTATTTATCGGAATATCTTAATGTACTTTTATTTTTTAAACTTTTTATATAAACGTTAGCTGCATGGGGATGTAGCTCAGATGGTAGAGCGCTCGCTTAGCATGCGAGAGGTACGGGGATCGATACCCCGCATCTCCATTTTTTTCCGCTTTTTTTCACTTTTGGTTCTTTTCGTCGTGTAAATAAATGTTGAAGATTGCACGACTATTTTCTCTGAAAATTTTGTTAATCGCTTTCAATTAGATTTCAGTTTCATCACTTTACTCTTTAATTGTTCAATATTATAAGAGTATACATAGTCAACGATATTATTGACTATATTGCAAATTATAATGCCTTTTTACGTCAATATTTTTTTTTCAACTTCATTGTATGGTAACAGTATCTAAATTTGCAGTCATGTAATTAAAACAAATCTTGTTTTACCTTAATTATGTTTATAATTGTTAAATTTTAACTAGCAAAGAGCTATGATTAGGGTGAAAAAAGTTGACTTATTTACTCAAAACTCAATTAGAGGCCCCTCAATCAGATCTCTAAACTAATTAGGGGGACAAACAAAACAAATATAGGGAAAAAGTTAAAACCAAACTATATATAATAAAGCTATGATTCACAGTCAATGACGACAATATTTCATATTTACCAAAAATTACTTTAGTATTGAGACCTAGTTGCCTTTGTTAACAAAACCAAATGAGGAAAAGTATTGGCAGCATTAGCCAAAAAACGACCGCTAAGATTTTCATGAGAAAGGGAATTTATTCATATTCTAATATTCTATATATGTAAATCCAAACGTGAATGATCAGTCGCGTTTAGGATTACATTTTGGGATTTTGCAATAAATGATAACGTACGTTAGAGAATAATTAGCTAGCCTGATCATGACTATCTTCTTATAAATCTTCCCTATAAATATATATGGCCTTGTAGCTTCATTTCTCTTCAAATAATTTCCAATTAGTATTATTTTCTTCTAAATTAGTAGTGTATAATATACCATGTCTCGTAGCAACATTAACAATAACAATAATAATGTTGTATTTGGTAATTTGGCTGTTATTATTTTGTGTTGTACATTGTTGTTTCAAGGAATATCTGCGACATCTTTGAATTATGGAGAAGCACTGAAAAAGTCATTGTTGTTTTATGAGGCTCAACGCTCTGGAAAGCTGCCTCGCAACCAAAGAGTGCAGTGGCGTGGAGATTCTGCCCTCAATGACGGTCGTGCTGGTCATGTAAGAAATAGCACTTCTAATCCTCTTCTTTTTTGTTTGTATATATGGTTGAGCAATATATATATATATATATATATATATGTATTATGAAAGGATTATTTCTCTATTATTCATCGTTAGATCTTTAGTTAGATGATATAATTATATCATAATTATCTTATAATTAATATATGCATATGCAAATTTTGTAACAAAATCTGAAAGAAGAGTTTGACTGACATATAAGAAACAATATTCACTACTTTCATATTTCTATGGCAATTGAAAGGATTGAAAAAATGGAGAATTTATCTTTGAGAGTGCATGAGTTTGGACATTTACTCCTTACTCTTGATAAATACTCTTTTATTAGTGTAATTATTTGACTAAAAAGATTATAAATCAAGAATAAAAGTTAAAAATCCTTACTCATGCATTTTTAAAGGGTATTTGTTAAGATTATCCTTAAAGATTCGGATGTATTAACGTTGAAATCTATTGATTAATAAAAGAAATTATAAATATAACGGCCCACATTTTATAAAATTTTTTATTATATATTTCATCAATAGATGCATGTATAAATATTTCTTCCTTCAAAACTAAAAATTATAGTCATTATATATATATATATATATATATATTATTAAAAAAATTACTAGCTTCATCATGGCTCTTCTTTACATGGCAGATTGATCTTGTTGGAGGATACTATGACGCAGGAGACAATCTCAAGTTAGGGTTTCCGATGGCATTTACAATAACTATGCTTTCATGGAGCACATTGGAGTTCAGAAACCATTTGAGAGCAAAGAATGAGCTCATGAATGCACTCAACGCCATCAAATGGGGCACTGATTACTTGCTCAAAGCGCACCCTCGGCCTGACCTCCTCTACGGCGAGATCGGCGACTGCGACTCTGATCACGAGTGCTGGGAAAGGCCAGAAGACATGACAACGCCAAGGACTGTTTTCAGGATTGACGACCAACATCCTGGCTCTGATCTCGCTGCCGAAACCGCGGCGGCTCTCGCTGCTGCATCCATTTCTTTCAGGTGGGCAAACCCCAGATATTCAGCCCTACTTCTTGCCCATGCAGAACAGGTATATATTACTTTCTCCACGAAATTGTACGTAACTGTATTTTCTGAAAAATCTTATATATGTATTATATAGTAGTCAATAGTCACATATTCATGACATTTATTCAACTATTCTAGCTATATATTTTTATCTATATAATATATATACTAATGCTGGTTATTATATATTTTTTGACATATCAACTTATAAGACTGTGAAATCCTGTATCATAATTAATGAATTTTAGAATTTACACATGAATTTATAACTAGCTGAGAAGGTCTGCGTACTGGGTGAGATATATCATTGCTATTATATCTAACAATTTGGTAATCTTTTTGCAGCTCTTCAATTTTGCTCGCAAACATCCTGGCCTTTACCAAAATAGCATTCCTGAGGCAGGAAAAATTTATGCTAGTAGTGGATATGAGGTAATTAACTTATTTTCTATGTGGCGATATTGAAATTTTTTTTTTTTTAATTTTTCTATGGTGCTCAAATGTGTTACATGTAACATATGGCTAATTATTAATAGTACTGCGAATTATTTTGCAGGACGAGATGTTATGGGCTGCTATATGGCTTCATCGTGCTACCAATAAAAAGACGTACTTAGACTTCCTTGAAAACGCGGAAAATACAGGCGGCACCAGATCCTCATTCTCATGGGATGACAAATTCGTGGGTGCACAGGTCTTAGTTGCAAAGGTAAATTTAATAATTGATAATACAATACAATTAGAAGAATGTCAGATAGGGATGAATTTGGTAATTTGAATACGTAAAAGTTTTTATGTAGTTATTGTTGTTAGCTAGAGAAAAGACTCCTCTTAATTATATTAACAATATTATGGTATACCGGTGGTGAGCACAGAAATTAATAGAAGATGTCTGGTTTGCAGCTTGTTTTGGAAGGCAAGATTAGTGCTGAAGATGTATGGGGCGACTACAAGGACCAGGCAGAGGCGTTCATATGCTCGTGCATTCAGAAGGCAGACAACAATGTGAAGAAGACGCCTGGGGGTTTGCTGTGGTTTCTTCCATGGAATAACGTTCAGTACGTTGCCACTGCTACATTTGTCACTACCGCCTACTCCAACTATCTCATCGCCAACAAACACGCCTCACTTGATTGTCCCGCCGGCCTCGTTAAGCCCAAAGATCTTCTCACAAGTGTCCGATCACAGGTATTCTAAATTTAGTTACTGCCACTGTCATATAGTCACTATTAGTGGCAATAAGAAATGCATGATTGAATCACATTTTGTTTTTAGGTGGACTATATCTTGGGTGTGAACCCCAAAAACATGAGTTACATGGTTGGTTTTGGTTCAAACTTTCCAAAGCAAGTACACCACAGAGGAGCTTCCATTGTGTCTATCAAGAAGGATCCGACGCCGGTGACGTGCAAAGGCGGGTACGAGGAGTGGTTCAACAGAAACGAACCAAATCCAAATGTATTGGATGGGGCAATGGTGAGCCCTGATGAGAATGATGGTTATACTGACGCCAGGTCAAACTACCAATGCACTGAACCAACGACAGTCACCAACGCACCACTTGTTGGTGTTTTTGCTTTCTTTGCTTTGTTTAAACAAAGCTATCTCTAAAGTATGTGTACACTTGTGTTTTTGTTGGTGAATTTGACTGAACCAACTTCTCAACAGACCATATTGGTTTTGGTTTTGGAATTTTGGAAGTTGTTATTAGCTAGCGATCTGCTTAGAGAACTGATTTTTGCAAATTCTCTCCCCTCTTTCTTTATCATTTTGTGTCCTTTCTTTTTTCAACCAAGAAAAAGAAGCGAAGAATAAATGACCATTTTATTGTGCAAGATAAATTTATATACATTAAATGATTAAAAATATATATATACAAAATACCAATTACCATGTTCTCTCTCCATATATTTTCGTTTTGAATCCATCTTCTATGCACATAACAAATGGAGGAGCCGCCATGTACACTTTGAAAGAAAATTCTTGCAGAAATCTGACAAATCCCATGGGCCAAGGATATTTTAAGTCAACTGTTCCGCCGCTTTCAGTATAATATATATATATATATATATATAGTTACACCTCCTTTTTCATGGCCGAAAAATCCTCATAGTTTTTGAGACCTGTAGACGACAAAATGGACACCTAGAAACAGCTGAAGAGCATCTCCTACAAAGAACATGGCCGCAAGGAACTATTGTAATGTCAACTTCAGCAGTCAAGCACACCCGACAAAGCCATGCTGCCTTTGCCGATTCAGCTTCTTTTGCTGCCACGTCAGCTTTTTCCTGCAAAATTGTTCAGAAATCGTAAGCGTTTAGTTGGGAAATCAATGAAGCATGAAACAGATTCATACAGCGGTTGAAATCATTGACATGGAATTTCATAGGTACCAACTTAAAAGGAGGTATAACTTTTTATGTATATTTCAAAAACTTGACGTACAATATATATTTACCCTCTTCCACCACAAAAATTGCATCAGTAAATTACTAACATTTTGCCTACTAATAACACTAACCTGCTCAAGTAAAAGTATTGTCTGCGACTCCTTTAGCTGTTCTTGTAGCATCACTGTTTTTTGCAGTAAGGACTGCTTCTCTACATCCATATGTATTCCAACTGCAGAAAGCATCTCATCTACGGCTTGCACCAGTTCTGCAGCTGAGACTCGGCCATATTGGAGCTCAGCACCGGGTTGCAGCTGCCAACAAAGAAAGCATTCTCAGTTTGATGCTTGATGTCATCCAAATAAACCAGTAAATACAATAGATACATCATCTTCTCAACAAACGATAATAATACTAATAATAAAAACCCTTGAAAGATACGGTTTGGAAGTCAAGTTCTCAAGCCCGGAGTAGGGATAGAAACATGGTATGCTATAAACCAACAAATTCAAAAATTTGCAGGATTGTCTAACCTAAAGGATTAAAAGATAGCAATTCTCTGCATACAAAGAGAGGAAAAAGCCATTCACCACCATGTAATGAGAACAGAGAGGCCCAAACCTGGGAAGATCTTGCTTTGGCTCTTGCTGAGGTTTCTGGAACTTCAGCATTATTCGTACTGTTAACTGTGTTACCATCATCCAACACCACTGTAGTCTCACTGCCCATTGATGTGCTTCTGAATGACAAAACTTGTGAAGAAAGAAGAAATTGTGTTTCCCCAGGTAAGGTTTCCACCTTGAATCTGTACAGTGCTTGTCCTGCTGATGGTCTAACGTCCTCTGGAACCCTACCGTATTTGAGCTTTTCACCGTTTTGAGGTCGCCATGCCACAACTTCCCCAGCGTAAAATGGTCTTAATGGATGAAACTGTACTTGACGAGTATCATGGGGCAATACTTTCCCTATCAGACTATTTCTTCCAACCAAAGTTTCCATTTCTTTTTTGTCAGAGCAAAGTTTTAAAATATCAACAATTGCATTTTCAGAGCCTCCAGGACAGACAAATAAAGATCCAATAGGTAATGGAGTCGGGGAACCTAAAACCTGGCTAATAACATTTGCAATAACATCAAAAACTGAGAGAAAAGCGGGTGGTTCAGCAACCAGAACACGGGTTTTGGACCAGTTTACATAATAAAGTCTCTGATGGTGGCATCCAGCAATACACTCCGGAATAATAGAATCCCTAACTTCATGGGTAATATCTATAGACTTTGGACGAAGCACAAAACGAGTATGAAGGCACTTAACAAACAGTAATTTTTCCGCAACAGCTTCTAAGCAATTTTGTATGCTTCCCGGGTTTAAGTTCTTAAGTGCAGGAATGTAACTGGCCATGCTATTTACAACAGTCCAAACAGCACCATGAAATGATTTGCTCAACAGTTTTTCTCTGATGGCTGAGAGCGGAACTGATCCAATATGTTCCAAAGTTTGTAAATGCTCCTCATGAACTAATTCCTGCAACCACAACGGAAGTTTTAGCAATGACTAGAGAAAGCCTCTGTTATTGAATATCTGTTAGTTTATCAATCCATCCCAAAAGCTTAAGCGGTTAAGAAGCGGGCCAACAATAGTTTTATACTTTAACACTCCTCCTCACGTGTGGGTTGGATAATAGGCAATCGTGTGGGTAAATTAATTAGAAAGCCCAACACGTGAATATTTAAGTCCGAGATATATTAAAGACCCAACACATGATGACAATTTAAATGGGGATAAAGAGTGCAATTACGGGGGTTTGAATTTAGAACCTCCCGCTCTGATACCAATCGATCCCAAAAGCTTAAGCTGTTAGGAGGTGGGCCAACAATAGTTTTATACTTTAACAATATCTCAAAAGAAACATAATCAACCAAGGTAGACGATTTGGAAAAAAAAAAAGAAGTTTTCGAATGTAATGTTACCTCAATTACTACATCAGACAGCTTTTTAATCCCCAGAAGTATACATAATCTCTCAGGAAGATCAGGGTGAATAAACCTTATCCTTGAAGTTTCAATGGATTTGACGAATCGGGAGCCATAAGAATCAACATATACACAGGATCTTGCATCAACAAGTCTGCAGCCATCATCCGGGACTATTGCTTCTGATTTCCAATGGGACCCAACAGAGATACTTGTCCCATCAGAACCATCGCAGATGAAAAACAAAATTTCTAATACTGCACGAAGCTCATTTGGGTTTAACCGTTGATATCCACAAGCTTTCTGAAGACTCAAAAGAAGATCCTTGGCAGAAGCAATTGATAGCGCATCCTGGAGTCCCAAATCTTTGAGAATCTTCACAAAAGGAAGATAGAGGGCCGGAAGTTCAAAAGCAAACGGGGATAAGTTAATTGATAGACGTGCAAAAAGCAGATTTGCAGTCACCAAGCGGGTTCCATTTGCAGCAGGAACAAAAGGCACTTTCTGCAACTCTTTTATATCTGAATACAAAATAAAACCACAGAATTTACTAATAATGTCACTTGAAGTTGGTAAATAAAAAAAATGGTAAAAAATTCTAATAAACTCACTATCCATAAACTATAATGCAGAAAGACCTAATTTTAGAGACAGTATTTGTCCTATTAACTTTAATGAATTAATTAAACAAAAAGGAACGACATTTACCTGAAGTAGAGAGGGAAGCCCAAATCTGATCCAGGTACTTCAGAACTTCACAAGAACCTTCATCAATGGTCATCATGCCTGAAGCAGTTGGCCAGTGCGCAAGTGTGTCCTCACCACTATTTTTTCCAATAATCTACAGCACAGTTATACGATTAAATTTCACACACACTATTAGTATTCTTGGATAGTCTAAGTAGTAGAATTACCTGCAAATGTTTTAGAACTGTAGAAAAAGCTGGGGGGCTCCTCAGGTGGAGTGAGCCCCAAGAGTATTGAGGAGGAACAAAATTTTTCCTCGACAGAATAGGAGTACAACTCCAAGCCAGAGGCCAATCCTTTGACAGAATAGCTTCACTGTAAGAAGTGAGCACTCTCTTGCCACCTTTCCTGCCACCAACATCTGGAAAGCCAAATTCAGCGGGTATGCATGCAATCTTTCCAAGGACATTACAGAAGTTATTGCCATATAGGACAGCAAAATTTGATAAGATCGTTTCAACAACTGAACCAGCTAACTTCCATATCTCCAATGAAACTTCGGTCTGCGAGCTTGTTGAGTTGTCAAAATCGTCCAAATCCCCAGATTTCATGCATTCCTTTCCAAGGAACTCCATTCTTCTGGCACATTCAAGTATAACATCTGCTTCCGCTGCAGTTCGGAGCCCAGTTTTTCTTAAAATGTGGAGCCAACCATCTCTAGTAAACCTTTCTCCTGGAAATCTTTTCCTCTCACCAGAGAAAACCGATGTCAGTAAGGAATCAACAGGATCAAACAATTCCTTGGGCTTTGATAAATCTGCACAAAATTCATCAGCATTCCTTACAAATTTAGTTTCCTTCAGAGCTTCTACTAATGAAGAATCTAGTTGAAGATCTTGCCAATTTGTAAAAAGATATATCAGTATATCCTCGCGTTCAGACTCAGGTTTCTCTTCAAACCCAGGCAACCCAAACCTAAGCAAGATTTGTTTATCATGCAATTCGGAGACTCCAAGGGCTATAAGCAATGAAAATTCAGTTGAATCTGTGGAATAAGAAAGGCAATGCTCATCATGAGGTTTAAGAAACGAATTTGAAGAAATCATACAGTGATCATTGCCATGCAATCTTGTGTACGATCCCACAACTGTTTTATATATAGGAAGAGAATGCAAAACTTCGAGTTCTTCACTTGTGTAATTGGAACCATTAGACAAGAAATCATTGGCAAAAAGTGCAAGAAGTTCATCTCGATCAGAAGCAACAAAAGAGGTTAGTTCAGGGAAATAGCCAGCATGTTTAGCTGCAACCAGCTTGGAAGCAATAACTTGCCCTAAAGATTGGCCAGAAGTTGGTAAGCAATTGCTCGGAGCAGCACAATCGATGAAAGCTATATCGAAAATTGGGATGTTGCATTGATTCAACAATGATAACAACCAAGGGTATTTGTTTTTGGCTTCTTCAAAAGCTGAAATGAAAGCTTGAACTGATTCAGAGCCAGGAGTCAAACTACTTCCTGAAGCATCTGTCTCCAAGGCACCTTCTGCAGAGTCCAAATTGCGAAGAGCAGGTGGAACAAAAACCAAGTTACGCTCCCTAACACGACATAGGATTGGTCTACCGAGGAAAGCAGGAATTATTGGCCAGTCTGAAAACAGTAAGAGGTCTTCTGAAGAGCCACTAAAATTTTTCCAGAAAAGTCTTATCCATTCAGAGGAAGGGCCCCCTTCACCACCTGAACCTGATGCACTTTCCCATGAAAACCAAGGAGCAACATTCGAGTCCATTACATGACTCACCCATTTTTCATGAAAAACTACCCTCATATGAGAAGCCAGTAACTGAAGAGTAAAATTGTGCAGCTTCAATAAAATTTGCAATGCGCCATTTGAGAAAATGTCAGCCAAGATTGATCTATCCAATACCTTGGGGTGAATAAACTTTGCAGCCAAAGGTTTCATCAGTATTTGTTGCTCCTGATTCCCAATCCAAAGTTCATTAGTCCCCAGCTTTGTTAAATGGTTTATAGTAGTTGGACACGGTAAACCTTTTAGTTCAGTGGCTACTAAAACAAGGTTCTGGTCTAAATTTCCATATCTACTGTTATTGCTACCTGCATCAGTTCTCCTCTGAGCCATGGGCCCTCCAGCTCTACCAATATCCTCAACAACTCCCCGACCAAAATCAAATAAGGCCTTCCCCAAACTTGTCATCATTTCAATGGCATCTCCTGAACTTGTTGCATTTTGGGTGGACAATGCAGGAAGATTATGAATATTGTGGTCAACTGAGAAAGAGTTTCTAATTGAATTGCATATTTCCCCAATCTGAATATCAGACAAGCAGTATTCAAGAACATCCACATATGTATCAACTGATTGAAGAACAATAGATGTCGAAGAAACTCGTAGAAGATCCCGAACCATTTTAGGTTTCACTTCTCTTACTGTAATCCCCACAGCTTGGATTTCTGTCACCAATTCCCAAGGTACCGAAAACACTGGGTAGTGCTCCTTTACAAAGGCACAAACAGTGGCTGGAAGAAGATTACCACCCACCCCATTACCAGGTTGAGAAAGAAACATGCCTTCTTCAGCCTTGACTAAATTTCCCGAGTACAACTGCCATAGTGGAAGGTCAACAACACGAGCATAGAAAGGCTTTACTACTTGTTCAATTAAGCACTCCCAATCTGCTTTAGAAACCTTTCTTGGAACTAAATTACTGACATCACCAACTTGACTGGACGGATCATCCCCGTAAGTCCTTGGCCAAAACGAATAAATTTGATCACCATGGGCTTTCAACAAGAGGCTAACTGCACGTCCTGCACTTGGCTCGATTGCAGAACTAGATTGTTCTCTTCTTAACCTCTGTATTTCCAGAACCAACTCGATGTAGGAATCACAAACACAAGACATCAGCTCTGTGTTCCAAGCTTCAACTAATTGATTTCCAGCATCAGTCCATGCCTCTTTTGAAGCTTCTCGATCATGGTCTTTAAAGAGATGACGACCATTATTGTGGCAAACCAAGAAATAACCGAGCACTGTGACCGGCAATTTTATGCCATTAGAAAGTGGGAGAGGGGTCATCACGGAACTCATCAAACAAATATCAGCAGGATGGCCATTTCGGGATATATGAGCTGCAACTCCAGCAACAGGTGTTAGGTTGTATGCCAGATACCGCCTGGTAAATAGTAAAACAACCATAAAAAACGTCTGAGAGAACATTTAGAAACAACTAGGAAAACAACCAGAATCTCTCAAGCATGGCAAGGTTGAAATAAGAATTAAGGTTGAACAGATCTATTCCGAGGAACCAAAGTTCCATCAAAGTAGAAATTCAAAACGTAGGAAGATGGAATATATAAATGCAAAGGAAAAGGAAATAATAAAGCAGAAGCCAATTACTGGAATCACAAATTCATCATGGCAAGGTCATACTGAACACGACGCATATCATAGTCACTTTTGCAGAATTGGATTAGTTAAGAACATTAATTGTAATATCACCTACAAATTACAGAAAAATACGGGGATCTATACCATTTTTAACGTAAATGCTCTCATATTGATAATGTTAAATATAATCATTTCTCTAAAGCAGAAAAAGTATAATCATTTTTCAATTTCAAAGCACATTGGAAGATTCAAGAGAAATGCCATAATTTTCCACTTCCTAACTCACCTATCAAGAGCCATATTTCTGGTTTGCCCAGAACCCAAGGTGAGCACTACAAGCCACTGATCAACAACTCTGTCTTGACCTTGTTTTGTGGTCACATCTATCACATGCAATTTTATCGCGGCATTTGAACTACTAAATAGCCTCGATATTTGGAACTTCCTCCATTTTTTTTCTGAAAATGGATTCCTCATGATAGCAGATGAAGAGTCGATGCAAACTGAATAATCTTCGCACGGACGCAGGCTCTCTTCCTCCCATGTCAACAGTGAAACCTGATCATATTTCAAATATTAAAGGTCACGCAATATGCTTATAAAACCAAGTTAAGAAGAACTTAACACGAATAATAAGAAATTATAGAAATGATAAAGGTAATTTTTTATTACAGCTTCAAGCTTTTTAAAGACAAACACCTCTACAGCATATAAGAATTATCTCTTTCACCGTCTAGATGAGCGCATAGTCATTCAAAATCAGAAAGACAAGAAATTATAAAGTCTAGAAAAGTTGAGGGGAAAAGTTCAGCTTTCAACGTCACATTCAACACTAATGATACCTGCATAACTGACTTTAGGAATAGAAGTGTTCTAGACCCTTGCTCCAAAAATCTGTCATTTATCTGTTTAATTCTTCTTAAACCAAGCTCAAGTTCATCTTTTAAACAATCCGATGACAGAGGCATACGAATAATTGTTGAATCTGATGACCATAACGTATTTTGACCAAGAAGCATAGGACTGAATTGATCACGAAACCGATCAGTCAAATTAGTACCTGAAACAGCAGCAGTAAAGAAGCTTTTTAGATAAACCGATTGTAAGGAGTTAGCCCCACTTAAAGAATGCAACATAGGCATAGAATTTTTGTATATGTGGGAAACAAAACATTATATTAAATGCAACACAGGTCCAATAACAAGAAGAGAACTAGGGGTGCCACCAGAAAAAAGAGGCAAGCAAGGAAAACTGTAATGTTAATTGGATCCTGAAACTCCTAGCTATTAAAATGCTCCCAAAATAACTATTGGAATAGCTGCAGCTATCAAAAGGTAGGAAAAAAAGCGTAAGCTCGGACTCCATATTCCAAATATGGAAGCAAACAATGGCATGATGATTCATAAATCAAGAATGAGAAGCACAACATATCAAGTAAAAGAGAAGTATGGAAACAATTGCAATTAAATGATATAAAAAAGGGTACCTGTCAAGGAAAATACTTTTGCTGCAGGGGAACGAGATGGAGGTACAGCAAATGTGGAACCACAAGGATCAAAGACATAAAAAAAGCCACCAGAAACCATTGACAAGAGATTACATACAGAATAGCAGCTCAGTAGACCCAAACCATAACTAAGAGTATTTCCTCGTAATCTCCATGGAGGTAAAAACTGGAGACTGCTTACTTCCTCTCTGCTCAAGATGGCCCCTTCCAGAACAGCAACGAGGGCAGGCCCTTGAAATTCACCTGTACAAGAGACAATGTTGTAAACAAGATGAATAAATTTTTTTCATTAAGAGAATCAAGCTTAAATAACATGCTCAATCCTATTTCTACATTTTCATCGAGTTTCCAAAATTAGAAGAACAGTACAGGACACAAAAATGTGAAATTCACCAGTCTCTTTAAATCTCAAAATCATTCTAAAATGTAGATTTTGCCTGAGAAGTCCTTTAAAAGTGCATTCTGACTGATAAAAAAAAAAAAGATAATTACAAATTTACCCAAGTTATGTTGCAGTAAAGACTGGCGAGGATGTGTCCTCTTGTCAAAGATGAGGTGTAGCTTCTTGGCTTTGCAGCAATCGGCCAATTCAAGTAGATCAAAAAGTAGAAGATCACTGTCCCCATGCAAGGCCAATAGCTCATTGATTCTAGCATAGTCCATGCACGGCAGGTCTTTAGTCATTTCTTCATCTACTAAAGAGAGGCAGCGGAGTGACTGTACTCCCAACCTATTTGCCAGATCATTGTTGATACTTGAATGAAGAAATTGTTTCCCGACAGGAGTGCTATTTTCCATCCATGGTGCATCATTATACACAACATCCCCTACATGCATCAAAACTCCAGAAAAAACTGGAACTAAGAGTGGGCTGGTGGAAGTCTCGGACAATGGCTTCTCTAAGTCTGCACAACAATCTGCTATAGCTTCAAGGACGCAGAGGACAAAACTTAACTGATCTGACGATAGTGGAAACCCTCTCAAATCATTTTGTAACCGATGTAATACATGCAAATAGTCCTGAATATCAAAACTAAGTTTAACACCCAACTCCAAGAGTAAATCCCTGAATTCTGATAATTCAGATGGAACAACATACAAATATGGCGAGAATTTCACAGGGGAATCAAAAGCAAGTGCATTTGGGGCTACAAAATCATCCCCAATCCAAATCCAAGAAACACCATGTAGTGCTGATTTAAGCTCCATCAATTCATTGGTTCCAACATATTCCTGCATCTTCAAATATAGCAATGGAATTCCCTTTTGTAATGCAGCATCAACAACAGCTCGTTCAGCTGAAGATGACTTGATTTGGCCATAAAACGTGCAGAGCTCAATCAACTGAGTGAACAAAAAAGTTAGTTTAATCTGATCCATCCAACCGAGTTTACGTTTTAGGTACACTGAGCAGCATTCGCCATCTAGTATATGCATTGAATGGGACACTAACCACATATCTGACTTGAGTCTCACAAGGCTTGGTGGTGCTACTTGCTGACTGGATTTCAACCATGGCAGTCCTTTTAGAGGTGGATCACTACAAACAGGACACCACGCAATTTCTCTCATTTTGGACCAAAATACTTCTTCAGTTTTATCATCAAGAAAGTCTCCAATAAATGGATTAATGTCTGAAACATCTACAGGATAGTTCTCCTCTCTCTTGGGAGACTCAAGATGCACCACCTCTTTCTCAGTACTAGCGTTCTCAAGTAACGTGTCCCTATTTGATTCATTGCAATTTCCTTCTTCCTGATTTGACAGCTTCAGTGACAAGGCATCCAAAAGGACTAGTAACTTCCTCCCATAATTTAGTGTCTCAGATTGGCCAGCATCCTGGAGTAGAGAAACGGATTTGGCACAGTCGAGCAATCCAGTAAAGCCAAGAGTTCTTCTGAGTCCAAAACTAAGTAAAGCCTCTAGAGTTTCGTTATCTGAGAACTCATCAGAAGGAAAAAAAACTTCTCTATGTAGCACGGCTTGTAGCTCAGGTACACGAGGATCATAGAGCCTGAAAAGAAAATGATTCAGTGAGACAAATATATTAGAAAGATAAGCCATATTAAATTCTAATAAAAAAGAGCCTGATGCAAAAGTGGGTTAAAAAGCTAACAAAACGAATGAAATGCCAAACAACCTGATAAGAAGGCAATTCAAGAACACTAACTACTAGAGTACTACCTAGTACTTAAGTAAATAGAAATCACAGAAACTGCATAACTGTACCTGGATGGCTGCTGCCAGGATCCATCAGCGGCTAAAACGAAAGCTACAGTGGAAAGATCAGACTTTACAGAATTATCCTCTTCAACGAGAAGCTTCAAGTCAAGCAAAATGGCTGAAAGGACTTCCTGCTGCGGAAGGAATTTTGACATGCAGTTTAACACATGATTATTATAAAATTCCACCTTGGAGGGTTCTCCAATCTCTAAATATGTTCTCAAAATACTACTTTCTCTCTCTGAATCTGTGCGTACAAAATCATCATCTAACAGATCCTCACGAACACCATTAGGTTTGAGCCGCTTGATAGGATTACTCAAACTTGCTAGCTTTCTACTTCTGTACAATTCAAACACAGGGAGGTGCTTGACGATGTCAATATGTACCTTTTCAATTTGCCCTTCCGAAAACCATTTAGACTGGAGAATGAAACTACGAAGCTCATGCAGCTCACCTTCGGATGCATTGTCGAAAAGGCCCTCAATGTTCTCTGGCTTACCAGCAATTGCAAGAAGTGCATTTAATATGCCAGTTGCTGTTGGCGGCTGAATAAATTTTCCCAATTGTGGATGGTCTACTGGGATGTCAGGACTCAAGAAAAGACATCCTATTTTCAGCAATAAAGAAGACATGTTCTCACTCCACCCACCATCTCTAATCACACGTGAATTTTCCACTAGTTGCATGAGACAATTATTTCCAACCGGTAATAAAGGCCACTTGGAAAAAAGGGACAGATCAGCGCAAGAAGACTTGAGATAGCCCCATAGAAGTCTTAACCATTCCAAACTTGGTTGACCTTGATGACTCGGAACCCAAATCACTTGTTTGGCATGTTGCCACTCTGCTGGCAGTAACTTGAAAAGAAGTTTTTCAAGTAAACGACATGATAAAAAGGAGATATTTGAGTCTCCACTCTGTGCTATGTCACAAAGCTTTTCATGAACTCCTTCTGGAATCGCGCTATCTACAAGTTGATTAGGAACTGAAACTTTGAGCAGAGCATACTCATCTCCTTGGGCAATATATATTCTTTCACCTGTTCCATTCTTCTCAAACAATGTAAATGAACCATCGGCAAGAGGAAGCAAAGGTAAACCATGCAGACAAGTAGGTTGAATGGGCATTTTCAAGTCAAGCAAGCAATATTCAAGGGTCAAGATCATTGCATTTCTGTCCTTGAATCCACGCCGTCTTCGAATCAGCAACGTTCTTAATAATTGAGGTGTCAAAAAATGCAACGATGGACACACATCCATAAATCGTTCAACAATTGGCTCGGAAACAGTAACAAGTGGTAGACCAGCGTCTGAAAGTACCTCAACAAGCTCACGAGCCTTGCTAAACATAAAATCAGGAAATATGGCTTGTTTGGTCGAAATCCACTGACCCCCTCTAGCTTTTGTGTATAGTACACGTAGACCCAAGTCTGCAATGAATATGTAGAGTTTTCTCACTACTGATGCCCAAGGTTGTAATCCTCTTGTCTGAGGCCAAAATGAAAAGAACAAATCACATGGACCAAGTTCCAATGCAATTTTCTCTAGCATACGGCCATAAGCTGGGGCCACAACATCTTCCAGCAAATAAATATTCCAGTCTGATCGTTTTTTGCCACCCCCTGCCATGTCATTACCGAACCAGATGTCTCTCCTATTTGATGACAATTCAAAATATGCATTAACATGTGCTGGAAGACCAGTATTAATTGGCAGAGGCAGAAAGCAAAAGGCACGGCCTTCAAAATCCTTCCTATCTTGAATTGAATCTGTTGGAATTTTAAACAACTCAGAAGCAATTCTACTTTCATCTTCCATCTTCATACTATCACTCAATTCTCTATCAACCTTGACAGATTGAAAATATGCAGCAACACATGCCCAAGGAATAAAAGCGTGAGATTTTTCATTTGACATTGCAGACTTTTTCTTAGTTTGCCCTCTACCTACACATTCAGAGGTTATCCAACAGTGTGATAAATTGCCAAATGAGCTTTCCTCTGTTATTACAATCTTCTGACATTTATATGGCAAGTCCCCATCTATTATTAATTGGTTCATTTTCTGTACAAATTGATCTTTATCCATTCCACCATGTTGCCGTCCATCGAAAAAGCTAAACATACTTTGCAGGGAATTAGATTCCATTTGAGGATCACTGATGCAATGCTTACGAGCACGATGTAGGAGTTGCATCTCATGTCCAGTTCCTTCCTTGACAAAAACGGATATAGTTTTCACATTGCGTAGAAAAAGTAGGGCCTCGGAAACAACCTGGGAAAAAGAATCAAAGAGAGAAATAACATCTTCAGGTGCGTATCCTTCTTTCTTTATTTGACTTCTAGAAGCAACACTCACAGTCCTAAGTGGAAACCGAAAAAGGGTTCCAGGAAATTCATGCTGCAAGTCACATCCAAAGTGTAAGAAGGGAGAAAATTGGTCAGGAAATTGGTCCAAAATCCTTCTGCCCACAAATTTAATTCGTAGCCCAGGATGAGACGGAGAGATCCCAGGCAAATGACAAGCATGAGGATCAAACATAACAATGTTTTCACCAGAAACAAATGTGGGGACGTCTGTAAAATGATAGACACAATTAAAACCTAGACCAAATCTTCCAATTGCAAAAGGCTTCTCTAGTTTACTTTCTTGGCCAATACGTGAGATTGCGTAAAGGTCTTGGGGAGTGAAAACGGAATCATTGAAGCAGTACAATGCAGGGCCTTGCCAATCTGCCATTTCAGGAGAAAGAAGAGAAGAAGTCCCATATTGAGTTTTATCCAACAGAAAGATCACTTCAGAAGCACCTGCATCCTCTGCGTTCTGCACAAGTTCATACAGAATCCCAGGGCCATCTGCATACATTTCAAGTATATGTTTGAGCCTAGTTGTCAAGGCTTCATGTTGTCCAAAAGCTTCTGCAGCTCCAGATAAACTCAGATTCATTGAATCAGCACTCTCAGCTAATAAAATCCTGCGAAGAGAGCAGACGCCAAGCTTTTCTGCAACATTATTTGATATGTTCCCATGCACAAATTTATGAACTGTTTTCCTTGCATTCAAGGTCACATTAGGAGTGACATTAAAAAGGTTACCGGGATCCTCTGAGCCAAGCAACCAAGGTGCATCATTATAAACCAAGTCGCTTGCAGGATAAAATGTGCCCGATACATCAGGTAAATAAAGCTTTACTTTTTGTTCGTGCAATGGAACTTCAGCCAGATGCTGCACAATCAATATGGCTGCCCTAAGTTCCTGTGCATTAAGAGGAGAGGAACCTTTCTTCATGGCCATTCTAAACAAAATATCACTATAATCTGTGGGCTTCAAGAATTCTCGGATGCCAAGTTCTAAAAATAATTCCTTGAAAACTGCTAAATCAATTGGTATAACACGTATATAAGGGGCCAAATGGAGAGGGCCATCCAGGACAACCTCATCTGCAATTGCAAATCCATCACCAACCCAAATCCATCGACAACCTTCAAGAATAGCCTTTACAATGTCCATCTCATCTGAACCAATCAAGCTTGTCAGTATTGAGTATATCCTTGGCATTGCCAAGGCTAATTCCTGGCGTAGCACCTGATCATTCACAATCTCATTGTTTTTGCCAAGCTCAAGTAGCTGAGCAGCAATCACACTTCCACCTGGTGGAGATGACCATCCCAGGCTGTATGATAATGCTGTGGACGAGCATTCTCCATCGAGTATTCGCATACTCCCTGAAACAAGCCACAGATCTGTTTGCAGTCTTACAAGCTTTGGAGGAGCAACCATGGATGAGACAACCGGCCACGGTAGACCTTGAAATGGAGCATAAATTAATACTGGGCACCAGCAGATCAACCGTAAATCACTCCAAAACTTCTCGAGATCAGATTTTAAGTTGCTAGGTCTGAATACGGTAACAGCTCGTGAGAACATTTTGTTCATTTTTCCTTGTTCAACATCCAATGGATCAGGCATCCACTTTCTTGCATTAACTTCCAAGTAGGACAGAAGCACCTGGCCTTTTGAATGAGCCCTTTGTTGATCCTCACGCATTAACCGTTCCACTTGTCGAGCACTTTCTATGACAGCCTCGGGGGATACTGATGTTCTGAGGCCCAAACCTTGTAGCATGTCCAAAATGCGAGATTCTTGGAAAAGACCACGAGGAAAACTCCCAGAATCTTCTAATAATGCATAGAGTTCTTCATTACGAGGATCATACAACATAGAAGGACACCTAAGAACACCACTCAAGGTTGGGACAAATTCCAAGTTTCTCAGAGACTCCTTGAAAGATATGTCTTCAATGCACAATTGTGGTAGGCTTTGCAAAATAGAAACGATGATGTGGTCACGAACTTCTGGTTGCAACTCCGGAATTCTATTTAAGACATATTGCTTGTAGAAACACGCCTTCCCCATTCTCTGAATGCCATAATATCTCAACAGAATATCTTGCTCGCTATCTGAAGAGCTAATAATGAAGTCATTCCCCAAAAAGCACTCAGGGATGTCAAATGGAGGTATATACTTCTGTGTACTTTGAAGATCGGAAAAGTGGAAATCTGGATTAGATCCCCCAGCATAAACTTTATAAATAGGAAGCCTTTTGCAATTTCTTATGTTAGACTCATTCATAAAGTCGCCAATATACCACTTTGGATCAAGGAGAAATACACGTAGTTCATCCCTCTCTTCTGCTTCCAAATTGCCCAAAAATGTTGAAAGCATACCGCCATTTGAGGTGAAAACATCATATATAGACTCCAGAATGCTTGCACCATTAACATCACTTACATAATGTGATAAATCTGAGTGCTCAATTCCATAACTAGGATTAAGTATCTTGCATCCAACTTTAATCAGTATATCACGTATCTTGTAAGGGAGCTTTTCAGCATTGACCATTTTTGATTGTCTAGAGGCTCTGTAAAGATGCCCGGATATGGAAGGCAAGATGGGCCAATCACTGAACAATGACAGTTTTTCACAATGATTTCTGAGATATTGCCAAAATAGCATTACCCATGCTGAAGTAGGATGATTACAAGACTCCAGGTCCCAGGACACTTTGTTCTTATACTTCCATTCAGCAGGGGCAAATCTTGAAAAAAACTGAAGTAAGTAATGAACATTGAAAATAACAAGATTTGACTTGGAGGACTTTGCAATAGCAGAAAGTCGACTCAGTATGTTATGAGGAATATTCATATCAATAACTCTGTCATGTATTCGTGGAAGCAGCTTGTATTCTAATTCATTGCAGATAAAGTAAGAACTTCCCTTTGAGGCTTCAGAGAATAATCCAAAATCACCATTTGCCAGTGGAAGCAGAAGTAGGTTACATGCGTGTTCACCAACATCTATGTCAATCAAGTCTTCAAGACAATATTCCAACAGTACAAGCTTGTAAGATTTTCCCAAAGCCGAAAGAGATTTGCACTCTCTGAGAAAATGACGTACTGTATCAGGTGTTACCACCTTTGGTTGAGATGTATAAGCAAATTTTAGGAGCATGTTAGATAAAGAGGTGGGCAGATGCACAATAGGCATTCCTAGCTGCGTCAGAGCCTCACCTAGCTCCTTACTTTTCAAAAATTCTTCATCGTGAAGAAAAGCTTCAATTGGTGATACCCATTTCCCACCCTCAAGATCTGTATACAGTACAGGTGCATCAGAAATATTTTTGTAAATTTGCTCAACCAAAATGTTCCACGGCTCTTCAAAAGATCCACAAGGCCATAAAGAGTAATAAAAACTTTTTGACTCTAGCGATCCTTGTACACCAAGAAGAAGTTGCCTAAAACTTGGAGCCACAACATCTTCTAAAAGGAGCCTGTTCCAGATAGAACGAATTTTTCCACTTCTGTCCATGTCATCTCCATACCAAATGCCACGACGATTTGATGAGACCTCGAAATATCCATTAACTTGCACAGATAAACCAGTTCTTAGAGGCAAAGGAAGGAAACAGAATGCCTGGCCAACCTTAAGAGCATCACTCTGTAAAATATCAAATTGCAGCAGCATTAGGTTTGGAACTAAAAGGGACAAGCAGGAGAACAAAATAACAATTAAGGAAGAAAATAAACAATTTAGCCTATATATATTATGTATGCAAAAGAATAAATGGCTGAGCATGTATATAAATATTATATATATATATATATATATATATATATAAGAGAAGAGCAGAAGATATGAACATATCAGGTATTAGAAATTATACTCAAAAGTATTAGGAAAGATAAATTATTGGAAACATATATGAAGGGTTAGATGTTGTAAATTACATGCAATGAATTATTCGATGTGCAAGCTGCAACTGATGCCCATGGGAGCAAGTGAATATCATATTCTTTAGAAGCAGTAGCAGCAAACAAACCGATCCTGCTGGATGTTGATGCCATTGTCTGTACAATATAAAAAGAATCTGTCTTCTTCTCAGAATGGTACCCTACTGCTGCCTCCCTCAAGAAGTTCAATGAATAGCAGTCCATCTCAGTATCTTTTGAAATTACCGACTTTGACAACCTCAATACTGCTTGCCGATGCCAAACAATGTCATGATTTGCTGAACTCACAGAGCATGAATAAAGCTTCCTAGGTTGAGATTCCTCGGCTTCCCATACATACATTTCAACACATAATACACTCTTTAGAAAGAGTAATGTGAATACTCCTTCATCATAAAGCTGCATAAACATGGAAGAAATGTCGTCCTCCAAATACGCTTGCCTCGAGAGCTTACTTCTGGATGCCTGATCTTCATTCCTCAGAGGAAAACGGAATAGAGTTCCAGCAAAAGGACTTGTCATGTCACAACCAAAAGCACAATATGGAAAAAACTGATCTCTGTATACTGAGATGGCTGAAGAACTAACATAGTCAATTCGTTTGCCGGGATTGGATGCAGAAACTTTGGGAAGATAAATACTCTGAGGATCAAATAATACGACATATTTTCCACTCACAAATGAAGGCAAATCTGTTAAATGGTACACCGAGTTGAAGCCAACCCTAAAGAAAAAAAATCAAATTAATGTCGGAAAATATTAAAGCCTTCCAAATTCTGACGTGACTATCTTTATTTAAACCAAGAATGAAAATATAGTTAGACCATATGCATCTTAACGCTAATAAGGTTATACTATTTTTGCTATTCTATTTATAAATATAATAAAGATCGTATTTTGATTATTATCAACTAAACAACTTTCAAAACAAAGAACACAATGCTGCCATGAAAAAACTTTAAAAACAAAAAAGAAAAAGAACAATAGATTCTTATAAGAGATTCTAATTCTAATTGTTGTTTGTACCAGAAAGTGATAATTTGATTTCTCCAACTTATATTTCATAGTACATTGCCGTTCCGAAACACCTGCTATTCTCAGGCTAAATTCGGAAAATTTGTATGCTAACAAAAACATGGAAAAAGAGTATAACAAAGCATTAATACGACAATTAAACACATATTTAGAACGATGGAGAAGCCGTTACCCAAACCGGCCGGTTTTCCATGCTTGGCCGTGCTTGCTACTACCACCGATCCTCGAAATACTGACGAAATCGTCCTCCGTAAAAACAGCGTCGTTGTAGGCCAAGAGCGCGGGTCCCTGCCACTGCGCCAGCGTCGGCGAGAGCAGAGACTCGGAGCCGTGGACGCGGCGATCCAAGCAGAGACAAACCTTGGTGGCGCCGGCGTCGTCGGCGTTCTGGATGAGCTCCTTCATCACCGTTGTCCCCTCCGGGTAGTTCAGGAGCACCTCGCGGATCCGGCGAGTCAGGTCAACCTTTTGCCCGAAGTCTTCCAGAAGGATCGCCATCGAGTCCGCCGAAGACGACGACCATGACGATGACGATGATTCCTCCATCACTCCTCCTCCTCAATTTTCCGGCGACACTCCTCCTCCTCATTTTCCCGGCGCCCTCCGCAGCCGCCGATCTTCCTTCTCTTTTGCGGCTCGTTGGTGTGGGTTTCCGAGGACTAGACCATGGAATTGGACCTTAAAGAAATATTTGGGAGACCATGCAATGGCGGTCCAGGAAAGGGCGGTGCTGAACTGAGGTAGTTTTTGGGAAACTTCTTCGTTGTGATTTTTTTTTTTTTTTTCCGCCTTTTGGCGCAAGTTTCTTAACGATACTGCCCGTCCGACGGCACCTATAATGAGATAAAAGTATATGTTTTTTCTTTTTTTTTTCCCCCTTTTGATTAATGTTTGATTCTTTGAAAAAACGACTGGAGGTCTCTATACAATGTATTTTCTAGCTTTTCCACCTCTGGCATTCACTTTTTGCTTAGAAAGCTTAAATTGATGTAGTTTAAACAAAACGGTGTCGTTTATGTTGTACGGTTTTTCTCAAGACGATGTCGTTTGACAAGCTAACACATTGGTGCCTCGCATAGTCGCATAGAAGACAACACAATAACCGAATTAATCTCTTTTTTGTTTTTTGAGAAAAAAAAAAAAAAACGTTCTTAAAACGATATTTAGTGTAATAAGGACAAAAAATAGAAATGAAAATAATTTTTTAATTTAGTATAAAATGAGAGAGAAATGAAAAATAATTTTTAGTCGTTTTTCATTTTTTATTTTTATTTTCTGCTCTCTCGAGCAGAGAAAGAGAAAAAGAGATATTAATGAATTTTTTTACACTGAAAATAATCTCTTGATAAAACTACCAAATGTATTTTTAAAAATAATTTCTGTCTGAGATTAAAAACGTTTTAATTTTTCTTTCAAAACACGCCTAATACTGCGGCAAGAAATTTTTTGGTTTTTTGTTTATCAAATTATGAGTTTTTTTTTTTTTCTGTACAAGTAAGATTAAAAGAAGCTATAATAGTGTTTTTCGGTTAGATAAATAAGTCGAGTTTTTCTATGCAAAACAGATTTTTTGATCCAGTATGATGTCGTTTCATTCTAGAATTGATATAGCGCTTTTTGTTTGAAGTTTTCCTACGTTTATTTTGCAAAACGTATGACGTTTTTTTTCAAAAAAAAAAAAAGAACTTGAAGAAACGCAACGTCTTTCAACTTCACTGATAACTCAAAATTGCCCTTCATGTAAAAATGACATGTCGTTTACCTTCAAAGTCTTTGTAATTAGCTTCATAATATTAGATGTCGTTTATCCCGCGAAACAATCCCTTCAATCTCGTTTATAGCCTGAAGTTGACATGTGATCTAATGGTGAAACATTGATTAGGTTGAGGGTTGAGCCCTATTATCTTTTCTTTTTTAATTTTTGAGGATTATATGCTCTTTTTTAATTAACAAAAAAAGAAAAGAAAGAAAGCAAAAAACCAAAATAATAAATGACCCTAGTTCCTCAAACACATATGACATTTGATATATTGGTTTCGTTATATGTTTAGGACGTGTAGTTATCGTTTATATCTTAAAATTGCCATTGCATGTCAACCAAATTTTGTTGTTGATAAGTGCGAAAAACAATTCTAAAAAAAAAAAAAAAAAAAGGTGCAAAAAACGACACGTCACTAAGGTAAATGATATTCAGAATTTTTTTTGTCGTTTACGTTAAAACGGCTCGTCGTGTATCGTGTTTAAACTAGTTTTTGATCCGAAATTGCTTCGTTTTATGTTAGAAATCAGTTGCCGACCATTTCAGGAAACAAACTGCGTTGTCATTTATACACTGAAAAGCGACATGTATTTCAATGTTCAAATATGTATGTTCTCCGTCATTTGTTCAGAGAAAAATGAGATTTTTTTTTTTTAACAATCTAGATCTTTACGTTTCATTTTTTTAGGCAGATGGTATTTGAAGATTTATTAAAATTCTTAAACAATTGAAAATATATGTTAGTTGAGGATAAAAATAATGTCCTTCTGAGGGGGAAAAAATAGAACAAAGAAAAAAAAAACACTAAGGCCCCATTCATTTCACCGATTCGAGTTTAGAATTCGAGTTTTGCTACAGTAAAAAGCTCTCAGAAACAGCACATCAAACTTTTTTACTACAATAAAAAGCTTTCACATAAAATCACATCTCAATTCGAATTAAAAACTCGAATTAGCGAACTAAACGGGCCCTAAACTAAAACTAAAATCCACAGGAAGAGGTGAGGAACAAAGAATAAAAAATGAATGTAAATGTTTGACAACACGAGGCAACACTTGAGGGCCATTTTATGGGTACATTGGATAAGTTAAGTGATACATTTGATAAGGCGAAGTAAATCTTATTCTTCCTAAATTATTTAAAATAATTGATTGCAGTTGACAATCAACATATATCTAATTATTTATTTTGAAAAAATATAATTGCACGTATCCAATTAAATTTTTTTTGTGCTCCAATCACTTTGTGATGTTCATAATTCCACACAGAAAATGGCTTCCTCTAACATTTGTCTACCAACCAACCTACTTACGAACTTAAATAAATATGAAGATGAAGGTCAATCAGTTTGGTTACCCAGCATTTGGACACAGATCATAAACAAGTCCACGTGGACGGACCTGATTTGCCATGCCATATTATGTGCACCCCAAGAAGCCATTTTAAGAACATAATCACAACGTGAGAAGCTCTACTATGTATTTGTGTCATCTATGAATTATGACTAAACAATGTCAATCACAACGTGCGGGCTACAACTAGTACAGTTCTAGTTAGTTTTAGTTTTCTTTTCTTCTTCTTCTTGTGTTTGATTCCCTATATAAACATTACTTGCACAAGTGGATAAAAACGTGCAATAGATCAGAACTAGGCAATTGTTGAACTTGCACTAGTCAAGAGTTGATCAAAACTTGTCCAAATCATGAAGAACTTGCTCTTCCTAGCATTGCTAGTCGGCGTTCTCCGACTAGAGGCGGCCGCGGAATTTAATTATGGAGAGGCCCTTGACAAGAGCTTGATGTTCTTGGAGGCACAAAGGTCCGGTAAACTACCACTCGACCAGCGAGTCAAGTGGCGCGGCGGCTCGGGGCTCAAGGATGGGTTGGCTCAGGGGGTAAGTTAAAAATTTACATTCTCACGCATTATAACAAGAAAAACTATTCGTTGCAGGATTTGTCAGTGATGTTGATAAACAACAACATTATTATCTATTGATAGTTGCCAACACTTTTTTTTATTTGTGGTGCAGGTGGATTTGGTTGGAGGGTATTATGATGCAGGAGATCACGTGAAATTTGGGCTGCCAATGGCATTTACTGTCACAATGCTTTCATGGGGAGTCATTGATTTCAGAAAGGAAATCACAGATTTAGACCAAATGGGACATACATTGTGGGCCATCAGATGGGGCACTGACTACTTCATGAAGGCACATCCACAGCCTAATGTTCTCTGGGCACAAGTAACTTTGCTCACCTATTTCATTTTCCTCGAGCCACTAGGGAAAATTTAAGCTTCTTTTTTTTTTTGTTTTTTTTTTGTTTCAATTCAAAAACAATCTTCATAAGTTCCAAATTTTGTCCTTTTATCAGACTTTCTCATGTCCTAATTTTATGTACCAATTTGCCATTTATGCATTATGAGCCTCAGTTTTTGGACATACGTTGACAGTAGGAGATCTTTTAAATTTTTCATCAAAATTACCTCAGGTGGGAGATGGGGACTCTGACCACTACTGTTGGGAGCGTGCCGAAGACATGACCACCTCGAGAACTGCTTACAAGCTCGACGAAAACCATCCAGGTTCTGACCTTGCCGGTGAAACCGCCGCCGCATTGGCTGCAGCTGCCATAGCTTTTAAGCCTTACAACTCTTCATACTCAAGCCTCCTCTTAGTTCATGCAAAACAGGTTTGTACATCTTCAAAGCCACATAATTAATGATATTCCACTAACATAATAAGGTTCAGTTGTTTTACTTTTTGCTACGCAGTAGTTCTCTTTTACCGACACACACGTATGGTGATGAATAACGCTTCTCTTTTTCCCATTTGTATTGGTAACGCTTTTCTGAAAGATTACATGTTTGACTTGTTTGTGCAGCTTTTCACTTTTGCTGATAGATTCAGAGGTCTATATGACGATTCTATCCAGAATGCTAAGGAATTCTATACCTCATCCGGTTACTCAGTAAGTGAACTATTTTCAATATGATCGTAACTGTTGTTATCTCTTGTTTTCTGTTTCCTAAATCTAATATTTCACTTTTGGCACTAAAAGGATGAGCTGCTATGGGCTGCCGCATGGCTCTACCGCGCAACCGATGAGGAGTACTACTTGAAGTATGTGGTTGACAATGCAGTTTACATGGGAGGAACCGGATGGGCAATGAAAGAGTTCTCTTGGGACAACAAATATGCTGGTGTTCAAATCCTTCTCTCTAAGGTACCAAATTCATGGCCTCTTTTTTTTTTTTCTTTTTGTTTTAGAGCCTTCAAATGTAAGAAACTGTCAGTTTACCACTTTTCCCGAAAAACTTAAGCTATCAGGGGTGAATCGACATTAGTTTTCGCTGTTTTGCAGATATTGTTGGAGGGGCGCGGCAGTGCTTACACTTCCACACTTAAACAATATCAGGCCAAAGCTGACTACTTTGCCTGTGCTTGTCTTCAAAAGAATGATGGTTACAATGCCTACATAACTCCTGGTAAGAGTCCAAACTATTCTTTGGAATTGCTTTCAAGACAAGTTTATAATTGAAGTATTCATGATATCTTTTTTTTTCTTTATTTTTTTCAATTAGGGGGGTTGTTGTATGTGCGTGAATGGAACAACATGCAGTATGTTTCCTCAGCTGCATTTCTTCTAGCCGTTTACTCCGATTATCTACGCGCGGCAAATGCCAAACTCACTTGCCCAGATGGCCAAGTTCAACCTCAAGAGCTTCTCAACTTTGCTAAGTCACAGGTTTATACTCTTTTCATCTTTCTTTTTGGTTATTCTAATAATAGTGGAGGAACAAAATCTAGTTTCTTATACTAGGGTAGAGGAGAAAATTGGAAGAAAAGAAAAGAGTGGAGGTATTCCTGAAAAGACCATTTTTAATTGATTCAAAAGTGGAGAGATTTTTAAAGAGAAAACTTATTAGTACTTGCATCAAAAGCTAAATTACCTTTTTTTCCCCCTCATTTTAAACCAAAATAATACTGATTATTAGTAAAAATAATCAAACGGAGTAGTAACACGGTACTTTATTTTCTACACAGGCTGATTACATTTTAGGTAAAAATCCCAAGGCCATGAGCTACTTGGTTGGATATGGACCAAAGTATCCAATCCATGTACACCACAGGGGTGCTTCCATTGCTTCTAAGTTCACTCTCAACTCCCTGGTTGGGTGTGTGCAAGGATTCGACGTGTGGTACCGTCGCCCCGAGGCGAATCCAAATGTCATCTATGGAGCCCTTGTTGGTGGCCCTGACAAGAATGATGACTTCTCCGATGACCGATCGGACTATGAACAAACGGAGCCAACACTTTCTGGTTGTGCCCCTCTTGTAGGCCTCTTCTCTAAGTTGCACATTACTGTGAATGGAATTCAAGGTGTGTACTTTGACTAAGGCCATCCTCTTTTGTGTTCAAATCTTTTGAGACATATCTGATATTTTCTTGTACCCTTTTTCATATATTACAGGTTCTTATCGTAGACAACAATCACCAATTTCCCACCAGACAACGCCAAGTATGTGTTTCATATCTCTGTTTGAAAGTTGTTAGTAACCAGAAAGAAAACGTTGAAAAGACTTTGTAGTTTACAACACATTTAAGTTGTTTATTTATTTATTTATTTATTCATTTTTTGCTTGAATGTTTATTTACTTGTGTTACCTAATGATTTTTCAGATACTTATAACCATGAAACACCAAGACCAAGCCCAAGCTCAGGTAAAGCAAAGATATCATAATGGACTTTTTTTCGGGTGTGTTTGGTTGGTGTATTCGTGACATGATTCGAATTATGATTCGTGATTCGTTACAGTATTTTTTCACACATAAATCGAGAATGATTATGAATCATGATTCTGAATCCGCGAACCAAACATTAATGATCAAAGAATAATGTCAAGGCTCTCTTAACATCAACTATGTGCAAAAAATTGTCACGTCGATTAGATATTAAATGCATCATCTATCAGCAAAAAGCATCATCTATCAGCAAAAATGACAAATATCTGTCACGTGAGTTGTTATAAAAAAGTTAAGGGCTTGACTCAACTATGAAAATCATACATATTATATTTATATCAACTAACATGGCCATGCGATTTGAATATCTTGCAGAAACCCCTGTCAAGTTTCTTCACGCGATAACCAACACGTGGACAATCGGAGGCCAAACGTATTATAGGCACAGGGTGATAATCAAGAACACATCAAAGAAGCCAATAACAGGTCTTAAATTGGGGCTTGAGAACCTCACAGGATCTTTATGGGGTCTCTCCAAGACTAACGAAAAGAACACTTACGAGCTTCCTCAATGGCACAAAGTCTTGAAGCCCGGAGAGCAGTGCAGTTTTGTATACGTCCAAGGAGGCCCTCAAGCCAGAGTTTCAATTCTTGCCTACCATTAGCCGTTTTTTCACTCAGAATCTGAGTTCAAATACTTGGGGCTCCACAGAAAGAGAGAAAAAAAAAAAAATAGTGGCCATTTTGTCCCGAAAATGTAATCTATTATTCTCGGTAGCAATTTAAGCAAATGCAAAGCTGACCGTTTATGGCATTTGCTCAAGCCTTAGAAGCTAAACCTGCGGACACTTAAAAAGGCTCATTTATTGACTGCGTTTAAACTTTAAACTCATAATTTTAATTTAATTACAATATTTTTTTTCATAAAAAATTTAAATTTTTTTTCTTTCACAAAGAATTTTAATTTTTTTTCTTTCACAAAATTTAAATTTCAAATGACAATAAAAAATCACTAATTTTAAACACAAAAACCACTAGCATGGTTTTGAATCTTTATTGTAGTCAATAGAATATAAATAAATAGTTCTTAAAAAGACTATATCATAAAAAGATAACTTAGAATTTGATACAGAAGTTGAGAAAAGAGTTGATATCCAGAACATCATATTCTAAAACAAACCGGGAAAAAGTCGCAACCTTTGTTCTTTTTTACTAAACTAATGAAAGAATTAGCTATAACGAACTAGTAGTAACCACAAGGATTTACTAGAATTGCACAAATCATATTGATTAATTCCCATCTCAAATGAAATCTAATGTGCAACATACTATTCAAATTTCGGGTTCCTTCATTTTTAGTCAATTTGCTTATTTTTCCTCTCAGATTTCATCAATTGTACGTACCTCAAAAATTAAAAGATTAATTCAAACTGATCTTAACAAAAAGTCATTGACTATCACTCAAAAGTCAACCCTGTTCACCCTAAGACAAGGCAGACTGCCATTGTCTTGTGGTCTGTAGATAACACGTTACTCAACATAGTAAATTTTCATGCATAGGATAATAATATTTAAATAGGAGATCATCACCTCCTGTAGTTTCAAGGGAAGCATGTAAAACATAAAAAGTGTATCATGACTCAAAATACCATACTCGCTTAAATTTAAGTGCACCTAAAAAAAACATGATGGAAAAACAAGGGAAAAACCATCATCCAAAATTGCCTATAATTACTCAATCGTCACCGAAGGTCGTCTTCTTTCCTGCGCAATAGAAAAGCAAAAATGAAATCCATCAGAGGAACGTTCACGGGTGCTAATCACATGTTTCTCCCATTTACTTATTGCTTGCATTATTTTCTTTCATCCTGTCGTTAACCATTAGGAAAGAAAAAAAATCTAACCTACTCCGGTTCCTCCAACACTGATTTAAGACATTCAAACCAAACAATAAAAAGAGGATAAATGCTCTGATAATCCAAGCAATACCTTGAGGAGTCAGGCTTGGTTTGTTGGGAGTTGAGCGACCTCGACCTCGGCCTCGATCTCGTCCTCCGCCAAAGCGACCAGGGCCCCGTCCAGACCTGTTACTACTACGTCCACCCGAATTATTTCTATCATTGAAACTGGTTCGGGGTTTTGCCTCTTCCACCGTCAAATAATTGTTGTCAAGTTCAACCCCATTTAGTTCTAGAGCTTTGTTGAAACTACCAGTGTCATTGAAGTCCAAGTACGCGAGCCTACACCAAGAAGTTTAAAGTTTACAGGCAGAGCCACAGCAATAAGAGAATTCAACGAGATTTAAACAACAAAACACAGCTGGTAGGATAACCATGAAGCACAAGATCTCTCATAAATATGTTCTGGTACTACTTTCATTACTGAAAACACCTATTGCTCTATCATATTTTCCACATTTAAATAGCCTGCAGTCTAGACCTAGTTCCCAATGAACACAAGCGAAAACATTTGAGCCTAATTTACATATAAAAGTGGCACCAAGTGAATAACTAGACATCATAAGTGGTACTGGGCCTAATGCCGACGAAAATGTGTCCTAAATCCAAAGAAATTAAGGCCTTGTTCATTTCACAACTCAAGTTTTATTGCTACAGTAGTTTCTCTTAAAAAAATTCATATTCAACTTTTTTGCTTGTGTTTTTATCTCACATACACAACTCAAGTTATAACTTGAGTTGTGAAATGAACATTACCCTAATTAAATTTGTTGAAAAGTCTGCACATTATACGAATCATGTTATACAAATGAGAGGTGTCAATGTCGCCCCCTAAAATTTAAGAACTTGTAAAAATACACAAAGAAAGATTTCACCTACCCTTTAATGGAACCAGTATCGTAATCTCTTGGAACGCTTATTCTTGAAATCTCACCACAAGAACCAAAGTGCTCTTGCAACGAACTCCTAATCTGCAATTTAGGATGCAACAATGTGAACATTTAAGAAAATAATTGATACAAGAGAGTAAAGCTACAAGAGAGTAAAGCTACAAGAGTATAATGCACAAACATTACCTCATCCTCCCCAATGGATTTATCTAAACCACGTACAAAAATCGTCTTGACCTGATCTCTTCCCCTATTCTGGAATGAGTTTCTGTCGTCCTTGCTACAATTATAAGCATTGAAAAATAGGGAATAAATAAGTTCATCAAGCTTGGAGTTTTTTCCCCCTAAAAACATTAAGCTCAGAGATTCAATTAAAACATTTTATGCTCATTGGCTTTGCTAAAAGTAAAACGACTATGAGCATTGAAATATAGGTTAATACCCGCCGCTGTATGGGGTATATGCACCCCTTTCACGAGCGAAATCAAGTTTCACAGCACGACCCCTAAATTCTTTGCCATTCAATTCAAGTGCCTGTAAGAAGCATAAGATTAAGCTCAACAACAATGTAAAACCAATATAGCTTCATTATCTCCAAATGCAAATAACCAAAAACGGACGTTTACCTTTTTTGCTGCTTCGGCAGTGGCAAACTCTACATGTCCAAAGCCCTTAAATCTTCCTTCCTCATTCACTGAGAAACGCACATCAACAACTTCACCAGCACCTTTGAAGAAATTTTCCCTGTAAACATTACTCCTATCAGATGAGAACCATACTAAAGGAGTAACACATTTCAAAAGTCAGTCATACTCACACATCAGATCGTTCAACGTTGAATGACAAATTGCCAACAAACAATGTCTTTGATGAACCAGTCTCAGGAGTAGTAAGAGTTTTGGACTGCAACAGATTACATGTGAATTATAGGCATATACAAGAAAAGCCAAAACTGTGCTAAAAAATATTAGAGAACAAAAAATTACAGCTTTCTTCCCGAATTTTGCATCTGGTGTAACAGCAGCATCTACCATTTCAACATCAGTGTCCTGTAAAAGAAATGTTCAACCAGTAATAAAAAAAGAATAAATTGCATAAAAGTTCAATCTTGCCCATATCACTATAATATGGATCTCCTAATCCTACGGCAGAAACTGCACAGATTAAATAAAATAAAATAAAAAATAAAAAAAGAAAGAGGAATCCAACGGCAAAAAAAGCAGGATAACAATACTTTTTTCATTGGGGTCTTTGAAGGTTTTTCCTCCTCAGATGAGTCATCCTCAGATCCCGACTCACTGCTGCTCTTTTGCTTTGAAACTTTAGCTGGCTGCAAACACAGAAAATCCAGGATCAGAGTAAATCCTCATGTTACATCAAGAGCTCAAGAATTTTCAATTTAAAAATATGCTACTTGACAGATGGTTCTCTCTCACCTTTGCCAGTGGCTTTGCAGGCTTGTCATCTGATTCATCAGAGCTGTCCTCATCATCCGTACTGCTTTCTTTTTCAACAGCTTTTGCACTTAGTTTTCCAGCATCCTTAAGATGAAGCACGATAAATGACACACAATAAGAATATGAGAAGAGAAAGTTGAAAACCTCATTCATAGTGAAATACAATAACAACTTGCTTAGAAACTTACCTCATCATCAGAAGAATCACTTTCTGACGAACCACCACTAGATTCCTGTTTGGTTGTCTTTGCAGCAGGAGTGGGTTTCTTAACACTGTCCGAAACTTTAGCAGCAGGAGTGGGTTTCTTAACACTGTCCAAAACTTTAGCAGCAGGTTTCTGTGACCATAAAATTCCGAAATCCAGTCAACAAAAAGCAACTAAATGAAGACCACAAACGCTAAATGTTTAAGACAGCAATAAAGACTATAAATTAGAAAGGAACAATTTTTTCTTTTAAAACAATACCTCGTCATCAGAAGAATCACTTTCTGATGAACTGTCACTAGATTCCTGTTTAGTTGTCTTGGCAGCAGCGGCAGGTTTCTTAGCACCATCCAAAACTTTGGCAACAGGTTTCTGCAACAGTAAATATACCACAAAACAGTAAAAAACAAGCAACTCAATAAAGACAATGTTAAACGTACAAGAGAATTACCAAATACATTAGATTAAAGCACAAGGAGCAAAACCTTTTCTTCTTCATCCGATGACTCTTCAGATTCAGAGGAGCTATCACTGGACTCCTTTTTTGCCTTGGGGGCAACAGCAGGTACTTTCTGCACAGGCTTGTCCTGCAAAAGTGCACTCGAGAAAGTTAAGTCTAGTTATCAATAGAAACATTAAATAAATAAATATTATAAAGTTCAACCACATCATCACGTATATTGATAATTTCAATGATTAAAACAAACAAACCACATACCTCATCAGAATCGCTTTCTTCAGAGCTGCTTTCTGGAACTGTTTTCTTAGGAGCTACAACTGGAGCTTTCTTTTGAGGTTTCTATACACACAGTAAAGAAACCAACGTAACTAATGTGTATTTTTTAAGGACTTCAATCACATTGAAATTATAAACTAAACAAGCCACATACCTCATCATAATCTGAATCAGAATCACTTTCTTCAGAGCTGCTTTCTGGAACCGTTTTCTTGGGAGCTACAACCGGAGCTTTCTTTTGAGGCTTCTATACACAGTAAAGAAACCAACTTAACTAATGTGTATTTTTTAAGCCAAAACTCAGGGATGAAATATCCAGCAAAAAACTAATAATAATCCCTTGAGACAAAAATTCAAACGGACGTGTATACTTACTCCATCCTCATCAGAGTCATCATCTGACGAATCCGAACTACTTGATGACAAGTTCCCATTTTTAGCAGCAGCAATACCATTCTTAGCAGCAACTGGTTTCTTCGCAGCCACAACAGCTTTGGCAACAGGCTTCTGAGGGGATGACCAAAAAGAAAATTAGTTACCAAAAAAACATACAAATGGTCATGAGTATAACAAGCCACATTTATGACACAACAAAAACAGGAGCTAATTGGCAAAAGCGAATAGAGTCTGTACCCTCTTTTGGTCCTCAGAGTCGGAAGATGAGTCATCTGACTCCTCAGAACTACTGGTTTCCTCTTTCTTTTTCTGTGTCTTTCCTTCAATCTTCTTCTTCAGAGCAGCCTGCTCTACTGCCACATCCTTCTTCTGCTTCTTTGCACTAACAACCTTCGCTATCTCCTTTTCAGCTTCCCTCTTGTTACCTTTCAAAACCCAAATTCTCAAAACAATTTAGAACCCACCAAAAAATAATACGCGCAAAACTTAACTAATAGCAAAAAAGACCAAAACCAACGAAAAAGGCACCTACTTTTCACTACACTCAGTGTTTCATGCAAAACACCATTCAACACCCAAACACCATGGTCCAATCAAAACAAACCCATTAAACGATAAACCCAACTCAATGTATGTATACATACATACATATATATAGCTATAAATAAACAACAAACAAAACCCAATCCTTAACGTCTGAAAAAAAAAAAAGAGAGAAAACCCAATCTCAACTAACAAAAAACACATTAAAATAAAAGGAACATGAGAACAGGTTCAAACTTCTAAACATAAGATTGAACAATAAAACGAAATCAAGCCTAAAAACCCGCATTAGATTAACCATAGCAAAAGAAAAAAACAAAAACTCTAAAAATAAAAATCAGAGACAAAAATCGAAACCTTTCTTAGCAGACACAGCAGGAGTCGCATCAACCTGAATCAAAAATCAAAACACAAAATTAAAAAACACCAAAAAAAAAATAAAAAACCGAAACAGAATAGCGCGATTCCAAAGAAAAGGAAAGAAAGAAGAAGAAAAAGACAATACCTTGGGAGCCGATTTCTTACTTGACTTGCCCATTTGGAGGAGGGATAATGGAGAAAATTTAGGGTTTGTTTGGGCTGAGAGAAAATTTGGACCTGCAAAAATCCCAAAACGAAGGGGTTTTTTGAGGTTTAGGGTTTTGGGGGTGGGAAGTGCGGTGATGGAGGAAGAAGAAAAGGTGTGTATATATAGGATATTTTTTGGTTGAACCAAGATTTTCGGTGGACAGGGTTAGGGTTTTTCGGTCTATCAAAAAGTGACACGCCGTTTTTCAAGCGAAACGACAGCAGACTTTTAGTATGAACGACTTGTCGTTTTATACCCAGTCGACCAAACTCCGGTAAAAAGAACGATATGTCGTTTATGCTGCGAAATGAAAAACATAAACAAACCCCCTTGAAAATTGGTTTTGTTTTCGGTACAAAAATAAAAATATTTTAAAAATTATTTTGAAACTGATTTTGAAATTACGTTTAATAGTCTTTCAAGAGATTAATTTGAGTATGATAAAAAAATAAAATCGTGTTTAGTTATATTTATGTTTGTTTTGAGTACATGTAATTAATAATCTTAAATTAATATATTCAGCAATTAATAATTGATAATTAATTAGTAAATAAAAATTAATATATTAATAATATAATAATAATAGATAAGTTAGTAATGTACTCATATTTATTAGATTATAAGTAATTAATTAGTGTATTAAGAAAAATAATTAGTATATACATAATTTATTAATATTCTGTTTACTACTTAAATTATTAATTTTTAGTTACATAATTAATTAATTAATTTTTAATTTTTAATTTTTATTTAATAATCTATTATTTGATATATCACATGATTAATTTTTTATAATTATTCTTTTATAATGATTAATTACTAATTATTAATTATTAATTATTGTTGATAAGTACTAGAAAATAAAAATAAAAAAGAGAAAATAACTTTCAATCATTTTTTACTTTTTTCACAAAAATCATTCTCATTGTTTTTTATTTTCATTTAATTTTTAAAACTTTTTATTAAACAAACGCGATTTGTTTTCTAAAATAATTCCAAACAACACCAAAACCTCGTCTGACGTTTCGTTTTCTACCTAAAACGATTGCAAATAAATATGTTGCTTTCTTCAAAAAAAATAAAAATATGTTGCTTCGGCAAAAAAAAAAAATAATAATAAAATAAAATAATTATGTTGCCTGCAAACGCCATGTCGTTCTATAAATGACAGCAAACTTTAGACGACAGAAGATTATGTTGCCGTTTTAGGGATTAAACAGCGAACTTTATTGTATAAATACAATTCTCTGTCCTAATTTCTTTTTCCACTTATAGACAAAGCATAGCAGTATCTTTCACCCAGACAAATTTTACATAAAAATCACATTGCATTTCAAACTCTTTTCTCCTGCCTCTTAACAGGAGAAGAGTAATATTATTACATAAAAATGAGACTCGGAAATTCAAAATGGCGTACAAAGTCTATACCTTTTTTTCCTCAATAAATTCACAACAAAATCACAATTTAGGTAATAACATAAACCGAGAGCTATTGCCTGAAGATTTTGCTGCCAACAGGATTGCTTCGCATTACCTATAGAGCGATGCTATATAGCATCAACGGTGATCATCATCACCTATTTCTAACACATCACAAATTCACATGTCAACTCTGAGACCCGCTAACACAGCATCTCCCGCAGTCTTACATGTCAATCTTGTTGCCAACAAGATTGCTTGGCATTACTTATAGAGCGATGCTATATAGCATCACCGGTGATCATCACCACATATTTCTAACCCATCACAAATTCACATGTCAACTCAGCAGCATCTCTTCTTGCAGTCTTACATGTCAATCTGTAATTGGTTCATAAATTAGCAGCAACTATCACCGGCATTTTTCTTACTTCTACGATGACTAGAAAATATATTCACAAAAAAATAAAAAAGACCTGCTCATATGAAACTACAAGTTTCCCTGGCAAATCCGAGTTTGGACTCCTTGGTGTCATACACAACCCTCTGATTCTTCTGCTGATAGTTCCCAATAATCGCAATCTCGTCCGCATACGACAAACTTGCCAAGGCCAAGCAAATCTGAGAGGCATCACTCTTGACCATGTACAAAATCCCAGTCACATCAATGTTCAGCTCAGCACCGCCTTCAAAGTGCATTTTCATGGTCGGAATGTTGACTTCATCATAGCCAGTCAGGTTGAAACACGTGTCCAAAATTGAGAATCCAGGTGCTAAAGGAAACCCAGAGAATTGCTTCACAAACTCGGCCTTAACAGCCTTGTAAACTGAAGGAGCTAATCTTGTTATGACTGTCCCAGAATCAATGAGAATCCCTCCTTGGGAAAAAGTAGTACTTGATGGTGTTGTTTGACGTAGTTCAATTCCTCCAATGCTGATCCCAGTAAGATTTAGGAAATAAAAGGAGGGAAGTTGTAGATTTGGGACCATTTTGGTGTAGGAAATGGGAGTTGAATTCTTGTAAGCAGATGTGTCAAATCCCATGACAAGTGAGCCTGAAGAGCCGGGCTCAGTTGAAGGCAAACAATAGGAGAAAACCCCACCGAAAACCGAGGAAGCTTGGGAGATCAATGAGAGATCACTTCTTCCCAACCCCATTAATCCGGAAGCCCCGCCAAACAGGCCCATGTTGCTCCTCCCACACCCGAAGACAAAACCCGCAACCGGAGTCGCCCCCAGTCTGAGGCTGTCGCGGCCGAGGTCCCCGCGGGTGTAGGACCCGTCACCGTAGCTAACAACATAGTTACATGTTGGGGGGCTGGTCTTAACAGGAGTAGCACCACAAACACCTGAATTACCAGTGGCAAATTGGAGGGATTGACATGTTGATGAGTTGCATGGGATTGATTGGTATGTTTGGGACAAAGAAGGGGTGAAGAGAGGCTCTTTTTGGTTGTAACATGACTTGCAGGGCTGGCATTGGATCCATGTCAAGACACTGCCTGTGTCAACTATAACTGTCATGTTTCTCCCACCCAACTCCACAGTCACAATGTAGTTTAAGATCTGCAGCTTTATACCTGAAGTCAGTGGGATTTGAGCTTCGGAAACATCTAGGTTGTTGTTGTTATTGTTGTTGCTAGAGACCCTTTTCTTAAATTGCGATTGGAGTGACCGAACATGAACATCATCTAAAATCAATCTTGTTTTCAGTTTCTTTTTCCAGTCAACAACCTTTTCAGAGCAGTAATCTCTGTGCTTCATTTCCAATATGGTCACACCCTTTACTCTCCCTAGTTTAATCAAACATATTATAAGAATCTGAGTCAAAAACTAATAACCAAATAGATTAATCAAATCCCAAATATAATGTTCCAAAAAGCTGGCCTGGCTAGCTAGAGATATGAACATGAAGAAATAAATCAACCAATAAGAGGATATTGTATCATAATGAAACTTTAAACAGCACATAATCTAATAAGTATAAAGTAAGCAAGCCAAGATAACCTTTTATCAAAGTATACGATAGACAGAGACATAATGGCTGTTTAGTAAAATGGATTAAAGCAGTTACTTAAAAAAGATATAGAAAGCAGTGTGCTATAGATTATAACATCATAACAGATCCTATTTAGGAATATAATAAAGTTAAGTATAAAAGGAAAAGCCATATTGGTCAGCTATATATAGTACTATCAACTAATTTTTAGCTTTTTTATCAAACTTTTTTTCTTTTTCTTTTTGTCTTAATAATGAACACTCACTAGAGTTCTGTGAGGCACAGCTTGGAGCACCACTGGGCTGCTTCCATTGAAAATCTCTCAAGTTGAGGACCTTCTTCTCTGGAGAACAGTGAACTCCATTTGCAAAAAAGTTGGTGAAGCAAATAAGAAATAGAGAGAATGATAAAAGAGGTCTAACAGTTATAATGATATTCATGATATCCACCATTGTTGAGGAAAGTGAAGAAAAAAGATGAGAAAAATGGTGTTTATATGAAAAAAAAAATCAAATAGAGAGGGATATGAAGATATTGAAGAGAAAGTCAAGAAATGAATATGTGAGTTTTGTGCGTCTGTGAGAGAGAGAAAGAATTAGAAGAGGAGAGAGAGATTCCTGGGAGTTGGAATTTGGCATGAGAACAAAAGAGGAAGGGCTGGCTTTTGGGGCCCCACATAATGCATGAGAAATTATTGGCGTTTCACGTGCATATAACTGGTAAAGGAAATGATATATATATACATATATGTGTGTATAATATATATATATATATATAAAGTGGTGATTTTTGTTAGTGGGATTAGCTAGTTGGTTGCTGGTATGAGTGGATTGAGGAACTTGTGACTTTAGAAAGAATCATTTTCATTGGTTCATTGTGCTTTCAAAGATAAGGACTCACGGCTCTCACAGAATCACCTGTCAATATTCTTTCTCTTCTTACACACTGAAGAAGATGGGGAGGGACACAGAATTTGAAAGAGATGTATCATTTTCTTTTTGTGGTTCAATTTCGATGTATCATCCCATTAGTTTATATTATCTAGGCGTCTATAAATCTATATGGTTGTTGATTTAGCTTGGCTAATAAAATCATATTCAGATCTAAAGTTTGCAACGGAGAATTATAAAATTTGTTCCCCTAATTCATTTATTAGTTTTGTAATTTTTTTTTTTTTTTAGCATTTTATCTGTAATCCTGTATGGTTTAATAAAGAGCATGAATCTCTAGTTCCCTTCAGGGCATCTTTGTAGGTTTTGTGAATTTTTAAAGTTACGAAAAGTCATGATTCTCTATATATAAAAAGTATGTATTTGTAACTTAATGATAAACAACAATACTCTAAATAATATATCACATTGTCGGCTATTATAATGAGCGGGTGGAGGAAAAATTAGAGCGTTTTGGCCGGAGTTATGACACCGATTCTGACCAAGTCGTCGGACTTTTGAAGTTATATTTTCAACTAAAAAGAAAATGGAGATTATTTTTTCTTAAGAAAGAGAGAGAAAAAAAACCTTAATTTTCTTGTGCATTGGGTGTGTAATAAAACTGACTACATGAGCCCGGGTTCATGGATTAGAACCATGTGATTAGAACCATTTTTTATTTACGTATATTTTTTGTGAGAGAAAATATTGTAGCGAACCACGAATCATGATTCGAATCAGGGAACGAATCCCTTTACCAAACGGGCTACCACCCAAAATCCGATCGGCTTTTTTGTTTTTTATATGGAAAATTTCAATGTAAATTTTTATCGTGTATATTGACATATTAACAGTGAAAAAAGAACAGTTCCTGCTGTTGTAGTTTACTTTTTATATAGTAGAGGAGAATATTAAAAAATGTGTCTCATAATTAACTTTTACATGTTACTCTTTTTGCACTAATAAAATCACAAAATTCTTTATGTCACACTAATAAAATATTTCTCCTTTTTTTTTTGGGAAAAGTTATCGGCACTTATAAACACATTAGATACAAATATATAAGACAACGCCAATGACCTAATAAGTGAACAGAGGCATGCTTGAGGTCCGGAAACGGGAGACCACCTCGACACACTACAAACGAGCACAATCAAGGCTCTAGTAGAAGAAACTCTTCCTATCGAAATAAACTTTCGCGTTCTGAGAGGTATGATTACCAACTCTCATATTAGGGAGACATCAGAGACACGACCTAGAAAAATTTATAATTGGAACAAAAGTTCCGCACTAGCAAAAAACATACAATCAGAGGATGTGGAAACCACCTACATTATTACAACACAACGCCGAACACACGCCGGCGACCAACAACGAAATATAAACAAATTAAAACAGAACGGCGGAAATATTAACGCTTTATTACAAACACACAAATTAAACACAAGAGAGTAAATACCAAAAGACACCGGCAGAGACTCCAATGACGCGCCGAGCACCACTACGGATGGGCGAGAGAGCCGCAACACAACACGCTACTCGAAGAAGACACCCAACCCACCTCTTCTGTCACTATCTCTGATTGCCGAACCCATCACCAGCTCCTTTGAAGGAATCGCCGAATAAAATATTTTCTCTTTATTAGCGGAAAAAAAAATGGTGTTTCTCTTAAATTTCCTAAGACTTTTGAATTCTTATATTGTTGGGTGAAATGTTGTGAAATATATTTCTTTTTGAAAAGCTCCTATCCCAAGAGAATTGAAGGAGGTAAGTTGAAATTTTCACAACTGCACAACAGTACAGTCAATAAGACAATATAAGGATAAAGATAGAAGATTTTTCAACAAACACGTTACAAGATAATGCTTATTTACGCTTGATCTTTATTTTAAGAAATTGCTACGTACATTGAAGAGTTTGAATCCCCCATGACTTTAAAAAAAAAAAAAAAAAAAAAAAAAACACTCTTCAGGGGGAAAAAATCAAAAGAATTGTAGAAAAGAAAACCAAAATACTTTCAGAAACAAAAAAGGAAACGTCCTCCAAGGTCATTTTTGAAGACAAGTATCATTTAAGAAGGGAATAATAATAAGGTTGTGTTAACATTTCCTCTCATTTTTTCAATCATAATATAATTTATCTTAGTTATTTAGTCACAATTGTTATAAATATTCTATGAAATCTTTTATACTAGTTAGGACTAATTTGTGTCGGTGTACCATGAATTTATAATCATTTGTAAGACGAATTTCAACCAACGATATCTGAAATGTTTATATTTATACATATATACTTTTATAGAACAATTAAAACTTTTTTGTTGGTTGACAAATTGAATCTTATTTAGAGTTTTTAATTCTAACATCGGGACCTTAATTTTCTTTCATTAATTCCCATATGTTATTTATTGGATTGCATTGCAATCGGCAAATGGTTGTTAAATTTAGGAACCCAAATAATGCTAAAATGAACAATTTATAGTCCAACTTGCAAACAATAATTTATTAAAAAAAAAAAATTACATCCATAAGCCGAAAACAAAACACATGTCTAATCTACCGCTCATTTGTTTCCTATACTCAAATAATTAATTTTGTTACAATATTTTCCTCTCATAAAATATTTAAATTTTAAATATTAGAATTAAAAATTATAGTTTAAGTATAAATTTTAAACGAGCCTTACATTATCGTTCATAACCTTGGTTTAATCAAATAAACTAAGAATTCGTGTCATGATTTAAATCATAATTCATAACTTACTATAATATACATAAATTAAAATAATTCTAAAGCATAATTTTTTATTCATCAACTAAACATCTATACGCAATGATTTAGATAACCTTGGTTCGATGGGCTTGCCATTTTAGGCCTGTGGATTAGGTCCAATTATATAATTTTGGAATTTCGGATGGGAAAGTGGGACGGCAATCATTGATAATGTAAAACGACAAATAGAATGCTCGCGAATGTTTGGGAGATAATTTTGAAAAAATTAATGATGAAAGGAATAAAGGAATTGTGTTAAAGTCACATTGAGTTGATATTATAATGTCTTTGCTAGAATAATGATATTATCATGTTTCAAGTTGTTAGTTGCAACACAATTATGAAGTTTGTTTTTTTTTTTTTTTTTTTGGATAGAAAAGCATTATGAAGTCAAATTGAAATTAGGTAGAGAAGTTGTAAAAACGAATTATGGTAATCATTTTGAAACAATAACTTTCACCCACCTCAAGAAAAAAAGAAAAAAAAAGAAAAGAAACATCGACCCAATTTTCATTGTTTACCAAGATTTTAACAGAAACTTATTTGATTTACTAAAAGTGAAAAGAATCTTTCTACCTAAATTGTACATTTTATTATGTGACAAAAAAAAAAAAAAAAACAAATCCAGGAACTATTTTGATAGAAGAATAATAATAACACTTCAATAGATCAAATAAAATATTCTTTTTTTCCATTGAAAGGAAATATTCGCCAAGAACAAAAGTTAAGCATAATCATTTTGGAGTATTTTTTTTCACATATTATAAATTTGTAATATTCCACAAATAGCTTGGGAATTCCCACAAAAAAAGCTTATTCTACATCCCATAAAGCAAAAAAAAAAAAGGTGTCTGTGTGTCTGTCATTGATAAGTACCAATAAAATTTGGACAAATCGATAATTTAAGAACTAATTTGACGGATTACTCTAAAGAAGAGGAAAAAAAAAACAAAAGTTTGAAATAGTCTACAAATTTTGTAAGAAAAGAAAAGAAATATTCCACAAATGGCTTTTGAATTCCACAAATAGCTTTAGCTTCAAGCAAAACAAAAGCGGGAAACTTGATAAAATCCACTAATTATCCATTAAATTAAAAAAAAAGAATGAAAATAAGAAAAAAGGAAGGTCGATAAAATGAAGACAAATGCACGTTAGCAAAGTTTATCCGTAAGGACACGTAAGCAAATCCTTTGAACTGCAAATCTTACGTGTCCAAACACGCATGACTATCACCCACCACCCAACCAATCACAGCCCTCAATTTGAGCGGCCCCACCGTCCCAAAATTAGTCAGAACCTTCCCGAACCGGTCCCACCATCTTATCCAAATCCCTATCCACGTGTTCCTCACGTGACCTCTCCACCACCGAACGCTAAACTCCAAAGCAGCTGACGTCTTTGACCAGTCTTCCTACCCTAAGGACAAAACTACCCTCACTCAGTTCACCCACTTTGGCTCCTGAATGAGGATAATTTGGTAAATACAAGTGTTCAACTTGGGAAACTTGCCTCTGGCAGTTCGAGCTGAACACGTGGCAATTCCTCCAGCACGTGCGAGCCACGTGACAGTTGGTACTTATACGAGAGGCCCATAATTTTTCCTCTACAGACAGACGCCATTGTTGTGGGTCTTACAGAGCTTCCGAGTCAACTTAGCGAGTCGGTCAATTTTTTTGTTTTTTTGGTTCGTTAGCAAATCGAATCGGAGTCCGATGGTCCACTTCATTAGTTCGGAACTGGCTGAGACGATGAAAGCCAAGGGTTCGAAAAAGGCGCCGGTGAAGCCGGAGATCGACGACTCGTCGGAGCCTCTCGAACCGCTTCATAAGCGAACCAAACTCGACTCATCTCCTCAGGTTTATGATTTTTTCTTACGTTGCTCCAATTGCAATTAATTGAAAATTTTTTCCTTTCTTGTACCTAAATAAAGGTTCAAGTTTTATAAATCGCCGTTTGGTTCCGACAAAGAAAAGGAAGATTTTTGTTATTGTTTTTCGTCCTTTGCTTCACTCGCAATTCATTGAAAGTTGAATTTTTTTTCGTTTTATACTTTTTGGTCTTTGAAATTTTGTTTTCGAGTATATCAATCGAGGGAAAAAAAAGGAAGATCTTTTGCTTTGTTTTTGTTTTTGAATGAAAAATTTCTGACATCCGTTGGAAATACAAATCAAACAGTAGCGATACACCTCAAGTGAGCAAATTTAATTTTTTTTCCCCTCCCTAAATTACAATGAATAAACAAAGCACAGACTTTCTCTATCGTCTTGTTTGTCAATTCATTAGGTTAATTACGTCTTAATCAATTGTTTAAAGGCTTTAGTTAAACTACCACTCGTTACATAATAAAAGTTCTTTTCTAATCCGAAGAACACACACACACACATATATCGAGTGATCACTTTCTGATGTGCTTCTTTTTTTTTTTTGGTGATCAGAATACAGGAATTGAGACATTTGCAATTCCTTCGTCGATATACAACCCTCTAGATGAGCCAAGTCCACTGGGTTTGCGTCTCCGAAAGAGCCCGTCTCTTCTTGATTTGATCCAAATGAAGCTCTCACAAGACAGTGCTGCTGCTAAATTAGCAAATCTAAGCAAGAAAAATCACAAGGGAAATGCCGTTTCCGGTGCTCCGGATAAGCTCAAGGCTTCCAATTTCCCGGCTTCAGTTCTCAACATTGGGACTTGGCAGGTTTGTTTGATGCTGTTCAGTTCTAACTTGTTTTCTTATAATGATATTTGGACAAGGTTAGAATTGGGCTAGATTTGTCTAGATTAGAATTGGGTGTCTGTTAATTTGAGCTAGATTTGTGAAAAATTGCAGTATAAATCGCGGTATGAAGGGGATCTAGTGGCGAAATGTTACTTTGCAAAGCATAAACTTGTGTGGGAAGTCCTTGATGGTAGTCTTAAGAACAAGATAGAAATTCAGTGGTCGGATATTGTGGCTCTCAAGGCAAACTACCCCGATGATGGACCGGGGACTTTAGATGTTGTGGTAAGTCGAAAATGCCGCCGTCATTGGACTATTTGTTATTCTTTGCTTTGAGCGTGGTTATGTATTGGTTTTCTTGTTTGGTCATTGGTGTAGCTGGCTAGACCGCCCCTTTTCTTTAGGGAGACCAATCCGCAACCTAGAAAGCACACTTTGTGGCAGACGACATCAGATTTCACTGGAGGACAAGCGAGCATGCATAGGTATAGATTTTTCTTCTTGTTATTGCCAATGGGATTTTTACTCTGTTTTTTTTTCTTTTCTCGGACTCTCTCCGATAGGACCTCCCACCGGTAGTGCCAGGACCGGTACCGGTAGACATTAGATTTAAAAAGTATAGAAAACTAATAGTTTTTTATACAAACCTAATCCCTGAAAGTAGGGAACTATTGGTAGTCATTTTTTCTGGTCCTGAAACTCTTTTCTTTCTTTTTTTTTTTTACCCCATACTTCAGTTGCGGGTTTACCAAATTTTTGTACTTTATTCATACATTTGAGTAATGAAGTTTGTTGTGACTTTCTGCGTATTGACTTCAGCAGCACATTACCTGATTACCAACTAAGCAAAAGGTGTTAGTATAACCGTATAGGAGACTTTTTTATTTGAGAAACTTTTGACTACGTATCCTAGCACTAAAAGGTTTAAGAAATTTGGTCGTAAATCGAAATTGCTATTTTTTTCAGAAGTGGTTGAAACTTGAATAGATTATTTTATGTGTGACAAACAAGTTTGGAGGCTCTTAAGCTGTGTGAGTTAGACATCATTAGGCCATATTCCTTGAAGCATAATTTTCCATCTTTGACTTGTATGAAGGACCTGAAAGGAATCTGGATTGCCTTTTATGTTGAAATAATGGTTATTTTTTGGATGTGAATGTGTGACAATGATCTGGTCCTTTATTGTAACAGGCAACATTTTCTACAGTGCCCACCAGGCTTGTTGGGGAAGCATTTTGAAAAGCTCATTCAATGCGACCCTCGTCTCAACTTTTTAAGTCAGAAGCCAGAGATTGTGCTAGAGTCTGCATATTTTGAACCCAGAGTTATGACAACCCAAGACCCAAATGAATTCAACCGTGAGTTTGATGTGAAGACCGAGGGACCTGTCTTCTTTGGTTTGCAAGATACAACATCCACATCTGGTGCCGAGTCATCCTCCAAAACTGAACAGGACTTTGCTCATAGGGCTTCCACGGAAATTTCTTCACCTAGTTCAGGTAAATTATGAAACTGAAAATGTCTTTCTCGTGACAGTGGATTGCAGCTATTTATTCTCGGTCTAACTTGTTTTCGTGTAAATCATGAATATCCATGGAACTGAAGAATTCAAGGGCCTTGGAGCCGAGAACTCAAACTTCCTCAGCAATTTGGATCAAATCAAATTTCCGGGACTTCATCCATCAATGTCAATGAGTGATCTGGTGAGCCACATTGGTCATTGCCTTTCCGAGAAGATAACATCTTCAAATCTGGTCTTTCCTGGAAAGCAGCAAAATGAAAGAGGCGTTCTAGAGGATATCACCCAATACTTGTTTAGCGATTCTCAACACTCGTGGCCCTCTGACGAGCAGTCCCTCGTGTCAAGGGTCAATTCTCTGTGCTGTCTTCTGCAGAGGGATCCTTCGTCGTCGCAACTCTGCAAGTTAAATCCTGAGGAGAAAATTGGTGACATCAACTCTATATCCGGATCCGGAAATGAGGGGAAAGGTTTACAGGGTATCCCAGAATCCAAAAGGATGAACTCCAATGATGTTTCTGATTGCAAGCAGGCTCAGGTCATGTCCAGGAAGGACTCATTTGGAGATCTTCTTCTGAGTCTTCCTAGGATAGCATCTCTACCGCAGTTTCTATTCAACTTATCACAAGATTCTGCTAACCAAGCAAGATAGTGATTTTGATCAAGTGTCCTCGGCACAAATCTTGTAAAAAGGTTTTGATTGAGATGTGCCGTTGTTTGATCTGTTAATATTGTGCAGGTTGTCACTAATTCCATGTATAAAGCTTAGGGAGTCGAGAAATTTATGTGGGAGTAGAATGCTGACTGACATGATCACATAGGAAACCCGGTTTTGCTTTATCACCCTTGGACTCCTAGTATTAGTATTGCATGCTTTATGTAAAAATTCTAATGCCCTTTTTGGTCGTTTTAGTATACTACTTTTGTTGGTCTCTCTTGTGAATTTAAACGTTGCGAGTTCTGTAGATCACTCAAATCTCCTGATGAGTTGTTGACATTTTCATTTCAACAAAGAATTTATGGCCCATTTAATTTAGTTCACGCGACGGTGATTTTAATTTTAAATTTAATTGACTTTAAATTTTTTTTTAAAAAAATTGAAAAAAAAAAATTACAATATAATTAAAATCATGATTTTAAATAATGAACTAAATGGACTCTTGATGTAATTCATCAACATTCTAAAACAATACAGAGACAATAATCTGTCACACACGAAAACACCAAAACCCTTTTTTAAAATTCTTGCATATGTACCCTTCAGCAATTCTGAAGTCTAAAGACATATAAATAGAACACCTTATACAGTTCAATAACGTAAAAGGTATTCAAAGCGCTGTCAGCACCAGCATACAAACACTGATAACACCAAAAGATGTATATGGAACTTTGCCTGCTTCTAACTTTTTGCAAAGACGATCTATAAAAGAATAAAGAAACACAAATATATATGTCTACAAAAACAACTAAATGATTTAGGGGCCTTCATTGGGACCCCCATCCCCAACTGGCTCGTCTTCTTCTTCACCTTCTTGCAACATTTCCATAAGCAATTTGATTTGGTCTTTCAACATTGCGTTTTCCCTCTCCAGAGTAGTTCGTTTGCACTTTTCTTCCAGAACCTCTTGTTGCAATTGTTCCAAGACCTTCCCATCCTCATCCAGTACCTCATTTAGCTCGTCAATTTCCCTATCCTGAAAAAAAAAAAAAAAAAGATTCAGATTCATTGCATGCTTAGAGCACCTCCAATACTATGTTAAAATTCTTATGCCAATGCTAAAATGTAACGTTTGGATAAGTAAATCACTCTCGAATACATTTGAGATATTCTAATACCTTGTGCTAAATTTAGAACCAAACACAGCATATGTAATATTTTTCACATATATTACAATATTGCATATTTTTTTATTAATTGGTTACATCCCCAAGCTCTAAACTTTGTAAGGAAAAATTTAGAGATCCTATTTTCTTATATTTCCTTTTATACCAACTAGTCACGTGGCATGCATGTGATCAAAACTGTTTTAAAAAATTGACGTTTCATAAATGGAAGTATCGAAATTGCTAACTTATGGTTCGGGCCAATTTTGTCCCATACTCCCATTTTTGTATTGTAGGTGCAAAATGAGGCAACCACTATTCTTATGGAGCCGAACTCGAAATTAATTCTAGTCCGGACTAGAAGGTGAGATTGAGCAATACAAAAATTTATTTTACCTTTCTGTTCATTTCTTGGACGGCAATCCTTCTCATGCTCTCAACAACATCGACATTGACGAGCTTCCGCTTTTTGCCGATGAGCCACCCCCGGGGATAAGTTGCGGAGTCGAAGTCAGGCGGTGGGAGCAAGCTCTCATTCGAGGGTCGCCCTCCGCTAACATGGGTTGTAGGTTCCAATGGTTCAAAGAGAGCCTTCCTGCGCTCGGAGAGCTCAGGAGGCAGTACCACTGTATTAGAGTCCTGGATTTTCGTCTCGGTGGGAGATTGAGGTTCTTCCTGTTTGTTGGGAGTTTCGTAAGCAGTGTCCTCTGTTACCTTGTCTATATTCCTCCCGCTAGCTGTTGGTAAACAAGTTACCATTCCATTCTAGTGCCAACCAATTTTGAGAAGATGCCAAACAAATTTCACATAATAAAAGAGGCATATCTAATTTTCAAACGTATTCACATGAACTTTTCTTTTAGCAGTGCATGCCACAAAACTGTGCATAAGCCACAAGGTGCCAACAACTAAAAATCTTGCGAAGAGAATAAAAACAAATAAGTACAGTAACAATGCATGAATTTTTCCAAAAAAAAAAAAAGAAAAGAAAAAAGATGATGATTGTTTGTGTATCACATCAATTTGGGACAACAAGAAAAAAAAATGGAAAATATATGGGTGACTCGGAAATTGCAAGTTAGGTATGTAGTCTCATCATGGACAATCATAAACAACTGTCCAAAATAATATTTGTTGGGATACCATGATATTGCTTTCCAGAGAACTTGGGGTGCCAATAGTCAATTCTAACTTATTTTATTATCTCTATATGAAAAAAAAAAAAAAAAAAAAAAAAAAAAAATCTCTCCAGTTTAAGTAAGCAAAAGTTATTATTGATGTATAACAACGGAAAAGAAAAGGAAAATATGGGGGCTCGTATTGCCCGATAGTGGACTGCACATCCAATTTATATCAGCAATTTAAATTTACATATGGGAACAATACACTAAAAACAATTGCAGTTATAGATAGTCAAATCAAATTAAATTTATTATGGACAAATTCACATTCAAATGAAAATGAAATACGGCGAATAAAAACTAAACGTGTTACTATTGAATTATTTATGTATACTATTGAAATATTGTGAATGTATTTCTGAAAAAAGGTGAGGCGCTAAAATATTAGGAAATTTTCAGTTGAAACCCTTATAGAGCAAGATACGGTCGATCAACGACATATGATTTGTTTATCTATTTCCACATGGCCTCCCTTATCGTTTAACGTGGCACGCTAAACAAGAAAAAGAAAAAAAAACACAAATGAAAATTATTTTTATTTTACGTGTATTTTTTTTAAAAGAGAAAATATAAAAAACCATACGAATATAAAAAATAAACGTCGTAATCGCGAGGAAGTTAGATGAGAGCAATTTGCTATGCCAACCAAACCCTTGAGTAAAGTAACGTATGAACAAAGTCAGAAAATAAATGAAAAAAGTTTTTTTTTTTTTTTTTTTTTTTTTTTTTTTTTTTTTTTTTTTTTTTTTTTTTTCCCTCTCTACTGCTGAATTCCAAAACATGAAAGAAAAAAGCATCAAATTTCATAAAGGGAATCAACTAAGGTTGATGCTTTTTCATAACAAAACAACATTCTCTTAAAAGGGTCTTCCAAATTAACAACTAATACCAGATAGTAATTTTTTTTAATCCAATTTAGTGGGAAAATATGTAAGAAAATGATAAAATTAAGTAACAAAGAAGGATTTGATAAAATTAATACAAGATTCCTGGAAAAAAAAAAAAAGTTGATGGGCATGTTCTAAAACGTGCAAAAAAACAAAAAAACAAAAATACTACCAAAACCCAAAACTCAAAATTCTCCATCCTAGCCAAGTCCTCAGAGAGGAAAACGAGAAAAGAAAAGAAAAGAAAAAAAAAGATTGAAAATTGGTAATCAATACTACCTGATCTCTTGCGAGATTTCCAGTCAATCCGAGTGGTTGACACAGGAGAGAAGCCATCCAAAAATCCTCTATGAAGCTCTCTCCTTTCCTTAATCTGGTTTTCCATGGAAGAGAAAATATTGAGAAAACAAAACCAGAGAAGACCTAGAAGTAAACTTCCTTGCACTAGTTCCAATAATTCAACATGAAGTGATTCTCTCTCTAAAGAGGTCAGAGAGAGAGAGAGAGAGAGAGCTATTTCTTGTTGTGGGGTTGTTTTTTTGTTTGAAAGTTTAAGCTTTCTTCTTGTTGTTGTTGTTTGCTGGATTGGGGTGTTGTTGACACCTACAAGAGGAGAAGATAAAAATTGATAATTGATAAATTGTTTTTGGGGGCCATTTTCATTTTTTTTTTTAGGAACATGAATCAACGGCTGAGATTGCCATTCTGTTGAACATTTTTAGACATATTTTTTTTTTTTTTAATTTCTAAGCTTTAAGTACTTTTTCTAATTAATTTCCAGCAGAAAAAATATTGATTACTTGTTATATTTTTGATAAATTTTAAATGAGGCGCACCCCATCGTACAGACAACAGACTATTAATTTTAACTTTATTTAAATCGCATGACATTTATTAAGTGGATGAAACGGGTGTAATACAATAAATTTTCTTGTGATATCCTTCAGTATAAAATATCGACGGTGTGAATATAATCCCACGACTACAATTAAGGGGCCTTTGATATGTGAGAATCAGTAAGAATTATATTCTCAGAAAAATGATAGAGGGTAATATAATTCATAAAAATAATACATTATTATGTTTGATTCTATACATGAATTTTTTTAAAATTCTCAGGAATATTACATTACTGTGTTTAGTTGTTCGCATGGAAAAAGATCCATAATAATAATATTAATAAAATAATAATATTATTATTAAAAATAAAAT